TGAACAATCGATTTTGAAGTGCTTTCGGCGAAAATCACACATCGGCACCACTACTAAATTCCGGATGAATGGCCGAAACTTTAGATCGTCGAGCATTTGTTTGCGCTTGGGGCGACGCTTTGACTTTTTGCGCTTTCTTTTCTTTCGTTTGGATCGGTGCTGATGTGGCCACTCCAAGTTATACTCTTCTATCTCACGTTGCATAGATAGGAACATTGGCATGGCCTTAAACCAATGTTTTTCGTCAGTCGTGAGGTCATGCAGATCGATTTCTGGAAACACATTGAAGTCGTTCACCATGTCATACAACATGCCACACCGTTCGAGTTTGTTTGGATCGTGAATTGGCACTCTGATGTTTTTTTCTTTGATGATCAGTTTTACAACACTTTCGATGTCACTTGGCAAAAATTTCTCTGCGTCCTCTTCTCCGTCTGTGTTCAATTCGAACACTTTCAGTCTGAAGTACTGGGTGATGTGTTTGTCAGCATGCGTTGTTGAGTTGGTGACGACGTTGTCTGTGTATTGATTGGTCAAATGCTTTAGGCCATTGCTGAAATCATTGTTGTTGGGCCAATCGATACGATGATAGTCGTCAAGACCTAAAAATAAAATATGTTTTTCAAATTCAACTAAATTGTGTACTGTGTAGTCAAAACTCGCTATTTTATAAGGGGGTTTAATTGTTTAATAAATCAACTATAATTATTTATTACCTTCGACAATTGCTTTGAATTCAGGGTCGATACGTGGCAGCTCTGCTCGTGGTCCTCGTGGCTTTGTTCCTCGTGGTCTGTACGTCGACTTCGGTTTCGGTGGCTGATTGTTATGCCATAGCACTTGGTTAAAGCAGAGTTGGATCTTTTTTTCTCCACTTCCACCAAAGAATGCGAAATCATTATTCTCAATGCCTATGTTCGTACGCCTTTTGCACCTCGAACAAGAAAAGCAATGAGCCCAAAACGCAAATTGAAGTGGCTTGCAAACTCAGGTCCGTTATTTTGCTCATCAATGCTTGCTGGAATTGTGGGCGAATGATTGTCTTCAGCGCACATTTGATCGTCGTAATCTCATCCTTCGTTTCTCCCTTCGCTGGTATGGATGGCTTGAAGCGATTCGCCATTTTCCTATTGAAAAAAAAACAAACATTCGATTTAGTTTGAAAACGAATTTGTATTGAATTTTCATTGATCCATATAATTTAAAAGTGACGACTTTTCATATCAAACAATGTTCGATCGAAAAAAAGTATATAAAAAAATATATACATTGAAAAAAAATGTGCTCCAGCACTGAAATAAAAGCATTCACATGTAATTTGAAAATATCAACCGAATGCACAGATGCAAAACATACAATCAAAGTGAAAAATCCTTTTAACCAATCCACACAAATATTCACATATGTTCCGAATTCAATTTGATCGAACGACAACAAAACACGAATCTATCGCTTTTTTTGGTACACACACAAAATCATGCAACACAGAAAAATGACAAAAATCTTCGGATTGATAACAATGGCAGTGATTTAGAGAGAAAAAAAAATTTAAACACATTTCTTTGATAAACGAGTTATTGTTTCTCTTTTCTAAACAATGGAACCAATTCAAAATGGGTATCACTGCTTGAAATGAATTTCACCACCTCACGCAACAGAATTATGTACTGCAGAATAATTGTGAAATACATTACTTTTTTCATAAAATGTAATGTTACTGTTAATATGTTCAACGTTAAATAATTATTGGACTAGTTTAAATATATTTCACGTTACAAATGGCTTATATGTCGTGCTATGAAATAAGAATGAATTTCACAATAAGAAGGAGATGAATAATTGCTTAGAATAAGCACGTTATTCAAATTTTGAATAAATCGTGTATTCGCTGGCATTTTCTCATCAAAAATAATAATTTTTACCGATGAATTCACCAATATTTTTCACTTTAATTTTCACTGTAAATTAAGTTTACTCACGGTGATTTGAATTCAACAATCTGCTTGGACTCCGGATCAATCGATCGATCAAGTGTTGAACAATTCGGAATAAATTGATACAAAACGCACGTATATCGAAAATAATATGAATTATTAACAAAATCGTAGAATAATTGAAACGTTGAATTGGAATTAACACTGCTGCGTAAACTTGGTATTTACAACGATAAACATGTTCTCGGTATGGATGAAGCGGCGATTATGACATTACGAAAACCAATGAAATGAACGTCAAATGTCATAAGGCTCGATTCACATCAATAATGCTAATTCAATATTTTGACATTAGACACATTTTGCTATAAAGAATTTTTTGCTTCGGGAAGTGTCAATATCATTCGATGCTTTGTGTAAATGTCATGATTTGTCTTAGAATTTTTTGCACTTTTAATTAACGACTACCATTTTTTTATTTTCAGATATGAGAAACACCCTAGTGTACACCAAAACATCAGTACAGGTGGTTTTTCTCCTTCGTTCAAATTAAATCTACGATAAACATCACACATTCAAAGTCAAATCAACGCCGATTTTCTTGTCCTATTATTCCATGCCAAATGGTTTGTTTCCGTGAAGATGATCAACATCTCCAAAGGCCTCCACTTCATGTTTGCTAACGTATGCAAAATTACAGTAATTTAAAAACGCTTTTCTTGACATTATTTTGACTCATTCTGTAATTTTTACAACCGAACTTTTCTTTTACTCACTGTGACCGAGAGTTGAATAACATTTTTATTTACGTTTCATTCTATTTTTTTTTAATTCTAATTATTAATTTTTAATTAAACAATGACTTGAGAAAAAAGAGCACAATGAAACAAAAAAAAATCATTCTTTATTAATACTTTCCAATTTATTTCTACCTTCTTATATTTATGCGTTCGATTTTTGTGGTTCATTTAATTTGGCATCTAAGAGACCGGCATCCAATCGACGCATACATAAAAATCCACCGTTGATATGCAAACTTCAACAAGTTCATCACACAATGAACATGGATTTTTTGTATACAGCGTTAATATTGGTTTTTGTCGTTGTATTGCATTACTCCGAGCATTGATATCATCGTCAGATCTGCGATCGATTCCGGTGTTTGAAGACGAGTTGGGAGAGAAAAAAATGTAGAAAAGAAAAAACCATATTTTATTTTATCCAAATTCAGTTCATATCAAAGTAAATGTTATACAAAAATTGTCAATAGTAACATCTTTATGATCTGAACTGAAAAATTAAATTCAAAACGTCATTGAGAGTTTACTACACACAAGAGTTTTCCATGTAGAAATAGCGCAATTATTCAAATAAAAAATCCCGTCAAGAAGAAAATCACTTTTAAAACATGATTTTAATTTATTTGCATCGAAAAATAATTGCTATTTGGATACATTTTTATCGTGAGATCACACGAATCAAAATAGAATTTGTCAATGCTTTTATTTCGCATCGAAAATGTCTTTGACGACACATAGTATAGTAGCGCCATCAGTTAACCGATGATTTATAGCAAGAACTATAGTTGTGGCAAATTCATCCATTATCGGGCATATGTTGACGGTCAATATTGGGGTTGGATTTGTGTGTAGTTTCAGTCAATTTTACCGTCAAAATGGAAAGGAAAAAAAGAAAAAAAAACAATTCAGTTAGATTGAATGCAAAAATAAACTATCAATTCAATAAAGTACTCACCTACGGGTTCTTTTATATTCCGCACAGCCCTAAATAGGGACCCGTACTGCGGTCAAGGGTACAATAGAAATCCTTGGATTTAAACTATTCACGCCTAGTAACTAACAAAATTGTTAAAATATTCTTCTTATGATTATTGTTGATTTTATGCTGCTATCAGTTGACATTGTTCGCATGGTGTGGATTGTCAGGTCTCTTCAACGAATTGGGCAATGGTATGCCAAAAAGACGACACATTCCTATAAAATCAGAAATAAACACAAAACATTAATCAATTAATATGAACACTGAACACCTAACGCTCTGCTCTCTATTCTCAATTTAATATTAATACAATATACAATTATGCACATACCTTTGAATAAAATATTCTTTGCGGCAACAATGTCACGGTGCCAAATGACTACGTGCTCAATCATGTCTTCTGGTGCAGCATCACCCAATTCATGGTATTCTCGAGTTAATGACCAAGTTTTGAAGATAACTTTTATCTTTGGCACTAAACGCTCGATGTTCTCACGATCTGGATTGATTGCTCTCTCTACAATTCGCTCTTTTTTAAGCTCTTGTCTGCTCAAATTCGTCACAATTATCGGTGGTAGTCCAACAATCGGTTTTGGTATGCAATTTCGACAAATTTTGAATCGATGATTTTTGGTTTCTCTTGGAAATCGCTCGTGACAATTGGCACACGTTATTGATGTACCCCATTCATCTTGAAAACTGACCTTTGTGTGCTCTTGTTTCTTGAAGCTGGTCGCCAATTTACGCGTTCCTGGGCATCTTTTCCGCTTCTTTATGCCCCATGGCCGATTTGGTGCCATTTCTCCAGCACCAATCCAAATCCAAGACGGTTTGTTGTTCGTTACCCGCATGGCAACTTTATCACTTGTTTTGGTAGCCTTGATGTGGTGATCGAGATCCAATCGTGCATATTTTCGAGTCGCATATGCTTGCATTCCCATTCGTAGCATTTTGATGCGATGCAGAATGTACGCTTTCCATGTGGATCCACGCGGCGATGGTATCACTGGGTACGACTTGAAATCCATTTGTTCTTCTTCAACAAACCACCAGGTCAATCGATCTGCCTTTCGATCTCTCTTCTTCTGCTCGGTTTGCCAATGAAATCGTGGATTGGATATTTTAATGTTTTCCTGTTAAATAATAACGTCAAATTTCAATCACGTTCCGAAAAAAAAAATGTAATAACAAACTTAATTTACCTCAATGTTTGAATTGATATGGCGGCGCACAACGGCCACCCACGTTTTCTCGTTAGGATCGATGGCACTAGCATATGTCATGTTGTTAAATGTGGCCTGCTCCGAATTTTCCACCCAAGCCTTCGCTGGCTTCTCGTACAATATTGACACGCAAACACTATTGGTGATGATTTGCGAGTGAAACCGCTTCTGCTTGCCGATTTTTTTGATTTTATCCATGTCGAAAACCAAATTCCACAATTCATCTCGATGGCCGTACAAGTAATAGTCCAGTGTGTATTTGTTCATTCGATTGGTCAGCGGATTGCGAGAACTTGGCACCACTCCTAGTACAGTGTTCGCCAAATAATACATATCTGTCATATCCAATCGAACGTTTTTCAGTTGGAATCGGCATAACGGGACAAGTGCGAAATTGTTCACTTTTGGCGGTCGATTGTTCGTTATCAATCCATCGCGACGGAATGCATGCCATTGTTGTGAATATTGATGAAACACTTCGATTTGGCGTTGCATTTGACCGAACATCCACAGTGATTGGAACCAATTGTCCTTAACGAACTCATTGACAGTGACCGGAACCAATTGTTCATTATGAACTTTTTGACACTGCCAACCGATTCTTTCCAGTTCATACAATAAAATGTTCATCTTATTTGTTCTCTCTACATCACCATGTGTCAGATCTTTGTTACTAGTGGCGTAAACTTTTGCGTTTCGTATATCGATGCCGTCAAATTTTGATCCATTGTATTGATGGCCATTGATATTCATGTTATAATACCAGCGTTTCATTTGAAAAAACGATTCAACATGTTCTGAACAATGAGTGTTGAGATTGGTCTGATTATTTCGAATGTGATCTTGGTAGAAATAATTAAAACCATTTCCCAGGCATTCTTTATCGGGCCATTCAAAATTCTCTACACCGAAGTGTGCCTCGACAATGTTACGAAAAGCTGGCGGCATTAGTTCCTCTCTGTCGACTTTATCGGCTAAAACACCGTTAAAGCACTCAATGAAAAATGTTTTACCGTTTTGTACAAAAAATTGTTGGTTCCCATCATCGATGGCTTCTTGAATTTTGTACAACGCCAACAATGATGCCAGTGACGAAATCAGTGTCATTTTGTAGCTTCGATGATCCAAAAACTGAATCACTCTGTCGCGATATTCTTCCCGTATGATTGACTTGACGCCTTGTTTTATGACTACAAGGTTCTTAATGTCGTCTTTCCTTTCGGGTGGACTGTATAAATGAAACGAAAACAAAGAAAAACATACACACTTATTTAAAAAAAACTGGTCACAAAACAATATCGCGAAATTGCATCGAAAATCCAATGAAAAATAAAACACAGAATAAATATTACGAAAAACACTGCTTACATATTAAATTGATCCTCTCTTGATCTTGTTCTACTCATGGTTTAATCAATCAATCACAATTTCTGGTGCTTTTCCAAATATTATGGGATAGTTATCACTATTTTCGGTTGCAATCAATTCGCATCAATTTCACAATTCAAATTGTAATTTTTAATGTGTTTTTGTTGGTTCTGCTTGTAAACTGCCTGACGAAATTCAATTATTATTATCAATTTAAAGTTATTTTTCTGACTTGATGATGAGATTTAATGGTATTTCAAATAGCTTCACAGCGCGAACGGTAACTTTGAACTAAAATGAATGCAGAAATGCACCGCTATTTATAGCAAATTATTGCTGTATTGCAAAAAGTCAAGCCTCGAAAACTAAAATGACTGGAATTAAACGATTCTATTGATACATCAATATATGCAAAAAAATTACAATATTTTCATTCAACAACTCAATCACTCCACTTTGATTTGCCACAAAACTCTGCCGAAAATGCATTTTTAAACAGGAACATAACAAATCACAAACGAGAGAATTGTCGAAATGGTTTTTTTTTTCAAATGTGTTTCGATGATTTGGAATATAAACAGTAATACTTTATAAATGTTCTGTCGTTTGAATTGAAAACAGAAACAGACACAAAATATTTTCGCAAATATATCCATCACATTTCGTGAACACACGATATCGTTGTATCAAAACACTGACGAAGCACATCACAAAAACAAGCGGTGATCGGGAATACTGTTGTACGGTCAAAATCCTACAGTTTGTTGCATTCGCACTAGTATTTCGTTTACAGAAAAACAAAAACACAAACACATATTATATTGTCTCTCTCACATGTTTCGTTTCTTTGTGCTGTGACATAAAAAAGCCACTGATACAATATTAGCACTAAAATCCATTTGTCTTATTTTATCATGTTGAAAACTGAAATCGGTTGTCATTTTGAATTTAATTTGTTTGAAAAAAACAACAACAACGCACATTTTCTGACCGCTAATAAGAACAAAGAAACTCGTGCGTATGAAAATTCGATTGGAGATCATGGATATACTCTACATTCCGTTTGACACTAAAATGGCCACATAATTATCCTTGTGAATGTGTGACTCTCTCTGTTGTGCATTTGTGTGTGTACAAACTTTCAATTGTTTATATGCGCGACCGGTTCAATATTGCATGTTTCAAACCGAAACACCGAATGAATTTGTTTATATCACTTTCCCTCACACACACACAAACTCTGTATTCGTAGCGATATTTGACTTTTTGAATTTGTCCAACTGAATTTTAGGCGACGGAGAATGCAATCGTATGAGATTGTTGTTGTTGTATACCAAAAATCATCTCTTTCTAAACTGGCGGCACTTCTCAGTATAGTTTTGGTCGCAATAAAAAAATCAATCCCGTTAAATATTGAATAGAGTGATTTGTTTGTTTGTGATACATGTTAAATCGAAGCACAAAAAATTCCTTTGCTACATTAATTCTGTTGAAAACTGAAAAATGTGAATACAAACTTTGTGTGTACTCCAGTTGAAAAGAAAACAAATCTGAATGGCAACTCATTATATTTCGTTGTGATTTTGTGTATTGAAACATTTTTGTCAATACACTGTAATTTTGTCGATGTGTGATGTTCAATATTCAACTGATCCTTGCCTTCTTAATGATGCTGGACATATGTATGAATATAAGTGATACAAAATGCAATCAAACAGCGAAAACAGTCGATAGAATTGTTGATATAAATTTTATGTAAACAAAATCGAACATTTGAATCTCATGTTACACATACTTTCATTCTTTAAACGAGTAAGAGTCAGCAAAACGCGCATTGTATCAATACCGTTGTATGCTTTGAGATTCAAACAAAAACGGCAACACATTTGAGTGAGTTTGAATGAGACTGAAAGACTAATAGGAGAAATAAATTGTAAAATGTTAACGTAATAAATGAACAATTTTATTGGAAACTATGCATATGTTATATAGTTCAATCAACTTTCCATTGACACGAAAATTACCACCGAAATGGGTGAAAACGTTACATTTTTGTTTGCTGGGTATAGAAGAACTGATAAAAAAAACATTATCGAATTGACACTTGATCACAGTCAAAGAAAAGGTTGCGTTTATTTTGTGGAAGTTTGTCGTTTTATAATAAACATTCTAATCAAGTAAATTCAGTTGATTTTCATTACTTTTAGTAAATACATTTGATTTATTCTCATTGACTTGAAGAAGATAGCTCATAAATTGATTTTTTTTTTGGATTAAGGGAACTATGGACAATTTGTGGAAGAAGGAGACAAAACTAAAGGGGGCCCTATATCTAAATCCTTTTGCATCTGTACCTGTTTCTGGATCTGAACACATATTAATAAATTTATTAAACCCGACATTTGCTTGTCGAACTTTCAAGAACAATTATGATTCAATTAAATTACGTAAAAAAGGAGATGCAGAATTCCGATCAAAGAAATGGTCCGAAGCAATGATCTCATATAATAAAAGTCTTTGCTATGCAGAAATCGATTCGGAGCATATTGCTTTGGTATATACTCAAGCAGATCGGAATGTTTTTTTCAATTGAAAATGTATGATGAGGCTATTGTTGATATTGATCTCGCTTTAAATGCAAATCCACCAAAAAGTTTGATACCAAAACTTCAAAAACTTGAAAAATATTGTGTGAAACTGAGAACCAAAATAAATCTTCAACGGGCGAAACATGTTGTGAAATTAAGTTACACTGCGAACAAAAAAATTTCTTGTATGGCAGATGTGCTGGAGATCAAACAAAATAAAGCGTTTGGACGACATATAGTGGCAAAATGTGACATCCCAGTTGGTGAAACTGTTATAGTAGAAGATGCATTTCTTATAGTCAGTGAAAATGATGATGAAATATGCAACACGTGTTTTAAGAAAAATGCAAATTTCATTCCTTGTGAAGTTTGTGCCGATTACATGTTTTGCAGCAGAGAATGTAAACAAAATACAATACATCAATGGAAATGTGGTACATTTTTCCCACTCTTAAATAAAAAATTCCATCCTGAATTAATCAACTTAAAACTGCATATGACAGCAGTTTTATTCGCACTTGAAACATTTTCGGACGTAGAAAGTTTAATCAAATATGTCGAAGAAACAAATAATGGAAAACATGAAAAAAAAGTTGCATTATCAATTGATTCAAAATCAAAATATCACTTCTTTTTTAATTTGGCGACATCCACATCGTACTTACCTAACGTTATCAGTTTATGTAGGAATGTGTATGTATGTTTGATGAATTTGCCGAAAGTTGGTGCATTATTTGATTCAGAAAGAAAGAAACGTTTTTTGATGCATTTGGTCCTATACCATTGCCTCATAATATGCAGTAATTATTTTGCCAACGAAAACGTAAGCTCACTCTATAATACTGTATCGTTGTTGAATCATTCTTGTGCAGAAAACATCGCTTACATCACCGAAGAAAATCAACGGTATTGTGTTACTATTCGTCCATTAAAAAAAGGCCAACAGTTGTTCATTAGCTATTTAGCCGAATGGAATAAAAAACCCAGAGCAGAGAGACAACTTATACTAAGATCCAATTGGGGCTTTGTTTGCAAGTGCCCAAAATGCGAATCGCCCAATGGAACAACCCCGCGAAGGATGGTCAAAGCAATTCGAAAATTATATATACAAAATTATGGCAAATCTCACGGAGAAATGAAGCATAATTTTATTGAGTTTTTGAATGAATATGGGCACGACAAATGGTCAGAAGGGCTCGATGCGGTTGTGGACGAATACGAGGATTTGTTACGTACAAAGGAAAATGAAATTGATAACCGTTACTCTTTTAATGGGTTAAAAGTTTACATTATTTTGACATCAGTCTTTATTTTGGTTATTTTTCTTTATTTGAGATACTTTTGACGATTTTTTTTTTCTAAATGCGAGTTTATTTTAACAAAATTGTAAGCGACTGTAATACAGTCAATAGAACTACCCACTAAACAATCGGGTATATATTGATCTAAGCACAAAAGAATTATATATGATATTTTAAAAAAAGATCTGTTAACAAAAGTTTAAATGAAAAAAATTAAGTTGTATGAATGAATACTTCAATTATATTTCAATTTATTACTATCAAAAAAATTATGCGCTTGATTTTTGTAATTCATTTAATTTAGCATCTAAGAGACCGGCATCCAATCGATGCATACATAAAAATTCGCCGTTGATATGCAAAACGGGAATATCGTAACGATATTGTTTGAAATACTGTCGATTTTCTGGCTTTGTAATATCCACCTTTTCTAAGCGCAGACGATCCATAAATGGCGTTAACTCTTCAACAAGTTCATCACACAATGGACATGGATTTTTTGTATACAGCGTTAATATTGGTTTTTGTCTTTGTATTGCATTACTTTGAGCATTAATATCATCGTCAGATCTGCGATCGATTCCGGTGTTTGAAGACAAAATTGAAAGAGAAAAAAGTGTAGAAAAGAAAAAAATCCCATTAAAAAAAATAAACCACATTTTATTTTATCCAAATTCATGTGCATATCAAAATAATTGTAATAAAAAAACTATCAAGGGTAAAAAATCGGAAAATTTCAAGACCACCAAAGTTGCCAATCTCTTACAATTTTTGGACTAAAACGTTTGTCGCACCGCCACCGCCATTGCAAATTCCAGCCACACCATACTCGTTGGATTTCAATGCATGCACCAATGTGGTCAGAATTCGAGCACCACTGCAACCTGTGTACATCAAGAACAAAAAAAATAATGTCTTTATTAGTTTGAATCAAATCAGTCATGAATGAAATGCATTACCAATTGGATGACCAAGCGAAATCGCACCACCACGAACATTAACACGATCCATTCCAATGTCAAGGATTTTTCCATTTGCACAAATGACAACAGCAAAAGCCTCATTGAATTCCCATAATGCAATATCGTCTTTGGTCAAACTGTTACGTTCAAGTAATGGCCGAACAGCCAATGATGGTGCAATCGGAAAATCAATGGGTGCCGTTTCAGCATCTTCGAAATCAACTATGCGTGCCAATGGTTTAAGATTCAGGCGATTTGCCTCATCGGCTGTTGCCAACAATATGGCCGATGCGCCATCATTCAGTGTGCTTGCATTACCCGCTGTTACCGTTCCATTTTCACGTTGAAATACAGTTGCCAATTTTTCAAAACGATTGAAATCAACACGTTTGTACTCTTCATCTTCGCTTACAACAACCTCTGGCCCACGTTTTGGCTTTATTGTGACCGGAACAATTTCATCTTTGAATAAATTCTTTGCCCATGCATCAGCGCTACGTTTATAACTATTGATTGCGTATGTATCTTGTTCTTTGCGCGAAATGTTGTATTTTTTGGCCGTATTTTCGGCGCAATTTCCCATGTGAAATTTATTATACACATCCGTTAGACCATCGAAAACGATTCCATCGGTTAGATTAATGCCACCATAAGGTGTTGCTCCTCGCTTCATATAATATGGTACATTTGACATTGATTCCATTCCACCAGCTACAATCACACTCTAATCATAGGATAATAGATTTTCTTTAGTAAATTTAGCATTTCCGACTTGCAAATGTCAACGTTCAAAGAATATTCAATCTTACCTGACGGCCAAGCATCAATGTTTGTGTGCCTAATGTGACTGCTTTTAATCCTGATGCACAAACTTTGTGCACCGTTGTACAAATTGTTTTTTCCGGCAAACCACCAAAAATGGCCGATTGTCGAGCTGGAGCTTGTCCCAAACCGGCTGAACACACATTTCCCATATAAACTTCATTGACTTTATCGGCTGCGATGCCGGTTCGATCTAAAAGTCCTTTGATTGCAACACCACCCAATTGTGTTGCAGATAGACTAGATAAACTGCTTTGAAAACTGCCGATCGGTGTTCGTACAGCATCAACAATAACCACCTCATTCAATGCGGATGTTCGTTGATTTGATGAGAAATTACGTCTTACATTAGACAATGATTGACCGATGATTTTCTAATGTATGAAATTTTTTTTTTTTTTTTTAAGAAATCCATATTTCAATCAAAATAAAATAATTAATTATAAAAAAATTATGTGTACTTTGATCTTTTTAATCTTTTATACTCACACTTGACACTTTTGTTGTTCGATACATTTTTTTCGGTTAATGTATGGATGGAAAAGAACAGTGATGAAAAATAAATGTATGTGAATAGAAAAGAACAAAAGAATGAACAAAAACGAATCGAGTAAAACCAAGAAAAGAAATATGCGTATGACTCTGATTTGGCTATTACAATCAAATGTTCCGATTTTCCATTGATGTTTATTATCAAAAATTAAATTCAAAACGTCATTGAAACCACACACAAGGGTTCAACTTTACACATGTGACATACACACACCATATATGTAAAAATGGCGCAACTATTCAAATGAAAAATTCCGTCAAGTATAAAATATGATTTCAATTCGATTTGCATCAAAAAATAAATTGTGATTTGAATACATTTCTATCGTGAGCTCACACGAATCAAAATAAAATTTCGAAAGCATATTTGTTTCGAAAATTCCATTGATGGCAAGTACAGTGGCGCCATCAGTGGCAATCAAATCATCTACCTATATCAATGTATTTGTGTAATAATGTGTAATGTGTAAATGTAACGCCAAATGCCATTCAAACCGAATGGAATGCGAAGAAACAATAATATTCGCAGTGTGAGTGTTTTTTTTATCTTCTTTTCTTGCTCCTCATCTCTCCATCCATTCATAGTATAAGTACCAGTCAGCATCAGGGGGATTGGTGTAAAAAAGCATCGCATTTTTTTGTAGTTCAACAACTACCACAATTTGCTTGGAATTCTTCATTTCGAATTGTTCTCACTTTAGGAGTGTGTTGCAGAAATACATTGAAAAGCCTGGGCAGACAAATAAAAAAACCTAAGTTCTTAGTTTCTTAGTTTAAAAAAGTGCGTATAATTCTTCTTCATTCGCATTTTAAAATTGATGGCGTTTGTTGCATGTAATTGTTGATAAATTTGACTACAATTTGTGTCGTTTAAAAAAAAAAAAGATAAAAGGTGTTGTGCATGCTTTTATGTTTTCGTCAAACGTCTTTAATGGGTCAATCGTAATAATATTCAGTAAGTCTATGGTAGACGTCAAAGTAATTCGATGAAAAAGTTTTTAAACGAGTGTGTGATGGGGGAAAAACCAACGTCATTTTCTTCATTCGTCGAACATTAAAACGTCAAAAAATCAAAACCCAAATGACAAACAATCAACATTCTAGGAATTTATGCATTATTTTTCGTTGAATAGTTTGCATTCAGTGTATAGCATGAAAAATAAATAGATGCAGAGAGCAAAGAGACAAGTTTAATTGTAAATAAGTTTAACTGAAAAAAATAAACAGCAACAGCATCAAAGACGAACAACAACAAACGAAATCAAAACGAAATTAGATGTACGAAGCCTGAAAGTTACATTCAATGTTAAATCCATTTCATCACATTATGGGTTATTATTAATTTTAATCATATGGTAAGTAGAACGATAAATAAAAAAAATTGTTTTTGTTTGTTACTCTTTTTCTCAACACTTCGTCTTGTGACACATTGCGCAAATAAAAGAGAGATGATTGAGAAGAGAAAAAAAATGCACACAACGACAATGAAGAGGAAGAGAAGAAGTTGACAACGGGAAATGGTTCCCCTGCAAGGCACACATAAATACCAATTCGATGCATTTAAATGCTGCAAAGCTCTCAAATGACATTCAAGTTAATAAACTCTATCTTATTATTTTTATTTTTATTTTCATGTTAAAAACAAAATTAGAGAGCACAAGCAACGTGAAAATGAAAGAAAGAATAAAAAAACAGCGAAAAACAAATATATGTGCAATATAAGACACAGAAAATACGCGAGATATAGTATGTAATGACATATTTGCCCTTCTCGTGCACTATCGTCGGTGCAAATGTGTTCGTGTTTCTCTCTGGCAAACTGATTTGCTGGCTGGTTGGCTCCGATACAGTGTGTAAGACTGATGTAAACATTTTCCATTGATTCAGACAGTGTACAATGTTTTGCAGTTTTCATTACAATCATTGTATATTTTATCCAGTTGGTCGAAGCACACTGTTTTGCCATCTTTTCAATTTTCGGTCTATGTGAATGTATGCACTGTTGAAGTGAAACTTACAGATGATACGAGTGCACTTTTATGCACTTTCTACATGTAAATAAGTGAGAAGAAGAGTAAAAAAAAATACGGAAAAATCGATAGCTTATTGTGAAAATGTACTCTCGTTTAAATATTTGATAAGATTTTTTTTGCTTTAAATTTAACTTTAGTCTAACGAAAATTTTATAATTTTATTAAACAGATCAAAGACGTATTTCATGCCCATCGAAGTATTCAAAATACATAAATAATTCGAAATTTATGCGACGAAAATGAATGTCGAAGAGAATCGTTTACAGACATTTTCAAATTGGCCCGAAGATGCACCAGTTGAAGCCGGACGTGTTGCGAGAGGCGGTTTTTTTGCCACTGGCACTGGACTCGAGGTACAGTGTCATTGGTGTGGTTTAAGAATCAGTGAATGGGACTATGGTGATCAGGTAATCTTTTTTTCTTGTTTTTATTTTTTTTTTAAATGTAAAGATATTTATAATACAGACAAATAAACTGTCCAGCTGTTTCAGGTGATGGGAAAACATCGTCGATTGAAACCAGGTTGTCCATTCATAACAAATCCCACGAGTTCGGGTAATGTTCCAATAAATAATTTACAACCAACAACAGCAACACCTGCAGCAGCAACAACAACAACAATAGCAACCATGTCGGGCGGTACGGAATTGCCCGGGAATGATCTCATGAATGAACAATGTCGCTTATCAACATTCACCAATTGGCCTGTACCATACATTTCACCACAGACTCTGGCAAAAGCTGGCTTTTATTATTTTAACAATACAGATCAGGTGAAGTGTGCATGGTGTCAGGGTGTGATAGCTAAATGGGAAGTCGGTGATAATCCATTTACTGAGCATTTAAAATTCTTTCCAAATTGTCCACGAGCGCAGCTCGGTCCAAATGTTGAAATTCAAACCGAAGAATCGATACGATCGCTAGGCATTCAACAAATTCGGGCACCAAAAAAGGGAATGTACAGTTCATTAGATGCACGATTACGATCATTTGCAAATTGGCCAAGAAGTTCGATACAATTGCCGGAAACATTGGCCACCGCTGGTTTTTATTATGAAAATACCGACGATCAAGTGTTATGCTTTCAATGCAACGGTGGCCTACGGTCGTGGCAACGTGAAGACGATGCATGGTTTGAACATGCACGCTGGTTTCCAAAATGTGAATTTGTTCAATTGGTTAAAGGGCCACAATATATAGCACAAGTTCAGCAACAGTCACGGCCAACATTGAATCTAGACGAAGCAATGTCCGGTGAACCAGTACAGAAAGCCTTGTCGATGGGATTAAGCGAAGGTAGAATACGTGCCGTTACCAAATATCATTTAGAACGTTTCGGTAGCCCATTTAAATGTGCTGAAGCACTCATCGAATCGGTATTAGATTATCAACGCGAAGAAGAACAACAACAGGGCTTAGATGATGGTGACGATGATGAAGAACAAAGCAGTTCCGCCATTGTTCGAGAAGGTAATTGAATTTTTCCATCTCATTTTGTACATCAGTTGACGAATGCAATTTATACGAAATCAATTTCTTGACACTTTTTATGGGATGATTTCAATAATTCATTGCAATGTCATTTTATTCAATGATATATTTATAATACGGATTCATTGCGTCCATTTTTTTTTTCGAATTTTCTTATTTTTTGGGTAAACCCCCCTTTTTCCCATTACTGATTTTTATGATCGTGTTTTTTTAAACAGTTGGACGAATCCTAGATACGATATTTAATAATTACCACGACTCATCGACGTCGTCATCGACGATGGGTGTTGATGATTATCCAAATGATCCACCATCACAATCGAGCCAATCAACCACCATTAGCTGGCCATCGTCGTCAACATCAACGTCATCGTCAACAAATAGCAACAACAGCGACTTAGCGCGACGGGATTATTTTGATTATATCGTTGATGCTAGGGAGTCGAGAGAAGCTATCAATAACATAGTACATGCAATAGCTGCTGCTGAATCATCGTCATCATCAACATCATCACCGCAAAAAGTCCACGCCACAAATCAAATTGAAAATGATTCATCAACAGTTACGGAAAACCCTACTGTACCTGAAATATGCCCCAGTACCTACAGCAATGGAAACAATAGCGGCGACGGCAGCGGCAGCAGCAGTACCGCAAGCAAAGTTTCCGAAAGCAGTACAAATGAAAGCGGCACAAGTAATGATAACAGCAACACCACAACCGTAAGTAAACAATGAAATCAAACGAGTTCAGTTGAAAATAAAAATAACACTGATTAAAGTCGCATTTAAAAATATAATTATTAAAATCACCTATAAACGAAACACTATATCATCATTTGCTGAATAAACATATAATCAGTTTTATTTTCATTCTTTATTGCGGTAAATATTTACAGAAAAAACTGTCCTTGGAGGAAGAGAATCGTCAACTGAAAGACGCCCGACTGTGCAAAGTGTGCATGGATGATGATGTGGCCGTTGTTTTCTTGCCATGCGGGCACCTTGGTAAGAATTTGGTTCTTTTTTTGTGACCAAGAATTTTCCCTCGAATTTGGAATGGAATTTAAACATCTGCTTTTTTTCTTCTTGTTTCAGTGACTTGCGTGCAGTGCGCGCCGAGCGTGACAGCATGTCCATTATGTCGAACGGCTATCAAAGCATTTGTTCGAACATTTTTATCGTAAATCGAAAATTCCTTGAATCGAAAATAAAAAAAAAATCTCGAAAATTAAACGAATTGGATCTGATTCAATAATAATTTGCTAAACTACTAAAACTAAATTGAGACTCAACAAAGAATGACACAAATTTTAAAATGGATAAAAGAAAATGAAAAGAGAATATATATTTCTTATGTCACAATTTTTATTTTTTGTTCAAATTCGTCCATTATGAATCTAATGTCTAATGTCACAGTCAAATGACTTCAAATTGACCACGATTTTAGTTTAAAACTTAATATACATCTAAATATATATATTGTCTTTTGAAATTTATGTGTATGTCCAATTCCAATTTTATTTTATTTTTTTAACTGTGTGTCTTAATGACATTTGACTACTGAAAATAGATTTTATTCATTGAAAAACCAAAATGTCTCGCATTATTTTTTTTGTTGTGGTTATTGTTGTTGGTCCAACATGAAATGTACAACGCAAATCATAAAAACAAATTATATGCGAATTTCGTGTAATTTACAGGAAATTATCTATAAAGTCACATGCATTCTTAGTGTTAAGGCACATATCTACAAAGTTATGATAAAACTATTTATTCTAGATGAAATATTTACAAGCTACAACAACACAAAACAGCAATTGTGTAATGTAATAATTATTTACAATAATTTAGCGAAGGAAATATAGAGAACATTAGTTACTTGTGATTTAAAACTGAAAAAGGTCGTTTAATTGTAAGAGTAATAAATTCACACCTTCATGATATCATCGCAAGCTGATTATTTGATTTAAACGGCGTTTGAAGCTATTGAATATGATATGGCCACATTTAAAGGTAATTCCCTTAGCATTTTTGGCAGTCATTTTATCGGGGACCAAATTATTGCTCTGGATTTTTTAGAATTAGCCTTCGCTTGGATCGGCCATAAAAATGATGAAAATAAAACGCCGACAAACATACATCTAACTTCAAATGAAACGAAGAAAACAGCTGTCATTTTGACTTAAAGCTGCTTTCAACAGTAAAATCGAAGTGTCAAAGTGATTCACGCACACAAACGCGCATTTAAACAGTCAGATGCAGTGCAGCTGTGCTATCGATACATACACATGATCATCGGCCACCAAACAACCAATGCTATATATGAAAATGTACCAATACACGCATGGGTGCCAAGCCATCAGTATGGAAACAGTGCTGTTAGTATTGGTTTGAAAGACAGTTTAAACGGACAAAGATTGGCAACGAACAAAACAAACACCGAACGGTATGTTGTTGAAAAAGATTCAACTCTCAAATAGTAGCAAACGTGCACTGTACACAAATAAAACAAATCGTTTGAGTGTTGTTTAAGTTTTCGTGTGTTGTTTTGGTTTTTACACATTTTTCTTTTCAATCGATCTTATTTTCATTTAATTTGTATCCTTTGATTTGAAATTGAAGTAAATTCCATTTCTCCCGCTCATCCGCAATCTATATCAATCTATGTGCAAATGTAATAGTTTTATCAATAAACGGTCTACGGATAATTCTGGGCGATGAGAATGACGCACACACGTACCGCGTAATAGTTATTCAAAACAAAAAATCAGATAAAACGAAATGGTAAACCAGAAATATTTTGCATTTGATGAAAATTGACGAAATTGATCTCGAACGTGTTTTTGGTGCTGTCACATTTTTAAAATCAGTGTGTATGTGAACGAGAATGAGTGTGTTCAATAATCTTTTGTTTGTTGAAAAAGAAAAAAAAAATGTTCAAATTATATACACTTTTGAAGATTGCTTTGTTTTGGTCATTCAAAAGTGATATTGCATACAAAATAGACGAAGAAAATAACGCACAAACACTCTCATTCACATACGTACACCATACAAAGGAATCGAGTGAGAATTGTTGTTGTTGCTTTTTTGTTGTTGTTCATTCTTGGTGTGTTTCTTTTTCGAAACGTTTCAGAACGCCAGACGACCAGTTAAATTAAACAGTTGAAACGGAATCGGAGGATTCCAAAGCCTTCGTGTTTCCTTGGTGATTTTTGTGATACTCAAATTTATTGTGAATGCGTTAGATACCGACGTCGTTTACGTTTTATCGTTCCGATGCAGCTTTTCAAATCAATCAAATACGTCACATTTTTAGTTAGCAATTCCATTTTAAAAAAGAAAAAACGCGAACGAAATATCAAGTGCTTAAGTTAGTTTTAAAGAAAATCGTAAAACAATAAATTAACGAATAGTGAAATTAGATAGTATAACAACAAATCCGACAATAAATTGTAACCAAAAAAAGTAAACTCAAAAAATCGAAAACCGAAGAGAATACACCGCATTAGCAGCTATACATAATGATTACATCAATTTTATCCCGTTGTATTATGTAAGTAACTAAAGTATCTATAAAGGAATCGCATGGTTCATGGTTTTAAAATTTGGGCCAATTTTTCGCAATAAAAAAAAATGACCATCGATAATTCAGCTCCATAAAGACCAGATGATTTTTGTTTGTGTTCGAATTTAAACGGTAACTGAGTTTACGTCGTTTTTTGGCACACAGTGGCTATTGGAAGTTTTTTTTTACTTCTATCTCTGGCATCTGCAATCACCTCGAGAATTCGTTTGTATTACGTGCTTTATAGTGTCAGTATTCGATGTCCCACTTGGAAATCCATAACAAGTAAAATCGATGTTTACTATACACACACACGCTCTACTCCATGTTCACATTGAAGTCACACTATGATTTTTGATTTCAATGTCACTTTGTAATATAAATGCAATCGCTTCCAATGCTAAATTCCGTATATGTACGGTGCATAACCTATGCTCGCGCGTATTGTATTTTTGGTTTGTTTTTTATTTAATTTAAATCGCTTTGTCTTTTCACCGAATTTCTTGTTGACTTTTGCTTTGTTTTCGGTTGTAATCTTTTGATGTGAACAAAATAAAAACATGCTCATACAATGTGTGTGTGCAAAATCGAAGCGAATGAATCACATCACGCAATAAAGTCAACGACTGCTTTATTATTTCGTGATCGCCCATTTATTTAATGCATACAATTCGGTGTGAGTGTGTGTATGCCTCAAACGCATTCTGGCTAAATATGTCAATGTGACTGAATTTAGCACAAGAGATTCACTTTTTTTTATTTCAAACTTCGTCGCTACTTTTTGTTGTGTGTGTGCGCGTTTTTTTGTCTCATTTTTGTTGGGCGGATAATACCTTTTTTCATCCTGATTTATTCATGTTATGCGATCGATAAAGCTTACACGTAATGTGAACAATAATGTTCGTCATTACGCGTTGCGGTTATTGCATCGAAATGATGAACACAAAATCAACGATTAACAAACATGTTTTTTTTTCTTCTTCTATTTATTACAACTTGCTTCCGTACACCAAATACACGAAATACCATGGAAAGTGAAATAAAAACGCGAATGATTTTTGTTTTCGCTATACTTTCAATTGCAATTGTTATGATATTGCTATTTTTTGTTTTCATGTTAATCGGGAACGAATGCGAGAAAAAGGGAAATAAATTTTAATTTCTATTCTGAAATGTGTATTCGAACTTTTTTTTTCGACATTCAATTCGATATGGAAAAGTTATGTGCACATCTTTTTTTACCTTCAAGCATACACAGGGCGCCGAAATTGTTATCGAATCGTTCATCCAGTCTGTGGTGCGTTTATAATATAAATTTTATACACGTACTATATAACGACGAATTTCTCCAATGAATCGCATAAAAATAGTCGTGCGTCAGTGAGAAAGATAGAATGTGCGAATCAATGTTTTCAACAAATAGCATTCGAACTATTGGAATTTCCGACAAATTACATTGCCGTGCATGTTGTTGCAAATTTTAATTTTGCTGCGGTATATTCAACTTGATTGAATTGACAGGGGCGTTTTTGTGAAAATGCGTAAAGAAGTGCCAATTTTTTCGATTTGCACATTTTTCTTTCCTTTCTTTTAAGTTTAGTACTCATCGGCGGAGTTGTCTATTTTGGTCGGATCCGTTACTTAGAGTGTGTTTTTCGTTGTTGTTTCGTAGTCGTTCGTCAAATGTAATCATGGGTATGTGTGTACACTGAACGCGATACGCGAAGAATTGCAAATTAAAGTACGGACCGCTCTTTTTTTGGACGATGTGCCGTTAGATGAACATGTCTTCGAAGTACAACACACCATGTCGATTCGATTAAAAAATAAAACAAAAAAAATGAAATAGCTTGACGGTAACGACTGTAAAAAAATCCCGGTCTGACATTTCATGTCACACCCAAAATGATGATCATTTTTTTCTCTATTCATCAACCGATAATGGGAGAGAGCACAAGCGGATCGCGCAAGTGAATGTAGACGCATTGTATTTCGTTACTGGTCTCTGACAAAACGCAACAGTGAAAAAAACATAACATATAATTTTCTATATTGCCGGTGATTTCTCTTCTTCCTCTATCTGTCTCCTTCCACAAAAAGTAATTAATTTGACGTAATAAATTCTCCGAGTCATTTTATTCAGTTTTATATATTTAAAAAAAAAACCACCCAACATTGGCGAATACAGTTGAGAGTTCAATCATTCGAAATATTAACTTTCAAATATTGTGTGAATCGTCAGTCACACACGCACCCATTGCCGTTAGAGTGTCAACAATTTTTTCTTTCATTTCTTAAAATTCGCATTAGAAAATCTAAACTGGTCATAAATCGGCGGAGTCACAAGCCCCATAAAAAAAACTATGACCATAAATAGTATAAGTTGAATGCGAAAGTGAGGCCACATAAGATAAAACGAAAAAAATAAGACATTGAACTTCGAATGACGTGAAAAATTGTATGATTCACATTGCGATGAGAGCAATGTAGAGGACAACCAACCCGAGTAACGACGAATTCGTACAATTAGAAAAATCGCTGTCAATTTAATTTTTATGGAATTGAAAATCGAATCGTTTCATTTTCAATGCATACATTGTAGAGCGAGAGACTGGCAGAGTGAGAGATTGATCGATGGTTTTCCATCAATAATTCACATGATTTGTCAAAAATTGCGGGAATCAAGAAATTGTATTGAATTTATAAATAAACAAACAATAAAGCATGTTTTATTTGTTGCGCCGCATGATTGAACATGAACACATCGAGCGCCGCAAATGTAGTCGGATATGGATCAGCGTCAGCAAGACTGACAAAGACAAAGAGAAAAAACAGCACACAAACACACCAGTAAATCGAATGAAAGAAAGAGAAACAATTTACGAATGAACATTGATTCCGCTAAATGAATATTTATCGGCTGCGGTTGAGTAATATAACAAATAATCTGACCTCTAAAAAACCGCCATTCGAAGTAAATATATTCTCATAAGATGGATCGCGTTCTCTATAATTGCTGGCATATACAAACCAATTAAATGCTATATTTATATGCACTTCTGTGTGCACCCACACACACACGCGCGTTCAACGAAGATTACTTTACGGAACAAATCATTAAAAGGTTTTGACATATTATTCACTTGCTCTTATTATTCTACGGATCAGTACAAATATGTTTTGATTATTAGAAACTGGATGGTCACTTCTCTGTTGTCAACTTTGAAAATGCGTTGAACGTGTATCTGATCAGCTAGGCCATTGAATCATATCGACTAAAATAAATAGTCGTTTCTGCGTTTTATTACACATTGTTTATACTTATATCCCATTATAGCCCGTATAGATATAATTCAATCCATATTTTAATATCGATAAAAGCAAACAGTAAAATATTAAAAAAATCTGCTTGTATTGATATACAGCGCCTGACGTTGTTATGATATAACGCTTTGTTTACGAATGCAATTCGAGACACAATTTTGACTTCGCATAAACAAATCAATTGAAACCGAACCGTTCGATCACGTTTTAACAATCACATTCGAAATAATCGGTAGTTGCAACATCGCTTTGATGTGTATTCACGGTATCGCTAACTAATAATATAATGACTCAAAACATCTGATCTCAGACCAACACCAGACAGTGACATCGAGTAGTCACAGATCAGGCTCAATTCATGCGGTTTTCTGTTAATAATGTTCAATTAAAACCGTTTTTCATCTCTCTATTTGTAACAACAATTGTAATGGCTTGATCTCATTCATTTCGAAATTGCAAAATGCGTTAATTGAATTTCACATGGTGTTTTGCTCTCATCACTCAAGATATCGTGTAGATTGAGATCATTGCATATCGCAGAGCATGTTAAATTTCAATTTGTTGTACGTATGTTGCAATTTGCTTATTCACAAAAATCAATTTGTTTAATTTAAATTGTCAAGCATGTTTTTCATCGTATTTGATATTCGTTTGGAATGATTTGACGTTATTGCTTTTTGTGTGTGCGCTCCATTGTTATTGTGTATATAATTGCATCGTTCCGACTTGAAATGGTTGGTCGCATATGTACAAAACGAGAGAGAGAGAGAGAGAGAGAGGGAGAGAGAGAGAGAGAATAAGTCGACCGAATACATTGGATTTTCCATGAATTGCTGGCGAAAATGTTTTTTTCCCCGAGTCATATCTGGCGCAGAAAGAAAGGCGCATTACACAGATTTTTTTGATCGCGCTCGAAGTAAACATACGTCGTTGTTCCATCACTGTCATACACACACAAGTTCAGTGCCCAGTATGCTGTACTTTGTGCACATCTTAAAAAACAAACAAAATCCAACGTTTTTCATCACACACAAGGAATTTTGCGCAATATAGATAATTCATCTGTAGAAAAAAAGCTTGTTTGCCTTTGTTTTCCGCGCACAGGTCTTTTTTCCTGCTCTCTCACTACAAAATCAGATCTTTATATTGTTTTTCTATTTGTTTTGCTTATTAAATTCGAACATTGAATATATATTGCAAATATTGTAAGGCTCTAATAGTATAGTCAAGCATGCGGCGCATATCAATTTTTTTTTTATATTTTGTTTTCTATTCTTCATCTAATTTTAAAACAAATCTAGTAAAACGCTACGAACGGCTGGGAGAATTATGCACTAGAAGTCAGCAAAATAGTTCTGGTTTCTTTTCTCTCGTAGTCGTTTCACTCGACGAGAGAAACGATGCAAGCGTCGATGATGAAAACACAAATTTATTATAAAAAGTGTTACAGTTTCGTTTGAGAGCATTTCCCTCCCATATTTCATATCTCATCATTCGAAATGATCTCGTTCCCTGAGCCATAAATATGTTTTTGTTTTTTGCATTTTCTGAAAATTTAAATAGAATGAACTCGCGTGCCTGTTGTATGAAACATTGCGATTCTGATTCATGTGAGGACAACTTAGTCAACCGTCATGCTAGGGATATGCTCGTTTTGAACGAACCAAGTCACACTGAAATTGGTATTGTGAGTCAAACTATGCATCACGAAAAAAAGTTTTAAAAAAAACACACACACACACACACAGATTGTTCCGTATGAAAAACGGAATAAAAAGTCAACGAAAGAAAGAAGCAACACCGTTCACGGGATTTGAAATGTGTGAAATAGTAATTAACACGAAAATAACTGCCGATTTCGTGAGCCGTTTAAACACAGTGCCCGAACTGTGCACGGTACAGTCGAAGTATAACACATTTTGACGAACAACGATATATTCTGTGCACATCATATGCCGATGCACAATGTTTAGCATAAATTATTACGGATCGGTCTGTGTGTACGAGTCAGAGCGGGATAGAGAATGATGATAGAGAGTAAATGAGCCTAGCTAGCTGAACTCACATTCCCGACCCTTCAGAATAATTTTAGAACTTGTGCTGTGTGTAAATAGAGTTGACGAGATCGGCTGCAACATAGGAAAACGCGTTTTATGTTGTGTCGCTTGTGTGTTTCGGTTGCATCCTGCGATCGTTCTGATTGAAAAGTATTTTCATAGTAAAATTGTAATCGAATTACTGGAAATTTACCTTCATTTTTCTCTCATTGTTCGATTTCCATTTTGTCTTCTTCATAAAAAAAAGGAAATTTCAATTTGTTTGTTTTGCTCACTTGTGTGCTCTCTGTTAGAGAAGACAAAAGATAATTTAAATATGCCAAAATCCAAATTAAATTCTAAAAAATATCCGTCCACCATCCGATCCAATTCACCAAATCGTATTATTACGCTTCACAATTGCATCAATGATATCATTAATAAATTTGAAAATTCACAAAAAACCTGCAATCGTTTTGTCCTCGATACCAAACAACCCATGAAATATCCAAATGACAAACCATCAAATTATTGTAACAATTTAAACAATTCTAGTGACAATTTTTATAGCTCAACGCAAACAAAACAATCGAAATTGAAACAACGTTCGTGGAATAAAAGTGTGCTAAAAATGGTTGATTCGATCAGTGATGATGTTATTGAAAATAATGATAGTAATGTTGATGGTTGTGGTGATGGTGGTGTTGCAACCGATGACATTCAAATTGACAATGATCAAATGAATAGTTTGATGGAAATGAATGATATGTACGGCGACTCTGTCGATCCAAACATCTATGACTACATGCCATTGGACACCGAACCAATTTTACCGCCGACCAAATTTATGCGTTTGAAAAATATAAACATTGTTCGATGCCAATTGAATGTGTTTCAACGATTTGTTGGAATTTTATTGAGTTTTCCGTTTTTTGCGTCGGTCAATGGAGCTGGATTATCAACGCTGACATGTGCCTTCTTTTTACCACGATTTTTATGCGAAAACATTTTATATCCCGTTTTTAGATTGATCCTTGGTACACTTTATCCGGCCTATGCCTCATACAAGGCGGTTCGAAATAAAGATGTTAAAGATTATGTGAGTATACTGTATAATTGAACTTCACCCGATCTCAATTTAAATCAAATTAAAATCCAATTAATGTTTGTATGTCTTCTTTTGCTCGCCAGCTCAAATGGATAATGTACTGGATTGTTTTCGCATTTTTTACATGTTTTGAAACATTCACCGACATATTTTTATCATGGTTTCCATTTTACTATGAGCTGAAAGTGGTCATTGTGATTTGGTTACTGTCACCAGTTACCGAGGGTAGTTCGGTGCTCTATCGAAATTTCGTCCATCCGATGCTGACTAAACGGGAAAAGGTAAGTGCACATTCAAACTATTCACATTAATATTATTGATTCGTGAGGTATTCATTTCAAACAGGAAATCGATGAGTATATCAATCAAGCCAAAGAGAAAGGCTGTAGTGCTGTTCTTCAGCTGGGCTCGCGAGGAATGAATTATGCAACGACTGTGATAATGCAGACAGCGTTAAAGGTGAGTGAGGTATGTGTGTTTTGTGTGCACTGACACAGCGTTTTCTCCTACTTCACATGCTCAACGTTCAATTGAGTTTAAAGTGCTATCTATCTCTGCACCGTTTTGGCTATAATTTTCTTTTGTTTAACCACCCTTTTCATAATACCCTAAAAATTTGTCACACGCAATTTGCATGAAATTCCAAATATTCACTGATTTTTAACCACTGTTTTAATTTTGATTTTTTTTTTTTGTTCTTTTTTTTTGGTTGGTAACAAATAACATTCATTGCACATGCACCCATTCCACAATAAAATTAAATACACAAACATATTTTGGTGCAAATCAACATGGCTTACAAAACAAACCAACAAATTGTGTGTTTTCGTCACTTTCTCACTGTGTAGAACAGTAGTTTGTTGCGTGTAACAAATGGGGAGCCAACATCTCCAACAGCGTCACACGGTGGTCGCGATGAGATCGATGGATTTGAACAGGTCGAAGCGTACATGTTAGAAGAAGAAAGTATGCAAATGGAACGTAACTCAGAACGATCAATAAGCCGAACGCCATTCGATGATCATGATGATGATGGTTCCGATTCGGACTATGTCGCAGAGGCAACCGAATCACTCGATGAAAACGATGAAGATGAATTTGATAAGATTGTCACACGTGGTCGATCTAAACGAAAAGCAGCGATTCCGAAAACCAAAAAGGAGAAAAAAGAAAAACCAAAAAAGAGTCCAGCAACACGCCAAAATCGTACAACACGTGCAGCTTCAGTGCGCTTTTAATATTAGCGAACAATGAATTTATTATCAATATCTGAATCGATCTGATGCGTAAAACTAATATATGCACAACAAAGATTCCCAAAGAGTCCAAATCCAAAAATTGTTCACTGCAGAAAATTGATGATGAATTTATTGTGCGAAATGCTTCACTTTTAAAATTTTGAATTTTTAGATTTAGCCCATTTTAGCTTGCCACACGCATGGCGCGAGCCAATTTTTTTTTATTAGAACCAAACTAGTTAATCGTTTTACTTCACTGTGTTAAATTTAAGTTTTTATATTTCACAAATGTTGGGCTCCATTTAGAGAATCTAAAATTTAAAAGTTTCTTTTTTCGGGATAGTTGATCTTAAACTTAAATATAAAGACTAAAAAAAATCACAATCACAATTTAAGCTAGCTCTGTTTCTATTTTCATTTTAAATAAGCTTAAGTTGATTTAAGTGTTTTCTTTTAAGTCACATGCCTTGAATAGTCAAATGATCTTGAATCTTTCAATTCAATCTCATAGGAAAAAAATCGCAAAACGCTACGGCCCCATTTTTTCTGAATGGAATTTTATTATTAAAACAGGTTAAGCGATGATTAAGTAATAAGAGTTTGCAAATTATCGAAAGATCGATGATAGGATCAAAGTACTGAAATGTAAATAAATTTGCGAAGAACAGAAAAAAAAATAATTTGGTTCATGTTTTATGTATAATAATTCTAATTTCATTTTATCGAAGTTTTTTATTTCTTAACTCTTGCACTTTGTTTATTCGCACTCTGTGATTTGAAAAGTTTCGCTGCTAATCCAAAATCGAAATACAAATTAATGATGCCAATGATAAATGCCAATGTAACATAACAAGCACATTTAGTTTGTACTCATCACATGCCTTAAATAACATTTTGTGCGAGATTCACACAATGCGAGCGTGATTTCTCTCTCTCTCTCTCTCTCTCTTTCTCTCCATTTTTGCGATAACTCTCCATTTTTCTCTCTATCTTAAAATCGCATCTGTTTCAGGGTGGCGGAAATTTGGTATCAACTTTAAAAAAAAGTTACAGCCTAAGTGATCTCTCTGAACCGGATATGCAACGATCCCAAGACGAAGTTGATGAAATTGTGTATGGCCGCTCCAATCAAATGGTTCAATATCGTCAGATTCAACCAAATCAGCGATATATGAAAACACGGATGCAACATCCAAATCAAAATTATAGCAATGGAATAAATCGATCTTCATCGACCAGTAGAAGTGTTGACATTTACTATGATGACAGGATGACTAGAAGCTCTGACAACTATGAGTGAGTACATTTATATTTAATAGCAAAAAAAACCAATACAATGTGATTACCTTCCATTACAGTTACATTAGATCGTCAGAAGACATAAGTTCCGGCTATTCCAGTACAGTGGAACCAGTTTCGATGGCGTTAAGTAGAACATCATCGTTAACAAATGCACCAAGATTTCGAACGAAATCCAAACGTACTGAGGTAAGTTTAGTATCCGAATTGTTTCACATTTAGGGCATAAAATTGTTCGGTGGGAAATAGAGAGAATCTGACATCGAAACTGTTGTTGAATTTAATGCAATATTTTCGAACGGACATTTTTTTCAAAAAAAAGAAGCCAAATCGAGCACGTGGCGAAACGTATAATTTACATAGCGATCGAATCGTAGAAGTTGATGATGATAAAGAAGCAGCTTTGGAAAAAGTCGACGACATCAATAATTTGAATATGAAATATGAGCTGTTTTGTGAGTGGCTTCGCCGAAATGGTCAAGAATCGATGTTGAGTGAAAATCATGAACAAACTGCAAGCACAATGTTGACTGAGGATGAAGTCAGTAGCTTTGCTACAAACAGCGACGATAGTGAGAACGATGTTTTCCTTGACACTGAATCTGATTTTCCAATGATTATTTTGAGTGTAGACGATAATTGTTATTCGAATTTGAATGGTGCCGAATCTCCGTCGTTAAGTGAATACAGAGTCGATACACCCAGCCATTTGAGTGTTAGCGATTTTGATTGTAGTTCAAGTGATATTACGGTTAGTAGTAAAATTAGTGCAACGAGCACAACATCAAGTCAATTGGCCAAATGTAAAGCCAAACACAAAAAAGGAAGAGCACCTCCCATCCCAATGGCCAAGCCAATTGAAAGCAATTGTAATGAATCTTCTCTCACTGTTGATCTGACCAATAAGATGGATCCATCCGAACATCCGGCCACTTTAAATCAGATGCCGTCCCATACGAGATCAGCGCGTGAAACTGATATTTAAGATGATGTAAGAGGAGTGTGTGTGTGTTTAGCGTTTAGTTTTTCTTTGCCGATGGAAATTGATTGATCTCTTATACATACGGCCTGTGAATCTTAGATCTGTTTTTTGTGCATAATATATCATCAACGAATTTGTTCAATGGACGACACGCAATATTTTCATACATAATTTTATTTCATTCATTTATTTCTTCTTTTTTTCAATAGGAATCACATGACGAAAATAGTTGTTGTGAAATGTCTTTGCTCGAATCACTCACAATATCACATCCATCAGCTTCGGTCGCATGATGTGTCATATTCGTTGCTTTCACAGTCATATGCGAAATATATTTTTTTTCTCTCGCGTTATCTTTCGTTGTCTAGTCTTCATTTGAATAAAATGCAATATTAACACCATACGAATCATTTAAGCATAACCCCTCATATTTGCAGTTAATTTCGGTTCGATGTGGTAAGTGGAAGGAAACATTGAACAATTCGTATTAGATAACTGCATTTTACCATCCTTGTATTTTTTTGTGACAACTAATGAATTACGATATGTTTCTTTGTTTCGCATGTTTTTTTTTTCCCTCTGAATCTGAACTTTTCTTGCTTGATATGACGAATTTGGCTCTCGAAAAAATGAAACACTTTACCTTGTGCATTTACTAATAAGTTTAATAAATGTTTTGAACCACATCACCCGTTTGGAGTGCCCAAATTGTTCCTGGATCTATTTTTATTGCCTGCAAATTGTTTTCATTTTAAAAAAATATCGAAAACTAATCATAGTTCAATTTCTTGCTTTCTTTTACAGGAAAAAAGCCTGTCATCATCTACAAGTTACTCGACGATTCCTCGCACAAGGAAAACAGAACGAGAACGAACAATAAAAACTCGGCTGCGCAATAGTGACAAATATGTTTAGAGATCTTAAGATTTATAGTAGTAACAAATGTTCACACCGCATCAATGGCATCCTTGTGTCAAAGAAGAATTTGAATAAATCAAGCCAACATGATGATTTTCTTAAGTAAATCAATGGCTACATTACCTTCTGAGTGGCTACCAATCGCTGCAAAATACCCGAGAATTAAAAATTAAAAATATTCATTTTTTTTTTTAAATATTTAACATGTAAGGAATTTCACGCTCAAAACCAAACCAAATAGAAACATTTTTCCGATATTGATTATAGTATTGGTAGCGCAACTTAAAAATGTCGTTTTTTTGGTAAAAATAAAACTTTATTTCATAAATTCTGTAAATAACATGTCATTCAAAGTATTGGCCATCGGAAGCTATAACCTTTTCCCATCTTTCTGGCAGCATATTGATTCCGCGAAAAAAGAACTGCTCATTTTTTGAGGCTAAGTAAAAATCAATCCAATTTTTGATACCTTCAATTGAAGTGAAGTGTACTCCAGACATGTCATTCTGCATCGATCGAAACAAGTAATAGTCAGAAGGGGCAATGTCTGGGCTATACGGCGGGTTGGGCAAAACTTCCCATCTACTAGCTTCCAAATAGTTTTTAATCGGTTGAGCAATATGATGCCGAGCGTTGTCATGATGGAAAATTATTGACTCATGTCCGGTCGCATATTCTGGCCGTTTTTCGTTCAATGCTGCCTTTAAACGGGGCAATTGTGTTCGATACAGGTCTTCCGTGATCGTTTCACCCGGTTCTAACAGCTCATAATAGAGGACACCCCTCTCATCCCACCAAATACAGAGCATTTGGTGGAACATTACCTTAGCACAATGAATATATTGCTGATATTGCTTGGGCGTTTCGTAATGAATCCATTTTTCATCACCAGTAACAATTCGATGCAAAAACGACTTCCTTTTGTGGCGCTCAAGCAGCATTTCGGACATGCACAATCGTCTTTCAACGTCTCTTGGTTTCAATTCATGTGGTACCCAATTTCCTTGCTTTTGAATGAATCCTAATGCTTTTAAACGTTTTGAAATGGCTTGGTGAGTCACTCCTAATGATTTCGCAAGTTCTTCTTGAGTTTGACACGAATCTTGATCGAGTAATACCTCCAATTCTTCATCTTCAAACTTTTTTGGCTGCCCAGGACGTTCTTTGTCTTTTGTGTCGAAATCACCACTTTTGAAGCGCGCAAACCAACGCTGACACATTCTAACGTCTACATCATAGTCGGGATAGGCTTCAGTGAGTAAACGATGTGCTTCAGTTGCATTTTTCTTTAAATGGAAGAAGTAAATTAAAACTTGCCGCAAATGATCTTTTGTTGGAACGAAATTCGACATTTTGAACGCAATAAAAAACTTGTGTGTATAAACTTGTATTCACTTTGACAGATGGAATTTAATAGTTTTTTTGACGCTCTTTAAGATAAACTTGTTGACACTGTCAAAAAAATGGCGCGTATGATACATAAGAAGTTGACACAAATACGACATTTTTAAGTTGCACTACCAAAATTTAAAAAAAAAAAATTCGGCCAAACAACATAAGAAAATGTAATTAAGATATAAATTCCAATCATATAACCATTTTTTGTGTGTTTTTGTGTGGAAAAAAGAAAATTAAAGGTGTTACCATTTACTGAACATTGAAAAACATAGCTGATGCTTGATAGACAATTTTAAATGGAAAAGAAACAGCAACGGCAAAATGATAAATTAAATGAAAAGTTTATCTATTTATTGAAATTATTCCAAGTAGTGAGGTCGATTCTATAAATGTGATATCAATGTAACTCGCGTCTTAGAACCGGCTTTTTCATTGTACTATTCCCAGAACTGACCCGGACTGGAAGAGTCACACGGTTGGCACATAGCCGATACATTGTTATTTGTTGCAAGGAGAAATATTTAAATATATTATTTGATTCAAATTAAGTTCTCCGCCCTACATGTAATTTCAAGACAAACAAAAATTGAATGAAAATTGTTTTTTTTTTTCAAGTCAATTATCTTACTTTTAGTTTATTTTAAAGCCATATTTTAAGAGAAACCGATTTGATATGAAAATAAATGAAGATTGTCAATTGAAAGAGAGAAAAAGTTTGGCGTTTTTATACGTTTTTTTAGCGCATAAGCTCAAACTTCTTTGTAGGTGCATCTTCTGCAGTAAAATATGAGTTGAGAAAAGGATTTTCATTTCTTTGAGGGAAAAATCGATGGAAATTTTGATTATAAAACATTTTAATTATATTTGGTGTTTTTTTTCATTTGGTCTCAATTCTTTTTCTTCATAAAACAGAAAATTAGCTTTGGCAATTACGAAACAATTGAGGCGTGTTTACAGTTGGTGACAGTTGTCAAATGCATATGTTTAGGAAGTATTCGACAGTTGGTATTTCAGGTTACTTCAATAACATATGAGCAAAATAATTCAAATGCATTCAAACCAACATCGATATTTAATGATTTAAATAGATTTGCAAATGTTTTATAAATTTAATCCAAACGAACTGGATAGCGCATGTTACACATAAAATAAAACGTAATTGGTCGAATCTATAATATGCATTTATTCACTAAAGTTTTGTTTCAATTTTTCGATTAGGTCTAATTGGTAGCGGTGGCGGTTGCTGCATTGGTTTCTTGCCTATTCTTACGTTCACTTTCCATTTTATTAAATTGCTTAATTTTATTGTCTAAATTGCCGTTATTCATATCACGAAATAGTTGGTTAACTTCTTCGCGATACAGTTCGTCTTCGTGTGGATACATTTCACGCTTTTTCTCAATGACATACTTTTCAAAATATTCGGGTGAATTGAATACATGAAATGCTGCTACTGGAAAGGTTAAATACAATGCCATTTTGGCCACTTCCAGCACCCAGCCGCCCATTTTGCTCTCCTTGTCTGTGATGTACTTCTTAATTGAAGAAAATAAAAAACCACAACATCTTAATCCAATCCATGAAAATGAATTATAAATAATAGAATTAAGAACCATACCCACCAATTAAGATATAAATATTTTTGATTTGCTACGATTTTTTATGCAAATCTTCAATGAGTTTTATATCATTTGTTTTGACATAACACTGTTTCAAATGTCAAATGAATGTCTCTACGATAAAGTTGCGTTTACACGCTAAAATTCGACTTTTCCAAATGCTTTTCTGTCGGACATTTTTGGCGGCGAATTCAAACATTTGAAAAAAATAATAATGATAAAAATAAAATAAAAATAAAATAATGAGTGAATTTTTTATATTGAATTTTATTTTATTTTTGGGAATTATGTAAACAATTAGTGAAATATTAGATCGTTGTTTAGCACTTTAATAGAAATAAGTTCGTCAAAAATTAAAAAAAATTAGTAATCAATTTGGAGAGAGTTAGTTATAAATTTTCAAAAAAAATGAAATCTTTTGTAGTCGGAATTACTTGAAATTTGGCATGCCTTATTTTTTCCAGTAGAAGGCGATCGGACAAAAAATGAGTATAGCTCTCATACAAAAGTTCCAATATCTGGAGTAAGAAATTTGTTTTTCGAAAAAAGTGTGAATTTTGTGAAAATGAATTTTTTTGTTTACAATCAGAATTTTATGAAATTTGGTATGCCTTATTTTTTCCAGTAGAAATTCATTTTTTAATATTTGGAATCTTTGAGGAAACCTTTATAAAAATTGTACCTTTCATTTTCAGCATTTTGGAAATTAAATTTCGCAAAGTATATGTTTGCATATTTTCACATGTAAAAAGATTGACACGTAAGTAAACATCCGAATTTAAATATTTAGTTCTAGAAATGACTTGCTATTTTTGCCCGGATCGCGAGTCATTTCCGGTAGGTTTTGTGAACCAATTTATATTTAAATATTTGAATGTGCGCACTCATCGAAAACAACAGTGAAAGTTAATTTTTCATGATGAGTTTATTATGTAGGTCTTCATATTTACCAACGATCTTATCTGTTTATATGATTTTATTATTGCATAATTTTCGGTCGGTTTGTATTGTTACGTTTTCAAAGTCATAATTGAAAAAACGAACCAAAAAAACTTCATCTCGAGTTCCGACGCAGCTCATGTGCTTCTCCATATGAGGTTTTTAAAGCACTGTTCTATGAACGATCCAGACTCTCCGAAGAGAATGAAGCGAATATTACATGCAGAAACTCTCATAATATCTAAATTAATAAATATATTTTTTTCTAGAATTCAATTCAATTTGTTTGTAAACATCATTTGGAATAAACTTTTGGGATAAAACATTTTTGTAAAAATTAGTTTAATCAATACAAACGTGATAGGTTATGTCTTAAAATATTCAATAAAAAAAACAATTAGGGACTGTATTCATGTATTATTACCAAATTGTTTTTTTTGACAATTCTTCTGGCTGCAATACATTTTTGATAAATTATTTTGGATAAATTACGTTGACTATTTAAGAATCTAGTAAAAATGTATATAAAAAAAAACAGTTCAAATATATTTTCGTTCTCAGGTGAGATTTAAATCGAGACTCATTCGGTCGTCATGTAATAGGCAAACAATGCCCGAGCATCGAGTCATGAGCTCCCGTACATATGCAACAAATCCAATAATTCAATAGTGGAAGTAAGGTTATAAACCATTCATGTAATAAATTGAGATCATCATAAGTCAATGAAAATAGATGGTATTCTAATTTCAATTGGGCAGCATGGATGTTTAATCAGCACAAGATTTCCTCCAAAAAATGTTCTCCACTCTTTTGACAATGTTCGAATATATAATACAATATATTCGAACAGTTTGTTATCGTTTTCCAAACTTGCATATTTTATGAATATGACCTCGGGGCGTATGACCAAATCGAATATTCCGAATATATAGTGAATATTTACAAATATTCGAATATGTCCCGAATATGCGAATATTCTCGAATATTTTCCGAATAAATTGCGAATATGCTGCAAATATGCGAATATTCAAATAAACAAATATTTTGCGAATATGCGAATATTTACTATTTGCGAATAGACATTTGCCCCTAGAATATGACTGTAGTTTGTAGCCGATTCCAGGAAAGTGCACTGAATTGCTTCCAACCATTATTTTTCGTCAAATTTTTACCCGCGTGACTGCCAACAGTCTATTTAGCAATTTTCAACATTTTAATGCATTGTAATTGACACTTTCCAAAATACCAAACGTGATTCGGAACTATTGGAATTAATTTTCCCATATTCTCGTCAGACACTAAAAGGCCTAACATTTTTGGACCCGATTTCCAAAAATATGGGCTGGAATACTAATTACCTCGTTTGGGTGGTATTTTGCCACTTATGTTAAAATTCACCATTGAAGAGATTATATATTCATTTAATGTGAAATTCATGGTTTGGGCGTCTATTTGCATGTTTTAATCACACATATGTTATGTTAACTAAGATCAAAACATTTATGTGTTATTAAGAACTAAGTATTAGTCAATTAGAAACTCAGTGAAATTAGTCAAGTCATTCTCCAAAACGCCACTCTCTTTTAGTATAGAGAAAATAGTACCGTTTTAATAACATCGAATTTTGTTTGATTAAAATGGTCAACGATTGGCAAAATCAATTCAAAATGTATTTTCTTTCGCAAAAGTTAATGTGTTGAGTCATTTTTATAAACAGGATTTTTATATGATCGATTTAAATACACGTTCCAAATTGCAATGACAAAACAATGACACAAACATCTCTTCAAGCTGAGTCATTGATGATAAAGTGTGCCTCACCAAATGTTTGATCGTAATCAAAACGGGAATCATATTCCATATGAAAACTGGTGGAATGAAACATCAAGCATTGTTTATGTAATAGAAAAAATGTAATGGATAGTAATTAGTGGAATAAAGAAAAAAAAAATGCGCTGAATAAAAAAATTTTAACAAAAAAAAACATATAAATTTCCAGCCAAATGGATGGTAACCTGAAAACGCAATGAATATTTCGTTTTGCGTGGGCTATTTATTAATTTTACTAGGCCAATGATAATATCGTGGTTGTTTTGCTTTTTGTGTGTATTTGCGAGATTTCTGTGTTTTGGATAAAAAAAGGTACTCGAATAAGAATAAATAAGTACAATTCAGTTAGAAAACCGGTTGGCATTAGAGAGAATAGAGAAAAAAATACACACAGAATCCGAAATCCAGTCAGTGTGTATATGCTTTCAATCCCCATTCTTCTTTCTCTTCGATTTTATTTATCTGTTTGCTTTGCATTTCATCACTGAAATCGGCACGACCAACATTTTTCGCTCTTTGTCTAGACCGAAATAGCGCACTATCTTATGCACACATAGAAACACACACACACATTCATAAATATGTAACCATACCGAAACTAAATGCATTGTCTGTGGCCGTTGAAATAAAACCATTTCTACCTATACCATTTATACCTTGTATATTAATTTTATTTTATTTAAAAGCGCTTTGGATCATAGGATACCCGCAAGTATATTGTTTATTTTTTTATGTTTTTCCATTCAAGTGTAGGCCACTCCATTCGAGTGTGATGAAGAATATTCGATGTATCATGATGAAAATTAATTGTCATTTCTTGTCCAATGCATTACCATATATAGCAATATGTACGTCGCTTTCAAAAAGAAAATAGTGAAATACACAATGAATTTATGCACACATTTGGCGAAAACATCGTTTTGAGTGTTTGAGAGTCATCGTCAACGTTACATGTTATTCATTACTATTATTAAACGGAAATCCACCAAAGAAATGACCAAAAATAGTGGGTCAGACACTGGGTGTCTGGTCGACAAAACACATTCATTGACTGAGATAATCACAAAATTTTATGCCAAATTTCCGACGTTAATACGTTTGATGGTGATCATTAAGCGGAACAGTTCACATTTTGTCACCCTGTTTTTGGTATCATCTATCCGAGAAATTTTTTTAAATATCAGCTCCAGTAGCAGTAACACAACATCAGCATTTATTTCATTTAAACAAAAAAACATTCTACGCCGTATAATCCGACTAGAAAGGCAAAAACAATGGCCAAATTCATGAAAACCAAACGAAATTCATGCATTGGCATGAAAGAAAGAGGAGATAGAGTGTGAGACCACAATGAAGGGCCAGAGTGAACGTGGCAGCGATCAGTACGGCGAGCGAGAGAATAGAAAAGAGCATCGAAATGAAAAAAAAAATCATTTACATGCAATGCGATTTTATTCGAGAGCGTACATTATTCGTAGCATTTGGTTTGTGTTGTTTGTTGATTTTGTTTTTAATTTCGGTTGGCTACTATCTCATATTTTTCTCGCTCGTTTTCTTCGTTGTATGTATCTCGTTAATTTTTGCTACACCGACACACGAAAGGTTACATGATCGAAACAATAACATTTCTATAATGATGTAGTTTTTCATATTTGCATCGCACATCAAAACTGTATGATTAAACGCAGTTTTTTTTTCGTCTATCTCAATTTGTTTTTCGGTTGTGCACAAAAGTCAATGATTGTTTTCATCAAACAATGTTTTTATTTGCGCGCATCACTCGACATCGTTTCGATCGAGCTGATGGTTTGCAAATACATGTTTAACAATTAATTTTTGTAATTAGGAAAAGTTCTTGGTTTTAATGTGTAGAAAATTGGCGTGCAAGATGAAATCACTTATGACGAAAAAGCCGATCTTCGTTATGGACTTGCTGGTTTTCTCTCTGTTGGTTGATTTCTTCAAATGAACATGCAACAAAACAGCGAGAGTGTGGAAGACACTTAATTTTTAAGTGATGCATTATTCGACCGATGCAATAGCAATATGCATCCTACTCTACGACTACTATACATCGTTCAACCGAAACGAAACATCTTTCAAGCAAAAATAGACGAATCACTCTTTTCACGATTCTATTTCCTTTTTGTTGGCTGAACATTTTCGCTAAAAATTTCGAATTTCAACTAGAATGCAAATTGATTTTTTTTCTGTTATTATTTGTTCATTTTTGCGCGCAAAAAAAATTTCAATGAAAAAAAAACCACCGAAGCCGTTTCCAAGTGAAAGCATCAGAACGAATGTGAACTACATTGATTCGATACAATTTGTTTAATCTCATTGTTTGTCGCTGGCACACACATACACACACTCGCCGAAACTTACTTACATCAATTTGCATGGAAACTTATTTACGAAAAATCTCAATATTCGTTTCATTCTATTTGGTGGCTTTCGAATGGTTTTCTTTCTTTCTCTTGTCTGCACTTTCGATATATTTATAGCTTCTACATGTTAAACGTCATATTGACCATTGCGGTTCCATAAAATGCAAGAAACCGCACAAACAATGTATCAAAGAGGAAGATGAAAAAATATTGTCCAGTTAGAGAGCGAGAAAAAGGTTGTAATCAAAAACCGAATCCGCATAATACACACAGACCCATATTCATCTAAATGTATCGAATGAAAAGATTGAAGACAATATTATTATTTCTTTTTTATTCGTCTTCTTCTTTGATGTAAAAGACCATCATTCACAATGAAACATTACGTAAAGCAAAGAAGAAAAAAAAAAAAAAATAGTAACAAATGTAAGCAGCCGCCTGTTCCGTTCATGTTCCGAAAATGTTACGGCTTTATTATATTTTTCTTCTATTTTTTTATTTGTTTCTGCATGATTCCTCTTCTGCTGGTGTTGCTCTGTTGCTTCTCTTCTTCTTCGTTTTCTTCATTTTCATCATTTGGCTTCTGTGAAAATATTGCCATTAGCCAGAGGCAAATATTATAAAGCGATTGTACACGCTGACTCTCTGTGTATTACGCTCTCTGATGAGTCATTGGTGTGCGTTCAACTGTGCCTATTTCATTCGATTGTATGTGTTCGATGGTGATGGTGTACATTGTATATTTTGGGGCTATAGAATGTTTTGTGTGCTCTTTCGCGCCCGTATATTCATGTATATGGATTGTCTGCGTATGTGTGTGTGTGTGTATGTGTGATTGTAGGAAACGTAGCGTTATTTTGACGTTTGTACCTTGTAAACTTATGACTTTTTTGCACAACACGCAATATCAGCTGGCTGAACACATCGTCAATAATTTTGTGAATTTATTTCTCTTCATTTAATTTATTCTTTAAATACACAAACCACAGACATTTAGCTGAAAAGAAGCAGAACCAATTTAAATTGAATATTCCATTTTGATTTATTTTGTTTAAAAGTGTATGTGTGAGCGTGGCATTTTAATGCAATTTCCAACATTTGATTTGATTTTTCGTTCGCATTGGGTGCTCATCGTGCATAATAGTATAGTTTAGTTTGGTGAGAAGAACCCGAAAAATAAAATAAATATCAACAATCGCCCGAAATCAAGTCGGGCGTTTTTACCTATTTACCGTGTATGGTGTGACACTTACAAATTGTTTTGTTGCCATTTCCACACTACGCGACGATCATCCATACAAATTCGAGGGAAAAAAAGCAACAAAAAATCGATTCGGAAATTCACTTCGCAAATTTGTTTTGCTGGTTGTAGTGCATGGTAGTGCTTAACATAACGCATCGTGTAAGTTCATTTAGTAAACAAACTTAGAAAGAAGTGTGTGTGTGTGTCGCTTTTTTCACTTCTCTTCCTTCATCATTTGGAATTCAGTCATTTTGTGCATACGTTGTTTGTTCCATTTATACCATTTCATTTCAAGCAGAAAAATAGAAGAAGCAATGAAGTTGAAACGGCAAATGCTAACGCGTACCATAAGTTTTTACTAGTGATAGAGAAAGAGCGAAAAAAAATGTATAACTAATAATCTGTGAAAAGACTAAACGTGTGTGTGTGTGTGTGTGTGTGTCTGCATGGAGAGGAAAAAGACACACTAAACAGAATTATGTGTGTTTTAAACGTGTGGCTAAAGAAACAAGTTCTATCAACATCAAATTAACATGACATAATCCCAGAAGCAAGAACATTCTTTCTTGAGAAGCATAAAGTAACTTAAGTTGTTTTTTTTTTTCGTGTATGTAATTGCTTTCAATATAATAATAATTCTATTTTTTCTTCTTATTATTTACTTGTTGGTTTCGTGTATGTGTGAACATATTTCACAGATTGGTAAAATAGCGCAAAGTCGTCAAAAATAGCTTTTCTTGTTAAATTATTCCAGTTTTGTTGCGCTATTCGTAGAAATTTCAAGTATATGGTTTCAGTGTAATTTAAGTTATAGTTGATTTTGTTGATGTTATTGCTTCTTCATGTTGCCGTCATCTCTCTGCCACAAGATCTTTTGTGAAATGTGATTGTCCAGCCACGAAATATGCGCACAGAAAAAAAAAACAATAAGAAGTAATAAAGTGGTGCGTTTGTGTGTGTGTGTGCACATGTGAGAGTTCAGGCAAACGAGTTGTAAGATTTATCAAATTGAATTTAATGTGAAAGAAATGATTAGATCGATGATGGTATTCTTGTTTATTTTTTGTGTGTGTTGTCGATCACATTGCCCAATTGTCCTAGTGTGAATGAACGATTAATTGTGAAGGAAAAATAAAACAAAATACTCAATAACATTCATTTATTTATGTGTAGTATTCCTTTCAAATTAATTCGATTCAATTTTGATGGTGTAATAAAAAAAAATGTTGGTTCTACTGTTTGTATGTACCTTCGGTTACACGCGTTCATTCTAACCCGCAGATTTTGTTTTGTTGTTGTGTTTTTGTTTAGCAACAAATTGAATGAAATTAAATTGAAAACCTTCAATACATTAAGTTAAAAAAAAATAATAATACAAAAGCGTATTGATTGAAAAAAGTTCGTTTGCCAATTTATTTATTTGTTAATTTGCGATAGTCGTGAATGTTCTTTGAAGGAAGAGAAATCGCCATAAAATAACCGAAACGCACACAAAACAATATAGTTTTAAACATTAAGCTAATTGGTGTGTTTTGTTCTTATTTCCAGGTATATTCCATAAAACGTGAGCGTCAACGGCGACGACAAAGAAGAGGAAAAAACCGCAAAGCAATAAACAACATTTCGATTGTATTTTATACAAAAATCGATAAATCTTACAAGAGAAAAAAAATATCAAAAATAAAGTTGGAACAAAGAGACAAAATCTGCACATACACTCAACTTCCAACGACGATCGATTGATCGAGGAAAAAAGACACAAATTAATTTTAAATATTAAGAAAGAAAAAAAAAGTCCACACACATCAAAGAAATGGCTTCAGAGCGATCAATTCCACACCTACGCGATATATTTGGTATAAAAGGCTATAATTCGCATATGCAAAATGATTGTGGCGGCGGTATGACTAATATTGATCCATACAGTAATCCTCATATGCCAAATGAAACGAAAAAACATTCACGCAAAAATAAGCACGACAATCATAGGCCAATGGCAAATGGCGGCGATGTAAAAATGTTAGAACGTCATTTAAGTATGAAAAAAACGATACGAAAGAAAATAATGCGTGACTTGCAACAGGCATTTGTCGACGATCCAAATGAATTTCAAGTGGAAAATACAAATGCGGAACACATGAAGGCCGAATTAAAAGCAGAGGCGCTACGCTTCGGCGAAAATCCAAGTAAAAAGTCCGATAATTTTTTAGTTATGTTGCGTGGCGGTGATCAACATCAAGGACGATACGATTCATATAATAATGCACAACAAAGAGAATATGACTATGATTCGCCTGCAATTTCGGCACGTGATGAAAAGCAAAGCTTCTGGAAACGATTCACAATGAAAACCAAATCAAAACGCTGAAATAAAGAGAGAGAGAGAGGGTGTGTGCATGTGTGTGAGACTTTGTTTTTTTTTGTCGTTGTGCGAATGAGCGATTGAGTGCACGTACTGCTAATGCTGTTGCCGTCATCGTTGCCAAACGCCGACCTCATCAAACCGATTACAAACGAAACATTTAAATAAAATGAATTTAAAAAAAATGATAAAAACGACGACGAGGAGGAAGAAAACAACAAACATGCACAATAAAACAAAGCAAAAACAACAAAACGATAGAGAAAAAAAAAACGAAACAAATTAAATGATGATTGAATGGATGATAAATGATGATGCTGTAATCGATCGTAATCGAGTGTGAGAACGATATAAAACACATAACCGGAGTCCTTAGCTTGCTTCAAAATTCAATCAACAAAAACCACCGGCCAAAATAAGCGAGAGCACAAAACCAAACCCACAATTTACAACTGAACACTTAATGAACTTTTTTAGCATCTGAAATCAAAATGAACATACAATCTATACACAATCACGCGTTCATTGTCTTCTATTTTTTTAAATAGATAACAAAAACAAAAAAATTACGCAATTTTTCAATGCAAACAGTTCAAAATAAACCAAGTTCAAAGAGATATCATAGTTTATAAGTCTATAAAAAAACGAAAAAAAAAAACAAATCGATTTCAAATGCAAAGCGATACATTTTGCGAGCCGAACACACCAAAATAGAGTTTTCTAAACACATATTTTCGCTTAAAAAAGAAGTATAGAAACAAAAATTCCACACAAAGAACAAAACCAACAAAAAAAATTTTATGAATACTGTGTAATAAATGCTGTTGCGTGCAATGCGAATTTTGTGCACATATTTACAGAAAATTCCAATGAGTGAATCGGAAATAGTTGATTTTAAGAAGTTGAAAGAAGAAAAGCGGGAAAGAGTGATGGCGCTTCAATTATGCGTTTGAATTAAAAATGGATTTCCAAGCAAAACAAAAAAAAAACTATTATTGCATTGTACTTTACATATGTTTTTATATGAATGTAATTTGATCTGATGACTTTTTTTATCTAAGTTTAGACAAAATGTCAGACTTCTTATGTTTTTAATCACATTTTTTTGTATATTATTTTTTTTTTATTTTCCTCATAATGATAATTAGTCAGAAAGCATAGCGATCTATTCATCAAAACGTAACGAATGCATTCGATTTCGTGAATTTTTTTTGATGACCCATTTAAAGTATTAATTTTAGCATTGAAAATGCTAAAAGAGATAGGTACTCTTTTTTGTGTAGTTCTATGCGATAGAAAGACAGATACACGAACAATCAAAAGAGAGAGAGAGAAAGAGACATATATAAACAGAGTGAGATCAAATTTAGATTATGAAATGCTCTTCCACACCTATCCGAATGGTGGAAAGTTTTTAGATGCAATACTGCATTCGCAGATGCAGCATAAATGAAAGGCGCACGAGATGATGAACAACAACAAAAAATTATGAGAATTACATGGCATATATGTTCCAATCAAAATGAAAACAACAAAAAAAGATTCATTTTATTTACACTCTTATGATTTACATTCTTTTTTGAAGTTATACTATTATATATAAATGTAAGACAAAACAAGAAACAAAACAAACAAAAAATTATTGTTATATCAATAAAAATTATTTATAATTATTTAAAAAAAAACAACAACAAAACAAAACAAATGAAAAAAAAATACACTACAACTGGTTTAGAGAAATAAATATTATAAAGGAAGAATTCTAATGAGAATCGATAGTGTGATGATGAAATCATTGTGTGTTTTATTTTTTTGTTTTCGATATTGTATGCGTTTCGTAGAGGCAAAGACGCTTTATTTCTCTCTTTTTCGACAAGTTCATCAAATTCATCAACACGTTTTTGGCGGATAGGTCATTTTCAATGGCATTGTGTAAGTATGTGTTAATGAATACTTCATTAAAAGCTGAACCGTTTCTAAGCATTGTTTGAATGTAAAAAAAATGGTACCCATTGTGCATATTCAGCTATTTTATGCTTTTATCTAAACACTGATGACATCAAACATTCATATTGGCTTTCAAGGTGGATTTTTTTCATTGTTGTTGTCATTTTTTTTTTGTTCTCTTAATCTTCTCCAATCAATTCAAAACATCAGTTCTTCAAATGTGAAAAAATAGAAAAATTTACATGCAAAATGAATAAAAAAATGCGAGTATTTATATTTCTGGTTCTAGTTTTTTTTTAACCTAATTTAGTGGAGTAGACACAAAACCGAAAATTAGAAGAAACTCGAATCTATTGGGTCATGTCAAATGTACACGTTATATGCAATTTATGCTTACAAACGACACAATAAACGCATGAAAATCAATCCTCTTCAAATTTTCTGTCTTTATGGAAGTTAACAATGATTGTCCTGTTGTCCCGAATCACTTCATGAGATATAAAATCAATTTGTCAAACAGTAACGCTTATCGCACAACTTAGATTCACAAAAATCTAAACAAATCTTATATTTTGTATATGTCGATCGTAATTAACGCTAATGTTTATTGAATTATTTCATTGGTGTTCGTCGGCTGTGAAAAATGTTGGGTTCGTTTCAAAAATATTGTTAATATTTTCGATGGTCGTTGATTGGAAGCAAATCTATCTATATTCGGTGACATTATCTTTAAGAATGCCGCTGACCATCAAACAGTCGATAGCTTGGACTGCTTCATCTATGGTCAATTCGACGTCGGTATACATCAGCTGGCGGATACGTTGGAATTTTAGTAGACACTACAAACGTTATCTATATGCACCACTCACAATTCTTGCGCTTGCAATGTGCATGAAGATCCATGAAGTGGTTTTGAATTTTTCGCTAAGTGGATAATCAAATCTTTGTGTTTTTTTGGATAAGGCTCATTTGAACGAGATATGACGACAAGTGAACGGAGAAATAGATGAAAAAGTGCATGAAATTGATCATAATCGCAAAACCATTATAATTGCAAAGACCACAAAAGAGTAATGGATTGACGAATCGGACAAAAATGCAAACACCAATTAAGAGCCGATGGGCAAATGTATATATTTCGAAATTCCAATTGACGCAATGCAATTTGGGAAATTCAAAGTTCATACTATTTAACGTCAACTGACCACCTTGACTCATGCTATTCAAATCCGATTGCAAACAACATTTTTTTTCGTAAAAAACATACCTTCTTTGGACAAATAACAAGAAAATGAACAGAAAATGAACAATTTCTGAAACAAAATCATAAGAAATAAGTGTTGTAATTTGAATAGCCGCCATTCTTGAGTTGTGTATCAATTGTTTCAATTCGTTTGTATTTCAAAACTTTCTTTTTCAAATGAACAGCGAAGAACATGTTTTATTTTTTTCATTCGAAACAGTTGGTAGCATTGTCAAAAGTAATGTTTATATTGTGAATACATGCCAACACCTACAAATACACAAGCACGCTGCACTATACAAAAGGGAGCAGTGAGTGTATTGCGAAATGTCAAATGAAAATTGAATAATTTTGTAAAAGACATTTCATTTTGCCTTCAATATTGAGAAAAAGAACAAAACAAATCACAGAGTCAAAATAGAAATTAAAAAACACAAATAATAATCACTAGCATCACATCATAATCATAATAATCGTCAATAAATAAAGTGGTCGATTGATTTTCAATCGATTGAATTTCGTTAAATGTGCAATTTTATATGTTTTATGTAAATTAGTAAAAAAAAATTATTTTTGTGTAAATGGGTACGTCGTTGAGTCGTCAAAATGCTGCAGTTGAAGAGGCAGATGTTTCATTAAGTCATCCATATAAGTATCCACCAAGAACGGGTAAATAATGTGTGGATAAAAATTAGCATCTAATTGAATTGTGCTCTCGTTTATTGCAAACAATCTATTGTGCAAACACAACACAGAGTACCAGTATATGTGTGTTATTGTTAATCGTATTTTAATGTCTATTTGGTTTTCTGGTGTGTTTTTTTCTCTCTTCTTTCTGATGGAAATGTTGATTAGGTACATATTTTGGTACCCATTTTATAATGGGTGGTGAACGATTCGATACTCCACAGCCCGAAGCGTATTTATTTGGTGAAAATGGTGATTTAAACTTTTTAGGTAGTCGACCAACAGCTGTAAGTGACCTCAAAACAACTGAACGTATTATTGGATAATGATGATTTGCTGTTTGATTTTGATTTAAAAAAATTTCAGTTTCCCTATCCACCACCGCAAGCGAATGAGCCAACGAAAACGCTTAAAAGTTTGATTAATATACGAAAAGAATCGGTGCGATTTGTAAAGGCGTCCGATAGTACGCAAAAGAATAGTAATGGATCGACCAATGAACCATGTCATTCATATAACATTGAGTTTGTGTTTGATGCCGATGCAAAGTGTGCCATTCAAATTTTCTACTTTTGCACCGAGGAAGTCACGGCCACCGGATTGACGTAGGTTCTTTTCTTTATTGATTTTTATTTGTTTCTTTATGACGTTTTCGTTCGTGAAATAAATGATTCATATATTGGCAGGTATGTGCCACGCGATCCAAAAATGACGTCGGACGTGTATCATTGCAAACGCGGTGTAAATCAGACATTCTTACAAACATCACATGTTTTCAATCCAACATTGTATTCAAATGATTTATCATACAGTTCTGATCGTGATGTGTATCCGATTGTAATTCAATGTGTGGCTGATGAAGGGCCCGATGATAGTAAACAATCGCACACAACCATATGCGTTGTTGATCACCATTCGGATGGAACATTTGGATTGCGCGCATTGAAACAGAAAATTTTTGTTGACGGCCTTTGTTATCTACTACAGGAAATTTATGGAATCGAAAATAAATGCAATAATAAGGTATAAATTCGAATTAAAATCAACAAATTCAAAGCAAAGAAAAAGAAAAGACATGAAGACATGTGTATCATATTTTCCAATATTTAGGTGAATATCGACGATGAAACTGAAGACAATTCCGGTGAATGTGTCATATGTATGAGTGATACACGTGATACGTTAATTCTTCCGTGTCGGCATTTGTGTTTGTGTAATTCATGTGCTGATTCACTTCGTTATCAGGCCAATAATTGTCCAATATGCCGTGCACCATTCCGTGCATTATTGCAAATTCGTGCGGTGCAAAAGAGTTCAAGTGGTGCCCATATAAACATCACATCACCACAACAACAAGCAATACAAGACACAAATGCTGAAAATGTACCGCACGGTTATGTGGCGGTTTCGTTAATCGAAGCTCTAAATGGGCCGTCGCCAAATTCAACATCGATCAAAAGTCAATTGGATATGGTTGGTACAGATCCACATGAAAATGAATCGATTAAGAGTGCAGCCGAATTAAATCGTTGTGATGACTCAATAAATGACAAAGCACGAACTACAAAAGACAAAAACATTCCGCCTGAAGTAAGAAAGATATCATTCACTTCCATTGCACGTCCTGAATACCATTTATTTATCCGAATGTGTGTTAATTTCAGATAAAAATGTCCGTTTTATTGCCAAAAGAGGATAACAACAATTCAAAAGGTCAGCGTGAAAAAGGCCAGCGTCCGAAAAATGGTCAGACAACAAAGCAACAAAATCGTGATAGCCTCCATTTGGTGAATGAAAAAAATGCAAATAATTTACAGCCAACTGAACAAGATGATGATAGTGAAACGGAAAATTTATCACCATTACTTTACCACAAAAATAAAAAGTCGCAATTGAAACATGGTAAAAAAGTAGCGAACGCCTCATCAACGGGCGCTGGAACAGCAACAGCAACAACACAATTCCAAACGCAAACCGCACAAACGGCATTGCATATTGACGGTATCAATGAATCGATTGATGACACTGACACGGATTTGGATGAACGTGACAACGATGTAAGTTGATAAAACATACATTGTTTTCGTTGAATGAATGAATAATTGGGCGTAATTTGATTATTTCATTGATTCAATATGAGTAGAAGAGCATACGATCAATTGGTAAACAACGTGACAATGCCGATACAGATGGTAATAATATCTGCAGTACTGAAGATTCGGACTATTTCACACCCGAAGATCCGCACACCACTATTCTGAGCCCTCTCTGTCCCGATAAAGTATGGAAAGATTGATACATATTTGTTTCATTTTTTTTTTCTTTTCTTCTCTTTTTCACATCTACTTACATATTAGTTGTACATATTTCTCTTTTTTTTCTCTTGGTGATTGCATGTGATCTTGAATTAACAAAAATTCATTTTCTCTGTAAATTTGTTTTGTTTTGTTTGAATTTAATTTTAATTTTTATGTAATTTAAAAATGTTTATTTTAAATAGCAAGTATTTACTACAACAACATCCAACAGCAACAAAACAAACAATTTTATTCTTCCATTTGTTAAACTTTAATTTGATAATGATTTTGTTATATTTTTTTCCATCATGAATGTAAAACCGCTTACTAATCGTATGTCTAAATTTAAAAAAAATATCGAACAAACTAGCAATTCAAATATCAAATGGTAACAACAATTTTTGGTTTGGTTTTTGGAATGGCTTCAAGTGAACATGTAAATATTATTATTAAAACAGAAACATAGCATACAAATCAAGCGAAATATTCGCTTGTTTGAGTAGTCTTTAGTCTTGATAAATTGAATGCGATTTTCTTGTGCAAAGACGTTTGTAAATAGAAATATATATTATTTTACTAAATAAATTGTTTATTTTATCATTATTATTATCAGATTGGATTATAATTGTTAAGAAAAAGATATGTTGTTTTCATTTCTGTACGTATCTTTCCTGTGATTATTTATTTTTTCGATTAATTTTGAATATCTTCTATTCTAATCTTTCAAAAACAAAACAAAAATAATTGATATTTTACCATTTTATTCCAATTAAAGAATAAGGACAAGACAAGATCAAAGGAGAGCTTATCATCATCAGCCGCACCATCTCCATTAGTTGCACTAAAGGATTCTTCATTGCCAGGTGAAAAAAAAAATGCAATTTTGCACAAATATTTTTTTAATGTAAATTTACCCGAAAAAGAATAATTGTCTATATGTTTATGTTTTTGTTCAGCAGATAGTCCATCAAGTTCGGCCGATAGTTATTCATCGTCATCGTCGACACGTAAATTGTTATCGGCACCAATTCATGAACTTCAAACGCAAACAACAGCAACAACGGCTACAATTCCAACGCCATCATTGGCCGCAAGTCGTATTATTGATATTAAAGTTCGCGACGATAAGAAAATTTCGATTGAAAAAGCGGTCGACGTTTGAACGAAATCATTTTCGTTTTCAATTTAAAAAAGTGGTCATTTATATGAAAACTCAACAATAATACACACAAATTGAAGATAAAATATATTCTTTAACAAAAGAGTAAAAAAAAAACAATTGTTGATAGTAATTATAATAAATTTGTTCGAATGAGATGACACACACACACACGAATCTATTGAAATTATTGAGATATTTTTCCATTTTTTCATTATAGTATATGTAAAATTCTTTTTCATTCGAAAATATTTTACACATATTTTTTTATTTGAAATCATTTTTTTTTTTCTCTGTTTTAAATTTTTTTTACAAATAATAAAAAAAATCACTTGAAATCATATACGTATTTGACGCATTTTGACTTGTGTAACACTTATTCATTACGGAAACAAAATAGAAGTAGAAGAGAAAACAGTCTTGTTATCAATTGAATGCGTATGTTGGTCATATCGGGCAGAGTTGTTTTGGCTGTTGTGACCATTGTCCATCGGCTTTACACACAATTTCAAATATTTTTGCATTGCATGAAAAGATCATCTTGTCAGAGTACAAATAGGATGTTGCATGAATGATTTTTGCATGTTCCGGCATATCTGGCTTTAAACATGAAATTCCTTGAAATTGAGACGAAAATAAAAATTTAAAAAAATCAAACGTCGAATTTGGTAGAAAAAAGTATTTTCCATACTTGAGCAATTTGAAATGTTCCGTGACCACATGCCCGTCGCCAAACACTGCACATATGGTTCACCTTTTAATTCATAGCCTGGATTGCATTTAAGTTGTAGCTTTTGACCATAAGCGTAATGATTTTTTGAATTTCTTGAATTGAACGATAGCTCATTCAGAATCGGCGTTCCACATGTGACCGCTATAAATATTTGAAAAAATTATATCATTTTCATTTGTTTTTTAATCTTGGATTGCTTTTGCAATGGAAAATACGAAAAAAGAAACATTTTTTTTTACCTTTACATTCAATCTGTGAACCGTTCCACTTGAGATTTTCATTGCACTCAAAATAGTATGGTTGATTTGATTTTGCTTTGAAACCATCTTTGCACATAACATATGCTCGTGTCCGTACTGACATCGGTCCAATTAAATACAGTCTATCTGGTGTGTTGAATAATGTTTCATTGTCTAATTTTATTTCGCTAAAATAACTGTTTGATGGAATCTCGGGTAATGCTTCCAATTGGCATGACTCTTCATTTGCTTCACTTTCCGATGATGTGGTTGTTTTCATTTGTGATGAAATTGCATTTAAAATTTCATCATTTTCATCGAATTGAAGCGAAATTGTTGTTGTATCAAATGCGATTGATTCAGTTACACTTTCATCGACCGATGAAGTCGCTGAAACACTTTCAATTGAATTGATGCTGGTCGATTCGACTTGAGTTGGTATCGTCTTTATGCGTTGACTCATTCGACGCATAGCTTGTGAATATTCATCAAAGACCTTGGAAGTGACGCGAACGATAAAATACTTTAGTTTTTGCGTAACATTATCGTCGCCAGATGGGGGTTCTTGTAAGAATGTTAAATTTAAATTTCGATCGAACAATATCGTGTCAATGTAAAGACAGAGTACATAACGATATGCATTTTCCACGGTTGATGGCATTCGTTGTTGATTTTTCGCTGAATCATTGAATCCATATAATATGAATGGAAATAAATGTTCCATTGTCAATATACGATCTGGTTTTGCATTTAATGATTCGTCGGCTTGTGTCAAATGCGTCAGCAATTTTTGATCCATATGCTTAAAATCGCTCGTATCAGGAAGTTCATATAATGTAAGATCGGTGTAATTTGATGGATTTTTCAATAGCGCACAGAGAATGGGACTCATTTTATTATTGTTATTGCATCCATGATAGTAAAGTTCCTTTAAATCGATCCAGAAATGTTTGTCCGGAAGATATGTCAATTTGATTGGCATCGGTTTGGGCGCTGTGGTTGTCGATAATTCAATGTGACGTTGCTTCTGTACTTCGATAATCTTTGGTGCTGCGGTTGTGTGAACGGCACCGAATTTTGCCATCGATACGGAAATCACTTTCGTTTGGAATGTTGAACGAGTTGTTATCTTTGTTGCTTTTACAGTTGCTGTAGTTGGCTTCACGGTGGTTATTCGAATATCACTTTTTGTTGTTGCTGTTGTCGTTGTTATTGGAATTGGAATACATTCAGGCAATGGCAAATCCCAGATGCCACTGTCAATGCATGACAAAAATCCATCACCTTTTAAAATTGTTTCATTTTCACATTGCACTTCGACAAACGTGCCCATTGGAAAATTGGGCTGATTATCGGCAATTCGACCATGTTCATTTGCATAAATTAACCGTCCATTATGTGGCGCCTTCAATCGATCACATTTGATTAAGCCTAACGAACATTTAAACGATTTTATTAACTAAAACTACTTTTTTAGTCGAGCCAATCAAAATATGAAAAAAAAAAAATACGTTTTCCCTTAAATTTGGGATTATTTTTTCGGGAAATCTTTTGGCATTTGGAAACTTGTACTTTTTATTCTCTGAATAGATATTTGCCAAATAAAAAAAATTGTGCATACTTATACATTCCGGCTGTGAATCCGACCAAGTGCTATTGTTTAAACAATATCGTACATTTGCACCAACCAAAACATAATTGTCATTACACGAGTACTTTGCAATTTCACCCACACTTGTTTTTTCCATTGTTACTTGACCATTTAAAAGAGATGGTAATTGTCCGCAATTAATACCTAGAAAAAAAATCGTTCGGTTTTAATATGAAAATTGTTCATTAGTGTTTTTGGCTTACTTCGGCAATATGGAACTGGTAATGACCACTTTGATGTTCGCAAGCAATTTCGTATTGATGGCCCTTGTATTTTATATCCATCATTGCAATAGTGAAATGCACGATTTTCAAGATAGCGTATAAAACCGTTTTTCAGCATCAAATTATGTGCGCATCGTTGGCAGAACGGTGATTTCAATATCTAAATGTGAACGCCAATCAAATGGATTTAAGCAGAAGAATAAACAAATCGTTTTTGCATAAGCCGTTACCTTTACGGCTCCATAGATTTTCGATTTAAAATCGGTCCATGTAAATAGATTGCCCTGATACGGTTCGCATGTTGTATAAAATTCAATCATTTCATCGGCACTAATTCGTCGATTCCAGACATCCATGTATGCAATACGACCGACAAATGATTCCAAGTCACTAAAATTACTACCAATGCTATCCTACAATTCATACAAACACACTACCCCATTAAATTTTTTTCTCGAGCATTTGGAGAATAAAAAAACGAGAGAGAAATATTTACTTGTTCTTGACCCACAACGACTGTGCCGTTAGCTTCAATCAACATATTTGAGCTGAGATTGTTGCCTGAATAGCGTAAATTTCCATCAATGTAAATTTCATATTTACCATTCAAACTCATCCAAGATACGCATATAAAGTGCCATTCGCCATCGTTCAGTTCGATATCGGTGATGATGTTTTTTCCATGCACGTATAAAACGATTCTTTTTATGACGAACCAAAAGGCAAAGAAAAAGAGAAAGAACAGAATCACAAACAGATGAATTATATGAATAATCTTTTTTTGTTCGTCATTCGACGCATTTTTTTTTATTCAACTTTACCCATTGTAATCAGTCAAAGTAAACATATTATCGATTGAATCGGTTGCATATGAAAATATGGTACCATAGTTGAACGAATCATTTGTTTGAATCCATGTACAAAATGAAATCTACATAAGAAATGAGCCGAGAGAGAAAAAAAATGAATAAAAACCGAATTCAAAAAGTATTTTATCATTTTCATAGATAAAAAGGAGTGATGTATTTGTTCAGACCTCGTTCAAATTGTTCGTCGGTCCATTGAGTTTTACGTAGTTATGAACACCTGGCTTTGTAAACTCCAGCACATAATCGGGTGTGACGAATGTCTCACAATTTGCACCATAAAAATACGGTGGGCACTTACAATTGTATTTATCATAAATATTTTCATCAAATTCGTCGTCTGAATGTAAATGATTGATGTTTCGCAATGCAAACGGTGTACATATACCATTGTTTTTGCACGGATTCGATTCACAAGCTGATTTAATTTGTGTACATGTATCACCTTTCAAACCTTTTGGACAAACACAACGAAAACTTCGCCGTGTTGCACCCAAAATCGGTAGATCAACACATTGTGCATTCCGATGGCATGGCAAATAATCGCATGGCCGTAAATGACATCGACGACCAATGATGCCGGGCGGACATTTACAAATCCATCCAGATCCATCGGCCGAATTTAAGCATTGACCACTTTCGCATGGATTATTTGAACAGAAATTTTGACGAATCTCACAAAATTCACCCGCATAGCCTGGTGCACATTCACACACCGGCTTTCGATCAGTTTCAATGCATGTGCCAAAATTACTGCAATAATCATTCGAACAACTACTTATTTCAATTTCACATGTATCACCCGTAAAACGATCCGGACATTTTTCACATTTGAAACTTGTACTATTCACTTGAACACATTGACCGTTATTGTGACAAGGCGCCGAAACACACAACGAATATTGTTGCTCACAATGCGAACCTATTGTGAAAGTATGCAGATATGATGTTTTTAGACAGAGAATTGAACAAACTAAATGATAACTCACCTGTAAAACCGTCTTCACATAAACAACTGTACAAATGACGATTACCATTTTCTTGCACACATATTCCATGTGGTCCACAAATTGCCGAATTTATTTGGCACACATCACGTTTTTCTTCAAAGCAATTATCAATTGAGATGGCACCACGCGGTGACGTCATACCGGATGGACATTGTAAACATTTGATTTGATTGAAATCCGGTTGATATTGGGCGGGTGAACATTTGGCACAGTTTGGCATCAAACTGGTTTGGATCTTTTGATTTGCACGAAGTCGAGCGTGTGCCTGTGTTCCGGGCGGGCATTGCTCTGGAAAAATTAAAATCAAATACATGTTCATTGTATTGTCAACCTGTTTTGAATTTTTATCAATAATACCAATACATTCTTCGATTGTTTTGGCACCAACTTTTCGTGTTGATTGATATTTGGGACATTTTTGACATTCAACTTGACCTTCCTTATCATTGTAATAACCAAACTTGCACATCTGGCAACGATTCAACGTTTTATTGTGTAAAGTTCCTCTCGGGCATTGAACTGTAAGTTTTTTTTAATAGTCAATGTATGATAAAATGAAAAGAAAAGAAAAGAAAATGAATCTTCTATATACCACAAACACTTCGTTTCAACACTGAACCAGTACGACAAAGAAGATTCTCCTCCAAATTCAAATGTTTTACATTGATTCGTAACGAATTCAATCGACTTCGCAATCGTTCATTTGTATGATACGTCTTCAGTTCTTGTTTAACAATTTCGAGATTTTCGGCACGCGAAACATTTTGACTCCACAGCCCAAGTCCTTTCGAAATTTTCGTGTAAATTTTAATTTTCATATTTGCATTATTTCGCGATGACGTAGACGCTTTCATTCGATTTGGATTTCGTTTTTCTTCCACTGTACTCGCGTCACGTTTAACAACGCTATAATAATTACGATTTGTTGTTTCATCCATTCCATCGAATTCAAGATTATTTCGTGTGATTTCATTGCAATCGGGAATTTCCGATAAAATTTCACACTGCTCTAAATCTTCGCACAATTGCTGGCTGCAAGTAAACAATTCAATTAACTATCTTGAAAGTGTTTTAATGTTTTTGTTTTCCTCTCAGTGGTCACACTTACCGAATTTGTGAAATCAATAAATTGTGTACCATCGATGTAGTTAGTTCGGAATTATTTTTACACACGGTCACATCATCATCGAGTGTTATGCTAAATACTTGTTCAATGCTATCGGGTAATTCGATTTTTGTACAGTCTGGCAACGGATCATATGGCCATTGTGCACTATCATTTTCACAAATGTATCGTACATGATCAGAATGTTCGTCGTCTCCGTCATAAATGCTGAAACCAAGATCACAAACAACATCGCACCATGTGTGCGTTTCATTCTTTGCGCACAATGATTTTCCATTAGCTGGCGCAGAGAGCGTGTTACATTGCAATGGTTTAACGGTTACATTTGATGTGCAAACATTTTTATTGCCCGATGAATCGATCGCTGTATAGATGACAGTATGTACACCGATCCCAATATGTCCTGGATGTATTGATTGTGTTACATTCACATCGATATTTGAATTATCGTAAATAATCGGAGCAGCCCAATCGACAAATGATCGATTATCCGTTAGATTTTGTGCACTTGGTATAAATATTTCCGGTGGATTGATACAATTGTCGATGTTTGGTGGTGTTATATCCAATACGATGATGGTAAAATTACATCTGGCCTTATTTCGAAATGGATCAACCGCAATATAACTGAATGTATGATTTCCCAACTGTAATTGAACACCGTCTTCTTTAACCGATGGCTTGAGAAAAAAAGTTATATTGCCACCCGAATTATCTAGAAAAACGCGAGAAGAGTAATGCTTTTATTATATTTTTATTTCATTTTGGAAATTAATTGACAGCCTACCGGTTACATTTGGAGCCGGAAAGATTTTAACAAGTGCATGATCATCATCTTCAATCATTGGAACCGAAAAATTTTGCGGACACATTAAACTGGGAGGCGTGACATCTGAAAATCGATTTTTTTCATTTGAATCCATGGCTCCAGCACAAGCGAGAACCAAAAAAAAAAAAACACTTACCAACACATTTTGGTAATTTACTACGATTTGACCATACACCTGACTTTTTTCCACCACAAGTCTTTATCTTTAATCCACCTTTAGGTTCGAAGCCTGGATCACAGATTAATGTACAATTCGAACCGTGTACCACTTTTTGATTTGTACAGTCAGTTGGATCATAATATCCAAAACTCACTTCCGGTAGACCAGAGCACATGATCTCTAAAATGATACAGATTTGTATGTTAAAAACGAAAAAAAGAAAACGAAAAAATGCCAAAAATGGATGTTACGCTTGCAAGTCGTCATTAGTCCATCCCATTTGGAAAGTGGTAAACAATTGCGTGTTGCCGATCCAATCATATAAAATCCGGGTCCACATTTAAACTTGCAATCTGTATCGATTGGCATGAGTTCGGTGGTGCGAAGCTCCTCGTCATTATAATATTCCATAAACGTTTCATTTCGCGGTGTATAATCGAAGAATAAATTCAAGTCATTATTTTTGCACGTTGCCATTCCATAAAATGGAACTGGCAATTTTGGGCAGGTTTTCACTAAACGGGCAATTATTTAATGATTTTTTGTTTACTTTTAGTTTTAACACTCTGTGGTTCAACAGTGTGGTTAGATAACTTACGTACGCATTTCGCTTCAACACCAGACCATGTACCATTATCTTGACACAATCGAATGCTGCTGCCGATCAATTGATAACCCGATTTGCAACGAGCACCACACGCCGTATTTAAAACACGATCACAACCCAACGGATGTTTTACAAAGTATCCATTTTCGGGTGGTTGTAACATTGGACATCGTAAAATTTCGCATCGATTATTTGCATCCGCTTTGAAACCAGATTTACACGCACAATACGACGAATTAACAGCTGGAAATTCGCTTGTAATGTGATTTATGTCGGGACATGGTTTGCATAGATTCCAACTGTGCCAGTATGTACCATTCGGGCAAACTAATAGTCAAAATTCAAATTGATATTGAAATTGAATCGAGAGATACACATAAATATGGTGGATGACATACGGTCACAATTGTCTGTTAAACCAGATCCATAGTAGCCAGGTGCACATAGACACGAGTAATGGCCGGATATCGTTGAGCAAGTACATTCCGCATTCAAATCACAGCAAGATGATCTGCTTGAGATAGAGGGAGACAATTGCATTATTCTTATTATTTAAACATATGACATTCATGCTACAGTTTTATTCTTAATGTGATAAGCTATTTACGTTTCATTGAGCTGACTATTATCACAGAGTGTGTCACATAACGAACTATTTTTAATGCGGATCGCGTTTCCGATTTTGTAATCTGAATGCAAAACAAATGGAAATAACAATGAAATGAAAACAAAACCAGCAAACAATAGTTTGTTTTATTTTTTCGGTTTGCGGAAATGAAATGTGTTGTAAATATTATACTCCGTACCCGTATGCAATGCCTTTCGGGCTAAACTCTCAAATTGTGCAAAACTGTCGAGCAAAAAACTATGTTCATAACCGGGATCACTTGAAAGTCGATGTAATTCGGCAAAATTACCAGATTGAATGCCAAACGTTATGATTGTGATATTTTCTGCTTTTAATTTTTCCGCTATTGGTAATGGATCTTCACCATTCGAGAAGCCGTCGGTGATGAGGCAAATTATTTTTTTGCTATGTCGCCTGGCTTTCATCATAATATTCTAAATAACCACAGAAAAATTGAAGAAAAAAGAACATTGAAAAATGTCGCCTTTCTTCTTTGGCATACAGCAAAAACTGACCGTTGCTTGTATTAGTGCATCAGCTGTATGAGTTCCGCCACCGGAAAATTCTATCGCAGGCATTTGAAAATTAAGCAATTTACACTTGTCATTTTCCGGATCAGCTTCAGATATATGATCTACATGACGCACCTTTCTCAGAAAGAATATCAACGAAATGTTAATGTATTTGATTCTTTAAAAATGTACCCAAATCTGTCGTATACATTTGTTTTACGTACAATTTTCTCTTGTGAACTGAATGTTACAATGGAAACACGTGTATAGTTGAAGCTAACATTAAAGTCGCTTAGAAATTTTGTCACGAATTTTAATTCGCTGCGAAAATTGGTTTTGCCCACGCTTGAACTGGAGTCGATTAAAAATACAATATCCATTTTTTTGAACTGTTGCCTAATACGATGAATTGTGGACTTTAATATGGTACTTAATTCATGTACTTTTGTTTCGGCGGCAAGTGCTTCATCGACGCTAATATTTTTTAATACATTCTCAATAATCGGTGTCGAATTTGTTGTATATTCACTATCCGGTGGTATTTCGGTTGAATTTGTATCCAATTCATTCGAACCATCCCAATCCAATTCATCGTCCAAATCAATGTAATCAACGATATCCGGCAATAAACACAAACATATGCTTACGCTGAATAACAACAAATACAGGCGAATCAAATACATGATCTTTCTTGTCAATTCGCTTGCCACAAAAAGAGATAAGATGAACGTGAATTTCAATTTCGAAATCACCCTTTTTGCAAAATTTTTCATGCACTTTTTCCACAATTATTTGCACATTTCGTACGAATGTGAATTCTTTGAAATGATTTTGTCGGAAATAAAATGAAATTTTTTACGTATTTTTTAGTAAAAAAAAATCACTTTCAATATTACTCGTTCTGGTCGAACTAAACACAACGGACTATGCTAATGAACTGATAAGCAATTACAATGATTATGTCGTTGTGCCGGGAGCATTCATCAGCATGTTACAAATAATTGTAACATGCTGAAATTGATAACATTCATTCAGAAAATCAAGCGCATACTTTTTATTACGTTTTTTTTTTTCAATTGGAATTTAAAAAAAAGAAGAACAAGTGAACAAAAACAATTTATGTGATTAACTACTGTATGGCGTAAAATGAAAGTCAAAGCATACTTAATTTTGACTGACTACCTTGAGGGGGGGTTTTGGGGATTAATAGAAGTGATTGTTCATTATAACAATAACTTCTATTGTTTTAGTCCATTTAACTAGGCTAACGTACTGATATACGACTTGAAATCATAATATACTTAAATGTTGAAAGTCGAAGGTTAGTGAATTATAAAAATTCGCAAAATGAAAAACGCATTTTTATTTTATTATTCATTTTCACCGCCTGTTCTCAGACTGAATATATGTATCACAATTATTTTACAATATCATTCGCAATGAAACACTACCCGATCGAATATCCAGCCACCAGTCTTTTCGACTTCGGAGCAGCAGATATCGACTGTGTCCATTGCATATTTCTAAATCATAACACAATTGTCCTTAACTAGCCAATTTATCGATTATTAAATATCACATTGTCCAATTTAACAATATTATTTCTAAAAGTTTGTCTCGATGCCGATTCCAAAAATGTTTCTCTTATTAAATTAAAGATTCTAGTAGAAACGGGGTCGGGGCCCCGTTGCGACCTCTGGTTTCTACAAGCCACGTAAAATGGTTGATTGTGTGCATACTCCGATGTAAATGTTCTAGCTCTAATCAGTTCTGTATTTCTTAAATTTCTTTGGTTTTCGTTGTATTGCAGTCGTGTATATACAATTTTATTTCTAAGCGAACTAGACACTATTTTACCCAAAAGGAGATCATAAATTAAAAATATAGAGGCATTTATACGCCGTTTCCAAAGCGGTTGAATATTTAAAACATTACATCCAAAATAATACGGTGGCAATACAAAATTCTCGTCTCTTTGCTAAACAAATCTCAATGTCCATATTACAAAATCTTTCTGTATGGATTCTATTCTATCAGAGTGGATACGGTGGTATGGTTGCCATACAATACTCGCGTATTCTAGCTTTGACCTGACCATTGCACAATATAAGATTTTTGCCGATTCGATAGTGAACTTATTTTTCAATGTGCGTTTTAAGAAGCCCATTGCCGCGTGTGCACTTGCTGCAATCATGTCGATGTGGTTGACAAACGTTAATTTCGTGTCGAAAATAACGCCCAGATCCTTGTGAACATTGATCCTTTCAAACGTATGTTGGCCATTGTTGATCGTATATTCATAGTCGATTTTCCCACCTTTTGCATATGTCATGACGAAACATTTGTTTAGATTCAAATGCAGGCTGTTTTCGGTACACCAATCTGACAATTGATTTATGGCATTTTGAAAAATGATGGCATCTGCAAATAATAATACAAGTGCGTTTGACACGATTTCGACAATGTCGTTAATAAAAATAATGAAGAGACAAGGTCCCAAAATACTTCCCGCTGGTACTCCAGAAGATACAGTGAAAGTCCTTGACATTCGTTCACCGATTCCAACAAATTGTGTGCGAGCTGTCAAATATCCATGAAACCATTTGACAAGTCCACGGCCGAATCCAAAACCCACCAGCTTCTGTAGTAATTTCTTGTGGTTCACACGATCGAAGGCTTTCTCAAAATCGGTGTACAATAAATCTGTTTGGCATTTTTTGGTCATCGAGTCGATCGTGAAATTCACCAACTGAAGTAAATTTGTCGATGTTGATCGATTTTTCACGAATCCATGTTGGCTGTGGCTGATTTTCGAATTAATGAATGTGTCAATTTTGTTATACACATCAATTTCGAAAAGAATGAAAGTAAGAGCGAATGAAACAACTCCAAGCGGCGAAACAAACATGCAAATATATAGCACGCGCTAAGTATGTGTTATTGCATTCATTGATTTTTCATTGGATGTGAAATCGAATCATGTGTTTCATATAGAGTCCTTTCATTCGCTCTTTTTCGAGAACATTCGCTGTCGTTTCATGTATTTTTCATTGTGCAAAATTTAATAATGGAATATATGAGTGTATCAGTAATGGAGGGAGGTTGTGATTTGGATGAGAAAAATTTTTCGCGAAAATTATTCGAATTTGCTAGGGTTTTTGATTCTAAAAGTGAAGACCTTTTTTTTTGTAGAAAATTGAGGAGAATTCTTTCAATTTCCTAGGTTTTTTGGTTCCGAGTGAATTTTTTCCGATTTGCTAGGGATTTTCGCGTCAAAAAGTGACTTCCAAAAAAAAAATAATACGAAAATTTGTCTGATTTGCTAGAGAAATTTTTGGTTTCGAAAAACCAGCCTGGAAAATTTTTCTCGCACCTTACTGGAGTGTATGTTTTTTTTTTTTTAATTCAAAAATTAAGTTGAAAAATATATAAAAAAAACATGTGTCTCAATTGAATAAAAAAAACGAAAAAAAAAATTCGCACGGAATCGAATCGTTGACATCACTAGAGATTAAACGGATCGGCTTGAAATGGTTGTATGCCAAACTGATAATTGTATATACACCAAAGCATATAATTTATTTGTTTATTCGCAAGAAAAATTGTTGTAAACGTTTTTTTTTACAACGTGGTTTTGATGTAAATGAGGGCCCAGGATCTAAAACAAGTTAAAAAAATATGTTCGTAAAACAGCAAAAGAAATTATTGAGCGCTAAAAGTGAATTATAATATTTATGGATGCTCATATTTTCCGACAGGAAATTTGTTTTTGATCTGGTGCTCTCAAATATAGTAAACAACAAAGCTGTTTGATTACTTGAAGTGAAAGAATCTTGCGATGAAAAATGGATGAGAAAGGTTACTACACTCAAAGAAAAAACTAAAAAAATAAGATTCGCTGGAGGTCTTTTCTGCATAAAGAAATGGTTTAAATCTATTTTCTTTTTTCGAGCCAATAAAAAGATTATTCAGCCAAGTGTATTTTGCGTTTGTTTTTTGCAAAGTCCATTCACGCATAAATACAGCTTGTTTGATTAATCTGACAATTGGTAAACATCTAATTTGCTTTCGAGATTTGCGTCGCATATTTGCTTCAGTCCGTATTCTCGTCGTTTTGTTGCCAACTTTCGCAAGAATTTTTATGCTCGAATGACCATAGACTGTGCGAAAGCAATGAACTTTGCAATTTTGGTCGCAATTTAAATCGCCCATTCGTCGACTACGAAATGGTGGCATTGATCGAAATTCTAGTTTCACCACATACACTCACATAAATAAAATAACCGTTGAGAAATTTACATCCAAATGACATGTATGATATTTTAGACGAACTCATCGGTGAGTGGCTGTAATCTTGAGTGTCATGCGTGGCTTATGTTATGAATTTCACAAATCATTGTGGTATCATCTGTTTTTCGTCGTACATTCGAAAAAAAATCGACAAACATATATAACCGCTCATTCCCACCCAAAATACAGGCAATTGATCACGATCCTTCTGAGCAAGCTGAAGTGAAATAAAGTGAATTTTCAAAGTTAGACAAGTCAAACACATTTTTATACGATATAAACTATTCGGAAAAAAACGGTAACAAACACAATGAAATTCTTTCGATTCTTTTTTGTTGTATTCGTTTGGATGTTGTTCACCATCGGTTGCATAGATATGTATCCACGACCCCGTCCTGAGGTGAGTGTGTGATTAGTGACATTTTTTTCTCCCTCAACGTTATCATTCTCGATTCAAGTGCGTACAGTTCAAGTGGTTCTACAATTGTGCATCAATTTCTGTTTGCACATAAGCAATGGTATGCGAAGTTAACTGTACTGTACGCCAGAAACAGATTTTTCTATTTTATGAACTCTCAAACATATAATCCACAAAAAAAAACATCTCTCTTTTCCCACGCAAGTTACCCGAGAACACAGATAATGGTGCAGCGGCAGCTACGGTGGCAGTTGCAAGTCCTTGTTCCAGTCGAAAGAGGAGATGCTTTTAAAAGCCATTCGGAATACTGAATTCATATTATTTTGATTGCTTCGTTTTACATCTATTGAAATTCATTCAATCAAACGTCAGCACAACAATAATTTATTGTACTTTCATAACAGATTTATTTTTTTTTTCTCTATTTTCAACCAACAATAAAAATCAAGCTAAACCAACACAATTTTCAGCTCGTATTTTATTTGAATAGCAATGTAAAAAAAAATCGTCAACTTGAAATCTGGTCAACCATAGAAATCAAGTGACGACAAAAAAAGTTCTCGGTTCTCGTAATATCGAGGATTGTAGTCTTAATGAGATGAGAAAAAACGCAAATCATTTATCCAAGCGACCATGACAAAGTAAGAAATCATTAAAATTATATACGACTGGAAAACCACTGAAGCCTTTCGCTTCAACATCGCTGGAAACAAACAACACCGATTAAAAAGTAAAAATTGGTTTATTATTATTTGAATTGATTGGCATCGTTTCCAGCATAATTAACTACTTATACAGATAATTTCTTTTCTTTCGGCTAAAAAAACATAATTTTTTCTTTGTTTCCTCTCATTCACGGAATTTTTCATAAACTAATGTCAATTTTCTCTCTAAACAGCAACAATTTTTAACCGAAGTTTCAGATTTTTTTTTATACACTTAAAAAATACTAACAAATAAAGAAGGTGGAGAAATAGTTTTTTTTTTTTTTTTTTTTTTTTTTCAAAATATCATTGTTGCAATTGCATTTTGTTTGTGAATGTAACATCGTTGAACAAAACGCGATACGCATGATTTTATTAGTTGCTTAGAATTTTATTAAGATCGTCTGGAAGAAATCGTTTCATGTCTTCTAAGTGTCGATGCAATTGCTTGCGTGTATGTTCATTCTGTGCGATGACCACTTGTGGCAAACCATCCATTGAAATTTCATTGCATATTTTAAGCTTCTGCTTCACTTTCAAAATCATATCAACGATTTCAACTTCATGCTTGCCCACAACCCATTGTTTTAGATTCTGCAAAGAAATGTAGAAAAATGAATGAAAAAAGGTCATCATTTGACATTTAGAGATAAGTGTACACACCGTGTTCGATAGCGCTTGCATTTGTAGATGTTGTAGAGTTTGGGTGAGTTCACGGTATCGTAATTCGTACCAGTCTTGAAAATTGGGCGAACGAAAGAAACGTTTGTACAAACCAGACCAATCGCCTTTTAACGGTGACGTCAACTGTGGACCAGATTGTTCGAGAGTGGCCAAGAAACAATCTTGCTTGAAATGATTTGGTGCTGGCGCTGCACGGAATGCTGATATATCCTTTTGTAATGGCATCAACGATGCCATGTATCGTTCCAACGGAATCATAAAACTTTGCGTTAATTCCAATAAATGACGACGTAATATGGCTGATTGTACTTCGGCTGGACGTTGTTTCTTTACACCGGCCAATAGCTTCCGTATTATGGTTTTATCTTTTTGCAGGAATGGCTTGTATTGTGTATAAACACCGGGCGGTGTGTCAAGAATTTTCGTAAAAATTTTCAATTTTCGTAATCCTTGTTGAGTGAGCATGCTCGAGGTAGACGGACTATTTGTTGCATTCACACCCAAATTCGATCCTGTTGGTTTAAAAACAAATAAAGAGAATTGTATTTTAACGATTTAAAAAAATCCATATACCATTATTATTGTCAGCCATTCGAATAAGATGTGGCCAATGTTGCAGTGTTTTCGAAAAAAATGGATTTGTAACGCCCAAAATTATTGGCACAGGCCCTTGTTGACGCTGTGTAAATTCTTTAAATTCGCTATCGTGTATGGTAAAATATGGTCTAGCCTCAGCTGCGTATGGCAATGGTGATATCAAACTGCAAATTTAAATAAAATTATTATTGGAATACGAATTTTTTTTTTTGTTTTCTTTACCTCATCAATGATTGAACCATGTGCGAACAATCACTTGGAGATGTGGCCATGATAACGATTGGTTCGGCCGTTAAAACCAATTCCCACAGTAAATGTGTATACGATAGAACCGTATATAAACTTCGAAAAATATCAATTTCTGTCACAGATTGCAGTACAATTGGTGTTTTTGAAACGGACTGCTGAAAGCGTAACGGTCTTTCAATTTTTGTACTTGATTCTAAATGAGTATTGGCTGTTGTCAATTCATCAAGTTTATCACTGTAGTTTTCATCAAAATAATCATCTAAATCCACATCGGCATCATCACCATCACCGCTGCCACCATTTTCATTTTCATAATCATTATTCGCATTATTGGCACCAGTCGATTTACTAGAATTGCTATCACATGGCGAATCCGGCTGTTTATTTAATTTTTGAGCTAAAAACATTTCCTTTGACTGTTTATAACTATCTAAAATATCTTCACGTGATGAAATCGCATTACTGTTTGTTTTATTATCATTATTCAGCAATCGATTATCGTTTTTAACATTTAATTCATCCGCACACACATCGCTCGTTGAACTTGTATCGAGCGATGGTTTGATTTCATTTGATGTTATGGTCGTATTGTTGGCATTCGTTATAGAATTGGACGATGAATTTTTCACATCTTCAATCTGATTGCTAGCTACTGATTGCATTGACGTATGCGGCTGTTGTAAATTTGCCGATGTTAAACTTGGAATATACGTTTGAAATAGTGTTCCCAACAATGGTAATTCCATACATTCGCCCGCCTGTAACGACGGCCAATTGCTAATATCTAAACATGCATTATGTAACACAACCTCACCGCCAGCAAAGTATTTTGGTGCTATAATTGCCAACATTTCATAAAATAAATTTATAAACGGTAATCGTGACAGCAATATTACACTCTGCAAGTAAACAAAAAAAAATTCGTAATTAAAATATTTTTTTCAGATTGTGAAAAAAAAACAAACAAAAAAACGCACCTTTTGAAAATATCCTCGTGGTAATGATGTGTCTTTATTTTGACGAAAGAACACAAAACCCCAATAGTGGCCTAGATCTGGCCGTTGAACGGTTACACATTGTAGGCTGAATCGTTGTAATTCGGAATTAAGCAGGGTATTCTTGGTGCCCGGTGCAACGCGTAAACGAATATGAAATTGTGTGTCACCAATGCAACCGGAATTCGAATCGGGAAATGCCAAATAACAAATATTTAACTTTTCTTTTTCTGATAATTCCACCGAAGCAGGATAAATGGCCTAAAAAATCAATAATCATATTAAATTGATGTTAAATCCAAATGAGAACAAATTAAGGGATGTATTACCTCCATTGCTTGGCCTAATTCCAGATCGAATGTAACTACACATATGCAATGAATCCATTCGGATAGACGCTGCCATTCTTTTGGCTGTAATGTTTCTTCTCCATTATTTCTCGTTAGATCCATAGTGTGTTTTAATTTGTTACTGATTTTTTTTTCAGTTATTTTTTTTTTTTCATTAAAATAATAACTATTGTGCGATTAAGAAATTCAACATGCCTTCGATTGTAAAATGAAAAACGAAAAAAATAATAATAATAAAACTATATATTGAAGATTAAATGCTGTTGAGATGGGCGCGCATGTCATCTCTCAATCCATTCACCGGCGTTGGAAAAAAATCTGCAATCGAATCGATAGAAGAGAAAAGATGTGTTTAAAACAAATGATGGCGATGAATGAAGAAGAAAAATTGATGAATGGAAAAACCAGTGTAAGTGCTATCGTTGGAGATATCGCGCGCGAATGATGTGTGGTTTTTCATTAGCGAAAGTCTTTCCATTGGTGAGAGAATTTGTAAAAATCGAACCACTTGTTTGTCACCAAATAGACGAACCGTCTGACACAGACGGATGTGAATAGTTATTTTCTCTTTAAGTCGGCGCACACACTCTACACTTTAAATAGCTCAATAAGCTTCAATTAACATATCATACCATAGCCATTTCCAATATACAACATTTTTTTCATTTCATCATTAATAGTAAGCACATTTCACTACACACACACATGCAACAAATAAACAAACAAACAAAGTGTGTACTGAAGAGAAAAAAAAATAGTTCGAGTGTAGCAACACCAACAGCATCGCAGAGATAGTCGGCGTAAACGAAATTAATCTGTTTTGTTGTTGTTGTTTGTTTGTTTCAAATCATAAATTGAATCGCGGCACTTGTTCGCGTGCCTGCCATTTTCAAGGTAACCAGAGCTGGCGAGGCCAACGGAGAAAGAAAAAGAGAGAGAGAGAGAGAGAAAGTCAGTTTATCGTCGAAAAATTTGCTCATACTTTTAATGAAATTAGGATTTTAAAAAGACCAAATCCAATATTTGCCACACATATATACTAATAACAACGTATTTGGAATAAAGTTTTGCAATGAAACAGACGCAGATAAAAGTGGCAGACTTTTGTTATTGCTAATTGCAAATTCAGTATTTTTTTTTTTGCCAAAATTTCAAGTCAATTAATAGTAAATATCATCACGATCGAGCTAAACTGAAAACCAGTTTGTTTGTTCTTTCATTTTTGTTTTTCTAGTCTTTGTTTCAATGAAATTGCAAACAAGATTCAATTTGTATTGAAAAAGCCACGGAAAGAGAAAATACAAAATAAAAAATTCCAAATGCTAATAGTTTAGAAACTTACAAACAACAAAAGCAATTTCACTATAAATACGATGAACACATTACACAAAACTTTCCTTACGACACTCTGTGAATATTTGTGATAATTTTTCAGTTTCAGTGCTTGTGTCTGAACTGTCATTTCACTTGGTTTGTATGTTTTGATGTTCGCTTTTATCGCACACACATCCACCACAGTACCGAACCGAGTACATAATATTTTCAATGTTGGTACGCGTGCATGTCAAATCTACAGAGTACGTAAATCGTAAACAATACGGAAAAAATCCAACTCGTACCGATTCAGACAAGTTGGTTATTATAGTTGTTGGTTTTTTGCGTGCATGGCAATTTCTATGCTATATGTGCATACATTGGCCAATGTGCTTAATAAATTGAGGTAATTTTCTGAAAAACCGAAACTACCTTGACCACACACACACATCACCATCATCATCTAATCATTTGTTAAGGGTGATACGAGTATATAATTAATAGTGAAAATTGATTGACACTGACCTTGTTGAACAAAAAAAAACTGTAATAAGTTTTGTTGATTGACAGAATGGCGAAAAAAGCGAAAATCCGAGCAGTTCTCATCGATTTAAGTGGAACACTTCATGTTGATGATGATCCAACACCGAATGCCATTCCAGCCTTGCAAAAGTAATATTTGCTATGTGTTTTTTTGCCAATGTCCATAAAAGACTTCGCCGCATAGCCATTTTTTTCCCAAATAATGGTTTTGTACACATTTTTAGGCTCCGATCAATAGACGATGTTGAATTACGTTTCGTAACCAATACAACGAAAGAATCAAAAGAAACACTTTTGGAGCGTTTACATCGCATCGGCTTTTTATCCATTAATAAAACAGATATGTTTACATCATTATCAGCAGCAGTGGAATATGTGAAAACGAACAATTTGAGACCATTTTACTTGCTGACTGAAGATGCAAAACGAGATTTTATCGAGCAAACTGAGAATGTATCAGCAACGACAGCGACGACGACGACCGATTCAAACAATGATGTCGATGGTACGGAAAATGCTGTTGTTGTGGGACTAGCGCCCGATCAGTTTGTTTATGAGAAAATCAATAAAGCGTTTCGGTACGGTTTTTTTTTATTATGTGAATTAACCCCTTCAACTCACTTCCACCTCCAATTCAAATAGAAATTAAATGATTTGGAAAAATATTCTTTTTATTTTTCTTTTATCGTTTTGTACAATCAGTTTTCAAATTTTTTTATTGTTATTGGTCGCCAAATTCGCTTTTTTGCTTGACTGCAAATCTAATATTATAAATGTGATGAATTTCAGTGTATTGATGAAAGAAGACAGTAAATTGATTGCGATTCATGAGGGAAAATACTTTAAGCGTGGCGATGGTTTAGCTGTTGGGCCCGGATTATTTACGCGTGGTCTTGAATATGTGTCTGGAAAACCGGCACACATTATTGGCAAACCAAATTCGTATTTTTTCAATTGTGCCATCCCAATGGGATTATCACCGCACGAATGCTGCATGATTGGCGATGTAAGTATTTTACCCAATGCACACAGCAATCTTCAAAAATTATTTATTTCCAACATATGAAGAGGCGATATAGATTCGATTTATTTTCATTCGTATTTACCATATTTTGGTGTCATGCTGCTGCTTCTGCTGCGAATAAAAAAATGAACGAAAAATAAAATCAAATAAATAAAATGCCATTTATGAGTCATGAATTATAAATAATCACATTTAACCGACAACAAAACGATCCACTTTAGCATAATTGTTGTAGACAGGCCAACGAATTACTCTCTATCTCAATCACATTAGTGTGTGTGCCTATCTGTCTTATACATCCATCCATCCATTATGAATACAAATACACACCATATTAACATTGCCAATGTTTTTAATGACTATTTGCATAAAACATTAACAACACAACCGTGTAAACAAAAGACTCGTTTTTCTCTATTTATCTTCGTCGGTTGCTTCCCTTTTTTTTCCTTCTCTCCACTTCATTGCGTTCGCCGAATATTCCACCTCATTTGGGATCGCTTTCACACCGAATTGATTTAGTGGCAATCAAATTAATTTGAAATTTTGTTTTTCTTTAATTAATCTCATTTCACGTGGGACGCTGCAAATCAGGATATCAATGATGACATTTTTGGCGCTATGAATGTTGGTATCAAGGGAATTTTGGTGAAGACTGGCAAATACATCGCTAATATTGAGGATAAATATCCAAATAAACCAACAAAGATTGTCGATTCATTTGCTGATGCTGTTGATTGGCTTATAAGCGAAAATTTTACGGTATGAAGTCAATTAAAATCACTTCATTTGCATCAAAACAACAACAATAGAATCCAATCAAATTGTACACATATGTAATTAAAATAATGAAATAAACCGAATGTGTTTTATGACAATAAAAAAAAACCGTTGCGATATTATTTTAATTGAAAACATTCATCGATGAATCATTTTAATTGCAACAGATTTAAAAGACGTAGAAGACGTAGTTGTTGTTGTTGATAGTGTAAAAGTGTTGATATTGACTTGCCACCAGAGACTTAACACATATTCACATTCATGATAACCTTTTTGATAAGTTCTGCTACAAAATATGACAAACAATTTTTTATTCCATTTCCCTAATGAATTGAAAGCCCCCCGTACGTAACCATCGCGTTATCAATATTCTAAATATTTTGTGGCCTTGTTTATTTGTTCATGCCGTGCGTATCACTAGCAACGTATGGAAAACTTTTTTAATTATTATCAAAATATGCATCACCACCAAATTGAATGTGATTTAAAAAGTATCGATACGGGGACAACAGCACTTCAGTTGAAAGTGAACCTTTGAAGCATTCGAAGCGATTAAATTTTGCATCTAGTGAATATTATATAAACGTAAAGCAGCAAACAAAATGGGAATCATCACTCCAATTATATTGGGTATCGTTGCTCTGCAAACATATCTACTCTTACGACGTAAACGTGAACCTGAAAAGCGCGTCGAACCTACGTACGTATTTTTGCCACCTGACACACTTCCACCAAAAGAAGTTTCCGCACTTTTGAATAGAACACCACCACCCAGCTACGACGCAAAGCCCCTCAAGTACTAGTGTGTTATACCGGAAAAAGACCAACTGCGAAATAAACCTAAGTGCGAAATGATTGTGTATATGTGTTTTTCGTGACCAAAAAAAGGACTGACCGGATGTTTTTTATTTCGAAAATAAGCGAATGTACGCACTACCCAGCCACACACAAAATCAACATACTCGAGCTCTTTCTTTTTTTGTCATAAAAACTTCAATAAGTTGAGAATTTATTATCTTTAAGGGTTTTTATTTTTTTTTCCATTTTTGTATCAATAGCTTGGACAAATAAAACTTCAAAGAGCGAACGTGTATTGTGTTTTCTTTATATATTCATTTCCCTTTTCATTTCGAAATGATGATATTTCCATTTTTTCCTTCTTGAAAATCGTTCCTTCTGTTCGAACTATCATTAAAATGGCATGTGATAATGATGAACGATTTTATGAGTACTTTTATATATGTAACTTTATTCTGGTGAGTGAAGTACATTAAACTTGAAGCATGATAAATTGTCGAAATATTACATTGGAATCGGACGCAATATCTCTTCTGCTTTTTGTTATTTCTCTTTGGTCCTAGTTGCGCTAACGACAGCAATTATGCAAATCAAAATAGAATATGCGAAATTGAATGGACATCTGGGACTTAATCGTCGTCATGCGACATGCTTCTGGTTGCATGAATAAAACAAAATAATCTCTTATTAATTTATTTTAATGCATTCTAATTGCAACAATATAGGAACAGATTTATCAGCTGGAAAATAGTATGTTATATGGATTTGATATGTCGTGTATATTTACCAACGAAAATGGCAACATGAGCAAAAAAAACCGCAGCCTCGGTGTCGGTGTCTGCATATTTTGCGTGTTATACACACATTCGCACAGAAAGGGAGAGACTAAAAGACCAGCACGCCACACAGAAGTTTGATCTCTCGGCATGGACAAGGACAACGGGCGATATATCAACTTATATAACCGCATAAGGCTGTGATATGCCTAGGGGCATCACGAAAATTTTTTTTTTTTGCTCAACGCTCGTGGTTTTTCGTCATCAAAAACAATCAATTTTTTTTAGTTTGATATATCTCTCACTTTTAAATGCGAATATATCGAGAGAGAGAGCGCCTGCGCTTTAAAACAACCCTACAATAAAAAAAGAAAGCAACGAATGAAATTCGGAAAATGACTATGACTTGTGTGTTTATCTTGTGCCTTCGAAGATACAGTGAAGAACAGATATCGTTCGTCTTCACACGGTAACTGCACAACACAATCTGCCTTCTAACAAACATTTTTTGGGGGTTTCCTCTCATATTTTTCATATTCAAAAGAATATACGCATCACATACAACATACATGAAGTTTATCAGTTTTTGGGCGTATAGACATTTATGAATCGGTTAAAATCCAAATCGAATTTCGCATATCACTCTGTTTGGAAATTTCCAGAAACCACAACAAGATGTGAGACGAGAAGTTTGGTATTCATTCTAAGCGATTCATATATGCCATTCTTCCTATCTTATTTGTTAATTGTAGCAAATCAAAGATTCCATGCAAATGCGCGCATCAGCGCGGGTCAGCATCTTCACCCTTTTGCTCGCTTTCTCTCTCTCTCTTTCTCTCATCTCATATGTAGGAGATGCATGTATCAAAATCAATGCCTTTCACATATAACGTGTGTGAGATGAAAATTGTTTCCATCGCTGTGTCGATTGTGAAACATACAAAGGACGGCTTTGTTGTATTAGAGAAAGAACAAATTACCAAGTATATATATCACACGTTTTCAGACAATGTTGCACCATATTTCGAATGTGAAATGTATATGTCTCATTAGGCAAACATACACACATTGGCTGAGGCTTTGGGTCTATCTCACGCGATCTAGAGCATATATCAACTAGGCTTCATCTCATAATATATGTGCGGGAAATATAAATAATTTGCACGCAAATCGGATATTCTGTAGGCAAAGTCTGTTTTAACGGATATGGCTTCTTGCGCACGTATCTCTGGCATTTCGCGAAAATAAAATATTTCTCAAAAAACTAAATAAGCGAAAATGACGAGTTGACACACGAACGTCGAAAATGATAAAGAAAAAAAAGAAGCATCGAACAAACGAAATAGGCGCGATGAGAATGATGTGTATGAGTTTTATGGCCAAAAGTACCAAATGGCACTTGAGTGCTACGTATTTTAAATAAAAATCTTGAGATTTATAAGCTAAAATTGGCTAAAAAACTAAATCTATTCGAAATCTCATGCATAAAATCCAGCTCGAACACGAATAAAAAAAAAAAACAGAGAAGAAAAGAGAATCATATAATGTCATTACATTAGCTCACGAACTGAAAGATGAATGCGATCTCCTGAAACAAGTCTAAAATACAGAAAAAAATCACACCGAAAAAAGGGCGAAACGATGAAAATATACATGCACACAGGCACATTCGCTAATACTTGCTGCTCCTGCTGCCGCTGTTGATGCCTTGTACCATCTTAATCGCTTGTGTTCTCGCTCTCCACCAAGTTTTCCACGTTCTTGTGTCGTTTTGTGTATACACATACACACACACACTTCATTCGTATAGAAAATTTTCGAAAAAAAAAAAAGAAAATTGCAAACACAATCAGAATAAAGGTCACAAACAAAGTACTGTGCAAACGCGACGACACCGACGACGACGAAAGTGATAGAGGAGAAAATAAAGTGGATGCTGCTGAAGCAGCTGCTGAACACACCAATTGCGTGTGAGAGAACCGAATGAAACGATACACGAACGAACGAATGAAGGAATGGTGTTGGATGATGGTGTAGCATAGCGAAAAATCGGTCATCAAGCGGCAGTATAGTAGTGCTTGCCATTGAGATAGCTTCGATAAAATACCGAAAGACCGAGTGAAAGCGATTGTATAACCGAAATTATCGAAGGAAAATCATCCAAACCCAACGAGGTTGATTTGAAAAATATACATCTCGTGTGTGCAATGAAAATCGTCGATTATTAAACTTTCTATCTATAAATACGGTAAGCTTTAATATTTTCGCACAAAAAGTGCCCGAAACGAACAAAAAAGTGCTTTTATTTTCTTTCATCCCCCCGCTTAAAAAAAGAGCCGTGTGTTATATTAAATTGACACTGTTTTTCTTTTATTTCATTTTTACTCAACTTACATTCCCGTTAATGCGACAACAATCCTCCGAACGAATAAAAAGATAAAATGCAAAATTTTGTGAAGAAAATCGTAAATAAATGTTTGGTGTGTGTGTGTGTCTGTGTCTTGTTGTTGAAATTTCTGACGAAAAAAAAACTTTTTAAAAAGAAAAAGAAACGACAACGAAACACATAGGGGCCGAAAAGAAACAAGAACGTATGAGAGAATGAGAAATTATTCGGAACGCTGCTTAACCTACAAAAGCCGTGTATTGTATGTATGTTGAATGTGAAAAGTGTTTACATAATCGAAATGAGTAACGTAGTTTGGGAGGTGCAAAATCGACAAACCGAAAACTTTTGCATCAAATTTATGAGATTCGGATAACAACCGAAATGTATGGCGATTGGCATAAATTGGCAACAAAAGAAAGAGAAGAGCCAAGCAAGAAAAAAATTGGTTGTAGTTGTTGTTTCTGATCCCAATTCCAAAAATACAAACACACACACACACACACATATTTCATCTGCATTAAATCTTTCCAATCGCACTCTATCTCTCTCGTATTTTCTGTGAAATTCTCTTGTTTCTTTGGGACATGGTTTTGATCACACATTCATTTCGATTTGCATGAAGAATTAGTCGACTGAAAACATTTAAAAAGCAAAATGTATTTAAATTTTGTAATAGTGTTTTTGTCATTGCTTTTGCAATATTTTCTAGTTCCAAAGCATTTTATGTCATAAACACAGTTACACATTCACACAGCCATTCACACTACATTCCGAATGTTTTTGAATTTGTTGAAATATCGCTGTGAAGGAACCAATTAAATTTACTCGTGTTCATCTTCACAAAATCTCGCGCGCGCTACATTTCCGATTCGAAATGTGTTGTATGTGAGTGTTGAAAATCCATTAACAAGAAGAGAAAAGTAATAATCATATCAAATCAAAATCAAATGTTTTACACACAATTTCGTCAATACAATACGTACAATACCACCTCGGAACATAATAAAATTTAATTTTCAAATGGTGTGTGGCAAATTCGCAACGCGAAAGCAACATAACAAATATAATGTCATTTTCGGAAAATCTGTGTGAATTGAGTGCAAAATTTATTTTATAGATTTATATACATCAGTTGTATGTAATAACAATAGATATATTCTATGCACGAATAATAATACTTGTTATATTCTGAGCACAGTTAAAAGGACCAAGAAGTATCAAATTGGTTGTAATACACAAAATTTAAACGTGATTACAACATTGTTAATGATTGATGATGTGTAAGTGCGTTGACAGGTCCTTGGGCTTCAGTGTTTTCATTTTCTCTAAACTCCTATCGATTCCATTTATTTGAAGAAAAAAAATTGATTATTTTCTACTTTTTCGTTCAATTCCATTCTGTCATTCCGATCAAATCTACAACAACAACAAACAAAAAATAGAGAGAAAAAAAACGAACGAATGAAATTGAATCAAATGTTGAATGCGGGCATCTCGTCGCACAATGGCACAAAAGCGCATTTGTTACCGTTACGAAAATTTGTCATTGAAAATGTGTGTATATGTTTCGAATAGCCATTTGACTAATTTGTAAAAACTCATAGAAAATGTTCCGAGCTTTTGTTTGGGGTTCGTTGATTTTATCCGATTCACACAGTAAGTAGGTAGAAAATATTTTGATCGGTCCTGAAGCAGTGGTGGTAGCATCTGACGAAAAAGAAGAAGAAGAAGTAGACGTTTTGTTAAATTTCAAATGGGCCATTTATTATGTCAAGCTCAAAATCCATCCTCGAGCGGTTTGCATGAATCTATCTTCCCTTTTTTTTCTCTCAATTAATCTCCTCCTCTCACTCTCTCCATCTCTTTATCTATCTATTACATCCCATTATGAATGTACGCACGCACAGCACATATACTAAAAGACAATGTGCATTCACTTTCAGTGTGCATTCGTTCAGCATTAACAATCTTTCGATTGAGTTTGTTTTGCACGTGGCGCTCGTTGAACCTCTTCTTATATATAGATATCTTTATCTGCTTCTGGTTTCTAATCCTATAAGCGGAAACATTATCTGCTATGAATTTGTGTGACTTGGAATGTAACGAAGTAAATGAATGCAGTGTACGACACACAAACGGTATGGGATGTGCTTCATATTTAATGTTTACAGTGGTTGATGGGACAACCGAATGAATTTTATGCAACAACAAAATAAAAAGAGACGAAGTCAATTCGCACAGACCACTTATAATTTTGTATGTGCGTTCGATCGTGTTTTTATTTTATCGGTTCGCATACAATTCTTGGTATCACATTTCCAAGTCAATCGATTTAAAGCGCTAAAACGATTTATCTCTCACCGAATTCTGTATAAATAAATAGGCCGAAATACAAGCCCTTTGAATAAAGATACATATTTTACCATAATCGAATCGAATGAAAAGAACCGAATAAAAGAGCTTTCCGTTTCTTTTACCATTCAACTTCGTTTTATTTGTCTATTTCTCTTTCTTATTCGACGTCAATGTTCTTAAAATACAAACAAAAGTAAATCGGATGTTGATTTCTGCTTTTCACTAGGCAAAGATCAACGAAAATTGATTCGCAGCTTTTTTTTCAATTCATTCAATTTCGCGTTGCTTTTGGAAAATGAGAAATCAGTTTTTCGCATTTAGCATATAATTACGCGTACATATAAACACACACATATAAAATATTATTATGAATTCATCTTAATTTGAACGCTTCATTTATATTAAAGCGATTCATCGTAAATTGTATGCACATACACAAACAAATCGATCTCTTTTGTTCTTTTCCACGGTCTGACATTCTTCTCTCATACGAGAAAAAAAAGCTTGGATCGTTTCAAAGTTAATAACTTAGTTAAAATAGAAAAGTCTCTTTTTCATCGGCACAACACACTGCCACACATCTACACATACATCCAAACAATGTCACAGCAACAAATCAAAATATCGTTGATGTTAAACATTGGCATGCAAATAATTTTAGCGGCTCTAAATAGCTTTTCTAAATTGTTAAGTAAGCAAATTCAACAAAGTAAGAGAATGAAACAACAACAGACAACAAGAAAGCATCCACATACTTTTGCAAACATGCACAGACATTCACATAACTTAAATACACTAGCACAGAGAGATGGAATGTCGTTTGACACTTTTTAAACAAACAAATGGCGAAGGAAGAGCAACGGAAGTGCCGAGTTCACAACCAACTAGAGATAGAGAGAGAGAGCAAGAGAAAGCACAAGAAAGAATAGATACCAAACTCAGAATTGCTTACATTCTATATTCTGTCTGTATAAAGAATGTCTTTTTTTTCTTGCATACATACACAAATATGATACGCATACATGAGCGTTCTTTGACATCAAAAATGAGCAAAGAGGAAAGCACATAGAGAATGAACGGACGAACGAACAAACAAATGAACAAAAAAAAAAGCAAAACAACAATACTAACAAGAACGAGATAGTGAATCTATGAATTTGGTTGAAGTTTATATTTACTGGGAGCGGAAAAACGGCGCCATAAGCAAACCATTTATTCAACTATTTTATTCCGTACGATGGTTCGTTAATGTGTATTTTCTTTCACTTTCGTTTAATCGTCTTCTACTTCTCTGTCCCAGAGCAACGCGTAAGCATCTCTCACATTTTTACGAATCGGCCCGTTAATATTTTATCCCATTTTGTTGTCTGTTTCATCATTATCATCATCTTTGCTGCTTGGTGGCTGTGATTTTCTTTTGACTTGTCGGTGTTCTCTCTCTCTCTCTCTCTCTCTCTCTCTCGCTCTCTTTTGTATTTCTCTTTTATTTGGGCAGTGCGATTTTTTTTCCTTCATGCATAAATCTCTTTATGTTTTCGCTCTCTTTCTTACTCTATCCTTGCAGCCCTCAACAAATATTTTATACATAAACTAACGTTGTATTACATTATGCTGATATATTTTTTTCTGTGCTTCTTTTCATCGTGCAAATTGTAAAAGTTGAAACCCATTTGTCTTTTTTCTCTCTTTTTTTCTTTCTGATGTGCGATGCGATGTACGTTTAACATCTTTATTTTCTCGCTTTATCCTCCGTACTTGCCGTCGAATTGTTCTAATGGCAATAACCCAAAATCGACGAGAATCAGTGAGAATGAGAAATCAATTTATTCGGCAGATATATTGACATTATTTCCAGTTATATTTAATGTAAGCTTTTGGTTGTTAATCGCCAATTTTCCGATTAAATTTATATCGGTCTATAAAACCGAAGCTGATCTCTATTTCATAGAGATTTGTCCGTCCTTATGTTTTTATTTCTCATGGGGAAACAGAGAAATCCGTTTCACTTTCATTGTTCGAACAATGATTTTGTTGTCTTACGAATGTCGTGTGTGTGTGTGTGACATGATAGAAAATTGTATCTAAATCGAAATTGTATGCCATAATGTAAAGCAAGTTTCCGGTTTTATTTCCAATCATTCATATTACCTTAGAAAATCTCTGAGTCTTTTTCGGTACGAATAGCGAACGAATTTCGTTTTGATTCTGATGAATGGGTTTGCATCAAATTCAACTATGTATACCTATGTGTATGGATTTGTTAACGACATTGTATTTCATGTAGAATCCCACTCGAGACAATTCATCACACAATCGATTCAAACATAATAACAATCTCAGTTGTATGAGCTTTACGCTGTGTGTTCGGTATGGTTGGTCGGCTTCAAAATTGGATAACATAGATTCATTCGTTTTGACCAAAAGAGAAGAAAAAACAACAAGTTACGACCGAAATGAATGAGTAAAAAAAACAACACGAAAACGAAAGATGGATTTTCGCTCATCCTGCTGTGCGTGTGTCAAGCATGTTCAAGTGACGGTAATGTATGTGGTTATAAAATAGAATTACATACATTGTCGCTAGTCATCTTCCACTTGAGATGGTTTCAGTTTAAGAATGAAATATATCGTATTACATCGTTACCTAAAATTCATTCAATCAATTCGAAACAAATCGAATCAAGAATTCGTCCATTCAAAATCAGGCAATATCAATCTTTTATTGTATTACTTACAGTGTATGTAAGTGTGTTACACACCACCAACATTTTTACGAATGTGTTCCTTATAGAATGTCGACCGTTAAAGCTCTTTCTATCGTTCACCAATTCCGTCTTCCCATGCGATTCATACACAATTGTCTCACTAGCCCAACAAATCGAATCGTCATTGGCAATTAATGTGAAATTTTCCAATGGCCCCAGTAGAATATACCTCAAGCATCGTCGTGACAAAATGAAGCATAATTAATACGATTCCGTCTTCGACGAAAAAAGCGAAATGGAATAGATAGAAATAGAATGTGAAGGCAAGAAAGTGAACGCCAATAAAAAAAAAAAAAAAAAAAAAAACAAAGTAGAACGCAAGATATGGAGACAACAACCTTTATCGTCAACAACACTCTCTACTATACACACATACGGGAAAAAGCCAAATGTATAAAAAGAAAATCCACCCGCCAATTAATATTAAAAAAAGCGGGCAAAGAAAAAGTTTTGCCATTCGCATTTACATATATTTACACAAACAATCACATATCATGGCGAATGTATGAACGATATTTTACTGCAATGGAGAAAATTGAGAGAATGTGCGTCGCCGTTTTCGATGTCAAAAATGACGTTATTTATGTGATTTTAAAAAGTCGTTACATTTACTCCGCATCCACTACCGATTCGCGTGTGTACCGTGTAGCGGGAGTTTGCCAATATATTCCAATAAATGACTAATAATTGCCATGTTATCGCTATTGTCAATGATTTATTCATTCTTCTCTTTCGTTCGTTTTTTAACTATTGCAGGTGCATTTATAGCGAGTAACTAGCAACAATTCCACCATTACCACAAACACACCAACTGTCACACATACATACACGCGCTCAATATAGAGTATCGAATTAGATCATACTCTCTATCTTTCAATCCCATTAAAAATAGTTTAATGATATTTCGTTGGCAGCATTCCATAGCTTCTTGTTGTTTGTTGTATACTCTGACGAAATAGAAGAGCTGCAACATCATTTTGTCACATAAGTTTTATCCTCTCTGTCGCGTTCGCGTTGTAATATGTCATGAGATACGTTTCAATGGCACATATAAATGAACATTAAAAGTGAATTTGCACAGAAATTGAACGTCTTTTTTTTCTCACCATTCTGTCCGGAGAGGTAGAGAGTGAAAATGAGAGATATATTGCTTGATTTTCGATCATAATAACCTACATATAAAGTTCCTACAACGCTCAATGACACACACACACACACTACTGATACAAATCATTGCCGCAAGGAATACGATTATTTGCACATACACCATCTTTTCGATCATTAATTCAATTCGTACGGATGACATCAATGAGCATTAAATGTGTTTACTGAACAGAGAGTATATTACGTACGAAAATGGGAAAATTTTGTGTGAAATTATTTGCGTGGCCAAAATCCAATTGATCAAAGACTCAGTTAAATTGAATGCTAAGGGGACAGTTTGAAAAACTAAAGCCACAATGCCAACAGCAATCGCTGCAAATGATGCACTAATATGTTTTTATTATTTTATTTTTGGTTCAAGTACGTTTCATTTAGTGATCAAACCTGTTAATGATTAACAAACACAAATACAGTATTTCCTCATCATTGAACGATTCTCTCTCTCTCTATCTCTATCTCTCACTCCATCAAATATTTACGTTTATTAATCATAGAAAAGTTTAGTTTTGTTTACAAACAATATAACATATGAATTCGACTAAATGAACAGAGAAATGCGTGATACACAATGGAGTGTCCATCATTTATGAAATCGTTGCAAATTGATGACATCGACGATATGTGCCAAGTGACATGTATATTTCAACAAAAGAAACGAAAGACATTCACACCCATCTCACATTATTTCTGATGATTGTGAAACTGGAAAATTTGTATGCTTACTTGCATGAGTGAATATAGCTATCTTTATAAAATTCCAATCTCAACGACTATACGTCAAACGAATACAAAACATAAGCGCACCAGAAACATATGTACCGAAAGAATGGACTGATAACAACATAAAATGCATATTCGATATTCAATAAAACCAAATATAACATATACGGGCGGATGTGTGTGGTTTTGACATGAGCTTCCTGCATTTTTAATACAGCCAAAGCTTGGCACGTTTTCATTTATCGTTCGATTTGTGATGTTATTTTTTATTTTATTTGATCTCATTTTCAATATAATATTTATTCGCACACGGTTGCTTAAGCGATGACACGATTCCAATTTTTTGTTGTTTGTCTTTTTCAATATTTTCACTTAAACATTCAAATTCTTTTTTCTTTTCAATTGCAGCTATAAAAACTAGTCGAGAAAAAAAAAACACGAACGTGGCCAAATGTGGGGACATTTTGAGTGTTGAAATTAATAAATGCTTTTCAACGAACGCTGTCTTATAATTAATTCCACTGTCTTTAACTTGAACGTGCTATTTTTGTGGAAAAATAAAAAAAAGTGTTTGAATTTGACAAAAAATAAAGAGAAGATTCGAAAGATGAACTGCGAATAGAACATAATAAGCAAAAAAAAAAAACGCTGCAATGAATATCGGATTTTGTAATAATACCGAGGGAATTAATAAGTAATTACCGCTTTGTTTTCAAGTCGCAGTGAAAATACACGAAACAAAAAGGGAAACGACAGAGTGTGCATCATTTGTCGGCGTGAAAAGCAAATCTATTTGACAGTTTTATATATTCTCCCTTTCTATATGTGCGCGTTTGTGAATTTTTGCCGCTGGCAAGTGCAAAAAAGGAAAATCGACGGGAACCAACAAAAACCATACCATTCCATGTGTATTTTGTCATAAACATTGTGAAAGTGAGATTGTGTATGGACGAACAATTTATTTTTGTTATTTTCACCCACAAAAACTCGTTGGGACTCGCTTTTTTCTTCTCGTCAAGCGATAAAACTGTAAAGATAAAAATGATGGCATTTTTAAAACTAAAATTGAATTCTTGCTGAAGTTTTATTTATGTGCAAGCAACAACACATCAAAAACAAACAAAAAATGATGTGAAAACAGAAAAAGTGATCAAAAACAAAGCAACAACAAGAGAAACAAGAATACAAACAAATCATTCATCGTTTTGAAAGTCTCCCAAACAGAAAGACAAGAGGCAGCAAGAACCCTGAGTGTGTGGAGCGTAAGAGAGAACGAGTTCGAGAGAGTGAAACCGAAAGAGAGTGAGAGAGCACCAACGTGATAAGGACATAAACACGTACATAAATTACAAAAGCTTCTAATTCAATGAGATGAGCGCCTTACAACAAATGAAAAACTTGCAACAAATATAAAACGGCCACAATAAATCAACGTGTTCGTGTGTACACCCTTTCTATATTGTGTGATTGTTTTGTATTTTTTGTTGTTGTTGTTTGGTGATTGGTGTTTTGGTATTCAATCCACTTGCTTCTTGTTTGTACTTCTTCGACCAATGACATCGGTGTAATATGACGAAGCATCGAAACCGAGTCATTTTGTAAATAAGCAGAGCGATTGCATACAGTGCCGTGCCGTCTTTAAGACTTGTGTGCAGGTTCAAGTGTATAAAGGCAGGAATACGAGCTTTTACTCGCTCTCTCTCTCTCTCTGTCTCTGTTATTGAACAGAGTTGTGCGAAATGATGCGGTTAAAACGCATAGTATGACTGATCAAACGAAGAATTTAAAATTTCGTTTGAATAATTATCATACTTATCATTATGAGATGAGTACGATTTTCTATTGTGAACGTCTGACAACGATTGAAACAAATTATTCGAATAAGCGACAAAAAGATAATAATCGTTCAAGAAAACGTTGCAACTGGAATATCAATACTGATTTTTGTTCGACAAACAGCACGCTATTCATTTCAACCATACAAATATCTAATCAACAGTCCGAAGAAGAAGTAAAGAATTGAAAAGAAAAAGAGGGGGCAAAAATCGAACCAAAAACAGGGCAAATATTTCTTTTGTACGTAAAAAAGCGATAAAATAATGAAATAAAATCATAAAAAAAGGAATCTCTAAATAGCCAAATCATAAAAAGAAAAACCAAAAGAACGAAGAGGTAAAGAATGTATGTGGATACGAGCAAGAGCACAATAGCAAGAGATTCAATATACACATACAGTACAACCGATGCAACAAACAAGTATAGATAGATACATATAGAGAAAGCAAGAGAAGAAAGAAAAAAATTGACATACTCATTGGAAAAGGACGAAAGTTCCCAGTGTGAGATTGGACGAGTGGAAATAGTGTGTTAAGCAAAACACAGTCTTATAGCGATCGAAAGCAGCAGAAACAACAATAAAAAAAAGTATTACAAAAGGAAACCACAGACAAAATAAATGAGATTAAATTCCGAACATCCAATAACAATCGAAAATAAACAAAAACCAAAAAGGATATACAAAAGAATTGACAGAAAGGATCGATCCAAAAACGAAAAAGAAAAAGTAAGATAGAGGGGGGAGCGAAGCTTTAACAACAAAAAATAAACAGTAGCAACAAAATTGCGGATTAGAAATCGCAAAGCAACACTGTTGTAATCGAAGTTATATGTAATAAGAGCAGATCGGAGTGACACATTGAAATTGGCCAATAATATGACTTGGACAATCCATTGAGCTGCACGGCAACCACATCATACACCAGAGATAAGAATAGATATGCGTATCACCATCCTCATCATTGTCAGTGATTTGATTCAAGAAATTGAGAGAGAAAAAATATAGAGAGTGTGTGTGTGAAGAGCAGCAGCAGTAGCACAACATTAACGCAATTTACAAGAGACGACACAACTGGACTGCAGCCATAAACGTGACGATAACAACAAACTCATACACATAAAGCTTTCAAAAGAACGAATATCCGAATCACATTGAGCAGAGGAGAGAAGAAAAAAACATTTCCCTCACATCGATTATGTAGCCAGTGTGTGTGCGTTGCCGTTCCTTCTGATTCCACTTTTTGGCACACATTTTAATTCACACTCACCATCATTGTTCTTCACATCATTTCACTATCATCACACTGAATAGATTTCGCTTGGATCGACAAACGTTTTGGCTTTCATGGTCATCGAAACGCACATTAATCCGTAACGCGAATGCATCGATAAAAAGACAAAAAGGATAGAGCGGGAGAGTGTGTGTGAGAGAGAGAGCAAAGGCAAGAAAGAAGAAAACCATATTCGGCATTAATTTCCTCTGGCTGTCAATTATCCTATAGTGTACGCATTCTCTTTCATTTCTTTTAGTCGATTCCATTATCTCTCATTGTTGAAATCTTCGGTATTTCGTCAGTTCAACTCCATCGAACAAGCCCCGTAAGCAACAACAAAAACAAATATAACAGAACAAAAAAATAATTGGTAATTTGGCGTCGATTGAATCCATTATCGCCTGCTTTGTGTTCACGCAGTGACGATTCAACGTGAAGAAAATGTTATCAAACTCAAATGTGTTCATTCTATTGATTTTGATAATACATTCAATATTGTTCGAATTCACATTAGCTAATTTAGTTGCAGTGAATGCACATGCTAAATTCGATGAAACGAAAATTACGACGATCGAAACGGTGACCACCGCCACATCAACATCATCATCATCATCAACCACAACAGCATCATCATATGTGGCCCATTTCATCGATGGCCAAAGTCGAACAACAACGACAAAAACAGCATCATCACGCATTAAAGATAAAATAGCCAACATAAAAGTGACGACCACGAAAGATCCATTAGAGACAGGAAATCGTAAACAATTTCCAAGCACAATCAACGAATACAATTCAATAGCAACAACACATCGCGTAACTATTATCAATACAATACCCACGACGACATTGCCATTAGATCGAGCAACAAAATTTAACGAAATTCCATTTAATGCGACTAGCACAAAAAATGCTCATAATGGTTTGACAAAGTTTGAAATGGTGTCAAGCACCTTGGCAAATAAAAATGCGACCATTTCACCGCAAACGGAAGAACCTACACTCGACCCAAAGCCATTACTGACATCAGCATCAACACCAAACACACTCAAGCAGCAATTCAACCATCAAGGAAATCTGGAAATAAATTCAAACCAAAGTCGTTCACATGCGAATGCACAAAATCGTAGTAGTTCGTTAATGGGAAGCAATAATCAAATCATTGACGATAACGACAACACCAACATAAAAACGCTTGATTATCTTAATGGTCATAGCAATGATGATAAAACTGATTATGTGAATTCTAACATTCATCTACTACCTCAATCGGATGCACCGTCATCGTCATCAGCTGCTTCCATGAATCCATCATTATCTGAAACGAATATGAAATCGACACGATCAGATGTTGTCTATTTTGTTGTCGCTGTTATCGGCGGTGCAAAAATTTGGGCACGTACACTAGCACAAACTCTTAGTGATATGGGACCACCATTTAATGATTCATCGGGATCTCCGCTTCGGCCAATATATGTTGATTTACCAACAAACGGAAGGTACGTTCAAATTGAAGAAGAAAAAAAACTAACAATCTACCGTGTATCAACTTGTACGTCCACTTTCTTTTCAATTTATATACAAAACATAAATGGAAGTTTATACACATAATTTTAAAGCAAGAAAAAAATAATAATAATGATAACGTAAAACTTTTGCTTCAAACCCATTTGTAGGCCATGCTACAAAGCTATAGGCAAGAAAAAGAACAGCTGCGACCATTGTGCGAAAATTGAATTTTTAATACGCAATTACACTATTGTCCACCTTCTTTTACTTGTACTCCTGCAACTTTTCTTTGCTTGCGTTTATTTTCTGAACTACTTTGGGACTTTTTTTTGTATCTTTCAATCTATTTTACTCCGGACTGCGTTTTGTTCAATGGCAGGAAAAATAATTAACTTTTCCATCTCATTATGTAAAAATAAAATGTTTTTTTTTTTTTTATCTATTCATAAACTCGAAGATAGATAGCCCATTTCTTCGAGAATGTTCGTATCCTAATTTTCGCTTTTTTTGCAAAAACAATTATATTTCATTTACTTAAAAAATACTAACTTAGATACTTGCTAATTATTATGTATTTAACGTTTTTCTTTTATTTGATGGAAAAAAATAAGACATCGACTGAACTTTTGGCATGTTCTTTCATTTTGTGCAGATTCTCTGTGAATGTGCTTCTATCGTTGTGTCAGCAAAGTGAAAAGCGTCCATTAGCCGGTGTTGTAGTCATCGGAAATGGACAGTCAGCACATGCAATTGCTCATGCTGGTTCAGCGATGCAGTTACCTGTTTTATGGGCAAAGGGTGGAACAACTAATTTACATGAAATACATCCAGAGGTATGATACGGTCACTTTGTCCAATTTGTATTCATTCATTTTTTCTGAGTTTTCATTATGTCTGTTATATCATTTTTGTATGAAGTTAAATTGATTTAATTGAGAAAACTGAGTGAGTGCATATTTCAAATGTTATGATGTTTGACATTTTTTTGTTACCAAATTCAGTGGAAATTGAGTGAATTTTCATCAAATACTTATTTATATGATATAAAATGTCAATGCATAAAGTGAAATTAAAAAAAGAAATAAATAAATAACTGGGCGAAATACAAGTGCTGCGCTAAACTCAGAAACTGAAAATCGTATATGAAAATGGTTTGAGAGTTAGAAGGGGTGTACTGTCATTTCGCTCATTATTTTTAATCCTTTTAAATGTACAGGGTGGGCCAGAATAAGTGTCGCTTTTTTTTGCACCTACGTAATTTCAACTACAATGCTTTCCGATCACCCTTTGATTCACCGTTATGTTTATTCATGTTTGTGCAATCCACTGTGACGATGCACAGTATTGCGCAGTTCCTGTTTACTTTACAATAGCAATGGATGTGAAACGTCAACTAGTTTTGAATTTGCACAAAAAAGGTTTGCGACAAGTTGATATTTTTCGGAAGCTTCAGAGCGACAATATCAATTTTACATTTATTCAGCGCACCATAAAACGATACAAGGAACAGGGAACAGTCGATGTGAAGCGAAAACCGGGCAGAAAAAAATCCGTAAGAACAAAAGATCTGGTCAAAAAGGTACGAGACAAAATTCGTCGAAATAACAAAAGAAGCGCTAGAATCTTGGCTCGTGAGCACAATATCAGTCGATCTTCAATGCGACGAGTGTTGAAAGAAGATTTGGGAGTTAAACCATTTAAAAAAAAAACCGAAAACACGGCTTGACAATCAAAAATAAGCAAGATAGAAAGCAAAAATGCAAAGAACTGCTACGTCGGCGTGCAACCTCAAACATTGTTTTTTCAGACGAAAAGTTGTTCCTTTTGCAGCCAAGTCTCAATGCGCAAAATGATCGTGTTTATGCAGCGTCAATTGAGGACATTCCTGAAGATGATTTAGTCGTTGAACGATTTCAAAATGTGTCGAGTGTCATGGTTTGGGCCGCCGTTTCGGCCGGCCACAAATTTCCCCTTGTTTTCATTGAAAAAGGCGTTAAAATTAACGCAGCTATGTATGAAATATTTCGCAAAAACTTGTTGCCACATGCCGAAGCTGTGTTTGGTGATGAACCGTGGGTGTTTGTGAGTGGCCGCCATCGTTTCCAGACCTAAATCCGTTGGATTATTTTGTGTGGGGCTACATGCAATCGAAGTTAAATGATCTGAAGATTAAGAAAATTACAAAATTGGATGCATTAAAAAAGAAAATCGTCAAGATTTGGAACGATATTCCCATCGAAATGGTGCGCGCCGCGTGTAAATCGTTTTTACGACGTTTGCGTTTGGTGGTCCGTGCAAATGGAGGAAGAATCAAAACCAAAACATAAATCTAAAATTTTGGATCCTCTTCTAAATCCCAATTAAGTTTTTGTTCAATTTTAGTAAAAGACAATACGTTTTTTGAGCATATATAAAAGCGACACTTATTCTGGCCCATCCTGTATAATGCAATTTAAAACTTCCATACAGAAAACGAAAAACAAAGCACACACTCAACCAAATTCATTATTTTACATACAGGCATCTCTGCAAGCGCTACTTCAACCATCAGCTATCGAAATTTTTGAAGCGGTACGATCTTTATTCCTACAGGTATGTGCATGAAGATATAATTATCGCTTGAGTGAATTCAATGAGTTTCAGAGACAGCGGGAGATAAAATTCATATATATAACACACATATTTTCACTGGATATATATGAATGGAATGAATTTGTCTAAAGTTTGCGTCAGTTTGTTGGTTTAAACAATAGCTTACGTAAATAAATAATTTTCACAGTCATAAATCACTTGGGTTTTACGTTTATTTCATCCATTTCATAAACACTTTTTTCCTTTCTTCCTTCATTTCATACTTCGTACGATTTTATCTCTCGCTCCATGTTTCTCTTCTCTCTTTCTCTCTCTTTCGCTGCTCTCTTACTATCTTTTCATCTATATCGTTCGCATCGTTTTTTCACTAATTTCGGCCTTTATTTTCGTGAATGTTCACTCTGCTCTTTTCTTCGTTATGTTGATGTTTTTTTTTTCGTTTCGCAGACACATTGGCACTCGTTTTTTGTACTGTCTGATGTTCAAGCAACGAACGTCATGAATGTTAAGGATAATCCGTTGAAGAGACCACCACTGGTACCAACTATTGTACCGTTGCCGAGGAACAACGAGGATGTGTTCAAGTAATTATTGATTTTTCTTATTTAATTCGTTTTTTTTCTATTCGCTGTTCAACTGAATTCCACTCATTCGGATAATTGATTAAATTTTGATTTTCATTGAAAACGAATTTAAGTTGAATGAATTTGATTGGAGCTCTTGTTTCATGTAGTTTCCTCACGATGTTTTGCGTCAAAGCTCATCACCATCGAACAAAACACTAACAAAACTCTTTTACCCTCGATATTTACTATTTTATTTTCTCTTCTTTTTTTGCTCTGTTGTGCGTGTTTGTGTGTGTGTAATGATTTTATAGGCAATTAGCCCAAATATCTCGTTCAACAAGGGGTGTTATACTATTGTTGGGTAATGTGCAAGCCACTAGGCGGATTATGACTGAAGCGCATCGCCTCAATATGGTCGGGGGCCATTTCATATGGTTGTGGATCGATACGAGCACATCAACTGGATATTTTCATCAAGCAACGGTGCCAGTGAGACAATCATCAAAACCGCAACACCAAACAACCCGATCAAAGGCAAATGCCAGTAGTGTTAGCGGCACAACATCAAAAAGTGGCTTAGAGCCAAAAAGTGAAAATCGAAAAAGTTCCGATAAACAAATGCAAACATCAACACCAACTTACGATGGTGATGTGTACGATGTAAATAGCCCGAAAAAAATGCAATCAACGAAAGTACGACAAAGCTCGAATCGTAGTGGAGAAGAAACGGCTCTGGAAGCCGATGAAGATGATGGTTCGTCGTCATCGTCAAAAGTGAATGTTGATTTTAGTCAGGGTTTTGATCCATTTCGAGTGTTGTTGGAACAACATCAAGACGAACAACTCAAACAAACATTTGGTACACCACAACATTATCAAGAACGAACCGCACAGCGTGATAACAACAAACAAACACCAACCAATAACCGTTTAATTTTGGGTTTGCGTAGCGAAAGCACTGCGGCCACTGAAACCGAAGAGCCAACCAAAGAAAAAAAGAAGAAAATTCAACGCCGCAGCAGTAGCACCAACAACAAAACCAAAAGCCGATACAATAACATCAACACAAATGCACAACGCCACAGCGAAATTGACGATGATGCATTTTATGATGAACATGATGAAATGCCCATTTTTTTATCGAATCAAACGATCTCATCGAAAAATCGCATTTATAATAATAAATATCGAAATTTTAGTGATGATAATTTGGATGATTTCATTGACAATAATAATTTCAACGAGAGTCCCAATTTAAAGTCGAATTTTAAGCGTACATCGACAGTAAATGGTAGCACCTCATCGTTACCGTTGCCGCCATCGTCCTTTGTTAATTTTCATCAATTCAAAGATTTTCCCGTTGGTTTATTGGCATTACGGCCGATTCGCATGAACGTGGATCGACATTTTATACGGGCGGCTGTACGCTTATTTGCTGCCACTTGGGAGAAAATTAATAGCAGCAAATCGATTTTGAATTCAATACCATCACAACAGCGACCCATCACCACATCATCATCGTCATCAATGCCACAATCGCGTCGAACACAACAAAATCGAAATGCACAAGGCACAACCACACTGTATAATGCCAAAAAATTTGGCAATGAAATGAACAGCCGAAAAATGAGACGTAAACGCAACATTCATACGGTTAACAAATTACTTGTAAAAATCGTAAAATTGGAAAATGTAATCGAACACGACCATAAGCATGAGCATTATGGTGAATACGATGATGATGATGCTGATGATGCTGTTGTTGTGGATGAAGTGAGAAAACAAACGGAACCACAAACGGTGCCCGCAAAAATGCAAGTTAACAGTTCTCTATTTCTAAAAGAGTTAAACAGTATTAGTGATAAGAATAAAAATAGCGTTACTATTGAACGAAAAAGAAAACGGCGATTAGCCGAACAAAAAACTATTGATAAACAGTTAATAAAATTTAATAGTAGTTTTACAAGTGACCTACCAAATAATAATGATAATATTAATAAAAACACAAATAACACTTATTACATTAACAATAGCGATAGTGTTAATTTAACAAATGTGAACGTTAGTTTTAATCGAAATTTCAGTGGCTTATGGAAACAAAACAGTAAAAATAAGAGCAATATTCATTCATTAAATGGCACGCGACACCAACAAATAATTGTAAGTGATGAAAGCAGCAGCAACAACAACAAGACATTACAGTTCAATGCATCAAATGTGACAAATCAACCGGTGGCTGTCATTGCTGCTCAATTAAACCGCAATGACCCTCACTCAACAACTGAGTCGATGGCCAAGCAAGCAAGTCAATCGATAGTCGAAAATTTTTTAAATCATCGCTCATCAGAAGATGTACGACATTCGTCGCCGTACAAGCGACAAAATACATGGTGGTCAACGAAAAAAGACATACCCACATTGGCAACACAATACAAACGACCGCAATACGATACGAACAACAAAAATGCCAATCAATTAGCGAACGCTTATCGCATCACCGATCACGATTATACGAATCCGATAAAGTGTGAAACGCCAAGCTATTTCGGTGGATGCTATGGCACATCCACCAGACAGGATATAAAAAATGCTGAATATTTTTCAAGGTAAACCAACAAGCACACACAATATTTTATATTCCGAATACATTTTCCAAATGACCGAACATACGCATGCTTCATTTATCTTAAATGTGTTTTCAAACTTTATCGCCTCTCTCCCCTCTTTCTCTCTCTCTCTCTTTTTCTCGATTGGCATGCGTTTTTTTTTTTCATTTCAAATCGGAAAATAATGTGGCCGTTCACCTCGGAATATTTTAACAACGCTGTAGAGCATTAAGAGAAGCAACGAAATTGGCATTGTCTGGACGAACAATTTATAATGGTATCAACGAGAAAGCCTTAACAACCAATTTTGATTTATTAAATTTGGTGCCGAGCGATCATCCGTATCATGCAAAAGTTAATAATAACCAATCGTTTCAAAGTAAATCCACGGCACATAGCTCAAATAATAAGGAGAAACGGTCGACAACAACAGCAAAGGGTTCAAACGGAGCTTCGACGACAAAGTGGCGTCGCGTTGGATTAGTTTCTGCCTCGAGCGTTCAATTAGATACAATTGTTTGGCCAGGTGGTGATATTGTTGTTTCAGGTAAATAGATATTCCAAGGTATAGCTGTGCTTCTTTCCGTTTCTTTATTTCATTTCTTCTTAAAACTTATGTGAGAGCTGTGAATTTGGGTTGTACGTATTCAATATTCAAAATCGAATGGATTAACAAATGACGATATTTGGAATAAATTTTAGGTCTATCGGCCGGAGCTAGAACTGTATTTCGTATTGTGACTGCATTGGCGCCGCCATTTGTCATGGAATCTGAACTGGACGAAGACGGTTTATGTTTACGTGGTTTGCCATGTCACCGAGTATCCCCAGTCGGTATGTGTACATATATACACACACAAACACACATACACCCGTTGAATTTTAGTTTTTAGCAAGAAACAAATAAATAATTACAAAAGCGATATGCATATAATTAAGTCAGCCACTTTGAGGTATGTAGTATCAATAATAATCGATTTTTCATGTCGGTTGAATTTTAATTAATCCAGGACGACACAATTTGACACTGATGTTCAATGCAATCGAGACCCGTGATCGGTTGGAAGAGGATGCAGTTGAACATGGAAATGATTTGCCACCCGAACCGGAGCATCTTGATGAGAAAATATCGCACGTGTAAGTGACATATTTTTTTTATTTTGGTATATACTATAAGTAAAAAACACTTCTTTGAAAGTTCTTACTGTGACGCAATACTGCACATCAAATCTGAAAATGATCTGATATAAATTTTCAGTGACGCTTGCAATCAAATACACAAACAATTTTTATATTGCGTTGCCTCTTGGGCATTATCACAATGATAAATTTTCATTTTTAATTTTCTAAGAATGAGAGAGCTTGAACCATCTCCACTTAATTTTTTTCAAAATTTCTTCGCTGTATGTTCAAGAGGAGCACAATGTCTTGCCAAAGAGCCAAAAATGACGTATTTTTGTTGAAAAACACCCCGTGTACCCTATTCGAGGAATGCTCCAAAAACCGAAAATTTTCGAAAAAAAAAAAAATTAATTTTGAAGAAAAAAATTGGTTCGTTACAGTTGAGACTAATAAAATCAGACTAGTAAGATAGTTATTACTTATTACTAATAACTTCTAATAACTGGTAATAAGATATCATCTTATTAGTGTAATAAGAGTAGTAATAAGTTTAGTTATTAGAATATTACTAGTCAGAAGACTAATAAGATGCATGTATCTTATTAGTATAGTTATTGGTATAGTTTCTCATCAGTATATTTCGATTGGTGTTACTAGAATCAAATTTATTGCTGAAAAAGAAACTCTCGGAGACTCGGTATATACAATGCACAAAAAAAGTGAAAAATATTTTTTTCTGTTTTCGACTGTATTTCTGCTGCTACATGGCAGGCTTATATGAAACTGGTGGAATTTTTTTTCGTGTTTCAGTAGTATTTGATTCTAGTAAGACCAATCGAAATATACTGATGAGAAACTATAATAATAACTATACTTATAAGATGCATGCATCTTATTAGTCTTCTGACTAGTAATATTCTAATAATCTAATAACTATACTTATTACTATACTTATTAGTTCAAAAAAATAATAAGTAATAATATAGTTTGATCTTATTAGAGTGAATAAGATACCGAAAATTCCCAACTGTATGGTTCGTTACGAATTTTCCCAGATATGACACAACAATCGAAACATCACAAAGAAGTTCGTGAAAAAGTGAGTCTGCTGTTAAATGTCAAAATTTTATCGAACCCTTCTATGGAATTACTTAGTACCAAAAAGTGGCGCCACTGTACATTTCATAGAAGGGTTCGATAATATATTGACGTTTTACAGTAGACTCACTTCATATGAAGGAAAATCACCAACTCCTTTGGTCCCCAACAAACGCCCTTTTAATTTTGGTCGGTGTGAAAAAAGTCATGGTCATTTTTCAAAAAAAGCAAGACATGCAGCGCCATCTAGCGATCATTTTAGAATTTTTTTTTCAATCGGACTTCAGATCTGGATAGCTGAGGTTCATACCTTTCCAACGACATATAGATCATTGCCGCACCTTTCATATGCACAGAAAGTGGGCCATTCGATGAAAAACTGAAATAGTGCATTCCACTTTTTTTCGAACCTAGACCTCAGACACTTGCGTGACGAAATCGAAAAATTCGAAGAGACATGTATGCTCGGTTTTCCATCTTCTTTCGAATAAAATCGGTCTCCGGCGATTTATCAAAAAGTACGGAAAAAAAATTTGCGGACAAAAAAACAAACCATTTCAAATATTTCGTGTTTTTTTGAAAGATTTTTTGACGCGAACTCGGAAAAAACTCGGATGGCGAAATCATTCCGACGCCGACCGTTCTCGGAGCATCTTGGGTTCGGTCGGCGTCGGAGCTCGGTCGGAGTTGCGAACACTGATGATCATATCTCGGATATATATTATATTTATATATAAATATTTGTATATGTATGTTGGCATTGCGTCACTTGGGGGACTACCGTCCCCCGTGATATATCTAAGGTTTTTGCGATTTTTATGTTTCTTTTTTTTTGTCTAACTTTTTATTTTTACTTTTGCATAAAAGTTGGGTGCAGGCTGTTGCCGAATTTGCAAACAAAACGACATAATAGTTAAGCATCTATGCTTTGAATGCTTCAAGCTGATGAAATTTAGTTTTGATATTTTTTACCGTATGCTTTGTAGAAAAAAGAATAAAGAATAAACACATGCAGAAAGAGATTTGATAAAAAAAGCATTCGAAGTTTCTAATTAAAAAAACAATCATATTTCAGCACAAAATGTTGCTATGGACTTACAATGGATTTACTCGATAACATTGCCACGGAATTGAGTTTCGAATTTCATCTTTATGTGGTGCGAGATCAACTATTCGGTTCGAAGCAGCAACGTGATGTTGAAGATTTCATTAAAACCAATTCAAAATTGAGCGGCAGTAATGGCCACGATGAAGGTACCCCGAACAAGCCTACAGATCATGATGTCGATGAAGAGACATCTAACAGTAAGTATAAAGACAAACAATAAACCTTAAATTACATATATCCTACATGACAACAATGTGTGCAAGCGTCATTGTTTTTTGACGCGCGGCGCAAAAACATTCATTCGCCATAACAAACATAACAAACACTCGCACACAAACCATGCACTATGAAATTCTCCTGCAAATTATAGCTATAGATTTTGGTACCTATGTTGTGCATTCAAACGACAACAAAATCAAGTAGCATACAAAGTTTGAATGTCTACAATGTACACAAAATACATGAATGGACTTCATGCAAAAGGATATGCTCAAGCTCATACATAATTCAATCACGCGAACAACAGAATAAGACAAGAGTCTATCCAGTTTTCATAGATATTCACACATACATGCACAGCGTTGAAAGCTAACTTTAATTATACGCCTGTTTCTAATGTGAAACATCGGCAAACTTCCTAAAATGATAATGGATAGTATTATAACGCACTCGAAAAACATTAGGCACATGGATTTTATACGCATTACAACGAAATGAAATTTATCTCTGTTCGTCTCTGCCATTTTGTAAGAGCAGCAAATCACAATCGTTTTCATTGTTTGCCAAACAAACTGGCCGAAGCAACCAAACCGAATGAAGGAATTCCGAAAATACACAAAAATAAAAGCACATTCATGAACAAACAATATTGTAATTGTTTTCTGTTCGTTCTTCCGTTTTATTAACATTTTATGCACATTTTCGCTCCCACATCGATGACGCGTAGCTGATCAATGGAATGGAATCATTGGAGATTTAGTTAGCGGTTCTGCCGATATGTCATTTGCATCATTGAGCGTTTCCAAGTAAGTCAAGACCAATTTGTTTTGTTTGACTTTTCCATTTTCTTCATGCCCATGAGTTCGCGATTTTTCGTTCTTCAATGGGCATTTTTTTGTTTACGTTCAATTATTTACAACAATGAGTAAAATGTAAACAATGCCATTAGCAGATCAGCATTTATTTTTCATTGAATGATGTTATTATTTTTGTTGTTGTTAAACAATTTAAACAATCAACCGCTCTTTTGTTGGTATATTCACATGCTTACCTGTGCTTTATTTTCACTTTTCCTTTTACTCTGCATTTCAAGCATCTTTTTCAAAATATTGAATTAAACGCTCTTTTTTTTCCTTCTTGGAATTTTTTTGCCTCCACCACACCCCCCCTCCCCCGAACTTATCGTTCCGCATTGAATACTATATATTATAGGGACCGTGCGAAAGCGATTGACTTCAGCATACCATACTTTCATAGCGGAGTTTCTTTGCTAGCATCGCCGAAACGAAAATCCGAAATTCCATTGTTGGCCTTTTTGTTGCCATTTTCACCCGAACTTTGGATTGCCATTTTCACTTCATTGAATATTACAGCGGTTGCTGTCGCAGTCTATGAATGGCTCAGTCCGTTCGGTTTAAATCCGTGGGGACGACAACGGAGCAAAAATTTTAGTTTGTCATCGGGTAAGTACACACAAAAAAAACTATATTAATGACTACTTTGAACCGTGGTTTTTGTTCCATCGAACCGCAAAGAAACCATTATGTCACTATGCCAATGGGATATTCTTGTGTTGTCAAGAGAGATCATTAACACAATAATGTTTCGTTTCTTACCAGCTAATAGTTATATGATTCGATTATTTTTATTCGCAGCATTGTGGGTGATGTGGGGATTATTGTGTGGTCACTTGGTTGCATTTAAGGCGCCAAAATCGTGGCCAAATAAGTTCTTGATAAACGTTTGGGGCGGTTTCAGCGTTATATTTGTTGCATCTTATACTGCAAACATAGCTGCTTTGATAGCCGGTTTATTTTTTCATCATGCAGCCAGTAGTTACGATTCTTCGGTAAGTGGTTTTTGTTTTTTTATATAAAAAGAGAGAAGTTTTTTTCTCCTGCAGCCACGTTGGCAGCCGCAAGTAACAACCAAACTGAAACATGTAATTTTTATGTTGCATTTTTCTGAATTCCATTGAATAGTTTTATAAACTGTTGTTGATGGATGCACGCGCGAGCGCACAAGTCTCGCTTTGCTCAATAGTTAATATTCAATGAATTACCGTCCTAAAAATGAAATGCGATTGTTTTCCATATCTTTTTTCCAACTTTGTCTATTTGCCGATTTGTATGAAAGAATGGGACTGTATTTGTCTTGTTCAAATTGATTGCCATTGTTTCATTGTACCTATTGTTCTTTTGTGCATCTATATATTTGTCTAGCTTACGACACAGAAAGTGGGAGCACCAATAGCATCGGCTGCAGAATCATATGTACAAAACAAGGATAAACATTTATGGGAGCACATGAAAAAATATTCATTGAATCACATTGAAGATGGCATACGTGGGCTAAAGTAAATTTACATTGTCTCATTTCATTTATTTTTCCTCTGTTCTACGATCGTTTATAAATTTGAACTGATGTTATCCATTGCATGTCATTTCATTCAAACAAATAGAAATGGTACACTTGATCTTTTGATGGCCGACTCCCCCATTTTGGACTATTATCGGGCCACCGATCATGGCTGTAGTTTACAACGCATCGGTGAAACATTCGTTGAAGATACGTATGCCATTGGTTTTGTGAAAGGATTTCCGTTGCGTGAGTCAATATCGGCATTAATTGCCAAGTATTCGAGTAACGGTTACCTGGACATTCTCACCGAAAAATGGTATGGTGGTTTGCCGTGTTTTAAATATGAAGCGGAAATTGTGACACCAAGACCCTTAGGTAAGTGTGCTTGCTCTTTGGATTAGATTTTTTTATCGCTTCTGATGTGGGTTTTTTCCATCGTGTAAAAAATGTTAACTCTTTTTTATTGTGGTGTCCATTCGCCATAGTGAATAAATCTGGTTTTTTTCTGTTATACTTTACAATTTATTCGTTCCGTTTCTTTCGGAATTGCAAACACACAAACGCGGCAATTCATCATAATCATTGCTGTCATCGTCATCATCATCCTTAAAATTTAGGTGTGGCTGCTGTAGCTGGAGTTTTCCTATTGCTCGGCCTGGGCATGGTAATGGGTGTTGTAATTTTGATATTTGAACATTGGTTCTATAAATATGCGTTGCCATCGTTGCGTCTGAAACCAAAAGGAACCATTTGGAAATCGCGTAACATTATGTTTTTTAGTCAAAAACTATATCGATTTATCAATTGTGTTGAATTGGTATCACCGCATCATGCTGCACGCGAATTAGTACATTCGATTCGACAAGGACAAATTGCCAGCTTATTCCAAAAAAGCATCAAACGGGTTCGTATACGCTTTCATACTCAATTTTACCATATTTATACAAAGTGCTACGCACCGATTGATGTGTCAACATTTCCGTTTTTATTTGTCTCTCATTTTGAATCTGTCTATCTGTCGTGTATGTGTGCTTGTAAAAACGTATCGGCTTGTCAAGTTTGTATCACTATTATAATGAACAAATAAAAAAGAAGGCATAATGTGCTGCTATTAAACCATTAATGGAAAACAATTTGACAAAGTGACAAATAAAATGGTATGAATATAAAATGTTGTGTTGAATGGTTGAGCGAATGATTGCGGAAGAGAAAAAGACAATGAAAAATGGAGAAATGTTAAGTTAGAGCATCGATTGAGCTCGTAGCAAGTAGATTAGTTTGCAAACACTGTCGCTTTCTTTCCGAATTCGTAATCAAACTTTGTTCTAGAAGGAGGATGAACAACGTCGACGCCGTAAGAGCAAAGCACAATTCTTTGAAATGATCCAGGAAATTCGAAGGTATTTATGCTCAATATATTCCAATCATATTAAAACAAAACACCGACAAAACAATCGATTTTCATGAACTGAATTCGAAATTGCTTCGCTCTTCTCTTTTCTTTCTCAATGTTTGTGTTTGCTTATTCGAACACAGGGCACAGCAAGTTGAGCGACAAAATTTGGCGGCGGTTGCTGAGGCTGAATCGCAAAAAGATACTGTTAAAAGCCCACCGTTATTGTTTAAGCCACGTGCCAGTCCGAAGCCTGGTATATTTTCGGCGTTAAAAAAAGATGGTCGTTCACGTTCAAATTCATCGGTATTGACACCGCGACGATTTAGCACGGATAGCATTTTAGGTGATAGGCTGGATTCAATTGGTCGTCGATTAAGTCGTGATTTAACGAATTCACCGCCGGATCTGAATAGACGCTACGATTTTGGTGGTAAAAACGATCTATCGCCGAATAAATATGATACTATATCCGGATCAAATCTCAGCGCACTTGGTATAAGCAAATCAAATGAAACACTTTCAAGTCGTTATGATACATTTAGTGGGAAAAATGTTGAAAAGACATCCATACCAGTTAAATTAAAAAAGCACGGCAAACGGCCGAAAATTAGTTTTGAATCATATCATCGTGATAGTGTTGATGATAAAGATGAATGTGAGGATGAATTGCCGGCGGTGAAAGAGGGTTTGGAACCATCATTTCTGCAAGAGGATCGACCTACCGCTATTCTACGACTCAAATTACATGAAGAACTACGCGCCAAACATCCACCGATTCAGACAAAATCAACCACAACCGTTGTAGATCAAGTTGTACCGAATTCCGTTATTCGACCTCCAATGATACCGAAGAAGGTGGTCATTGTACGGCATCAACGGCAAAAAAGTCTCGACAATTTGGATGTGGTTCAAACCGATAAATCGAAAACATCATCATCATCATCACCATATAAAAGTGATGAATCTGGCGATAGTTTGACAAAAATGAATCAACGATCACAAATCAGTTTGGAGCGATTAAGCCGTGAGGATCTACTGCGTTTGAGCCATAGTTCACAGTCGGAAATTCATGAATATCTAAAAGGTTCATCGTTACCGGATCGTTCTGCTGAACCACCGTGAATTCAACCAGACTAATAATATCCAGGTAATCTTTTGGAAACTCACTCTCTTGCATAGTTCACTAGTTTGCTGTAGAGAGAGTGGGTAGAAAGAAGAAATTTTTTCTCGCATTTGGCTTGCGAATGCATTGCTGTATGTTGCCAACGCCATATCGCCATTTAATATCATCTAGTGCTGTTGTGCACAAATACACATACCGGATGCAGAGATTGTTTTTTGTCCGAAAATCGGAATCGCATTTGTGAAATCAATCGATTTGTTAGTAGCATTTCATTACAAGAATTTAGAAGAATTGTGACTTGAACTTGAATTGAAAGTTCAGATTATGTGTAAATGAATAACATGCCGTTTTAATCAGATTTTTAATTTTAAAATCAAAACCAACTAAACAACAGTTACAACAACAAATACCTTAGCTAATTAGTATAACAATACGCTCATTTTTAGTATCGGCGCGATAGACAAAAACAAACAAAATATTTAAAAAAAAAAAAAACAAACAAACAAAAAATTAATTTAATTGAGAGATATTGTATTAGTATGGCTCGATTTTGTAAAGAAAAAAGTTCAAGCGACGTTTTTGGCGTTAATCCGAAATAAACAAGAATTGCGTTTAAGAAATCGATCCATACCAGTGTATAGGTTTTGATTATCAACATTCTATGGGGTAAAATATATTATAATTTTTTTGACCAATTTAAATTTCATTTCCATTTTTTCCCACTGAAAGCATATGCAAATAATATGTATATTTTAGCGAGACAGAGAAATATTTTGTATCAAGCACTTGGTTTGAGTGTTCGATTGAGATAAAAAAAAATGGGGCATTTCTTTGCCAAAACTAAAATTATCAAACTATACAAACAAAAAAAGTGTTTTTTTTTTTCGAGCTATACATATTTTATATATAATATCTAACAAAAAAATGATTTTATTCGTTACTTCACAATTTTTTCTAGCGTACTCGCGCTCTGTCTGAATTGAAAACTAAGCTATTGTAATATTATTGTTGTTGGAGTAAGCCAGATAAAAAAAATCATTGAATGCAACTTTGTACGAATTGAATATTACATTCATGTTGCATAGACTTTACTTTGCACCGAATCGAACGAAAGAGAGAATGGAAAAGAGAAAGAAAGAGAGTAGAATGGGTTGTGTTCAACTATAAGTGCACTAAACTTTAATATGGCCTTACAATGAAAGCAAAGCACACACAAACAAACACATAGAATCTAAATGGGCCACAAAAGTCATTTTCTCCCGCAATCACAACAGAAAATCCACAGTTGAAGAAGAACAATTTGAGACCAATAGTAAAATTAGCAAACAAACATACACGATCAAACAAAAAAAAAGAAGAAAGAAATGAACGTACATAAGAAAATGTGAATCCTTTTTTTATTCTATTTCATTCATTTTATTTGAATTGGAATATTTTGCATGTAATTTAAAATTGTTGGGAAAAATTTGGGGGAAAGTTTTATTGGTTTTTCCTTTTAGCGGGCGGTTGAATGGGAGAGTGATTGAAATGCAAATCAATCCATCGGAAAATTTGTAATGCGAACAAGACGCATGCATACTTCATTTCTTTTCGGTAGTTTATCGTTTTACTTTACTGCACGCGTTGAGTTTTTAGAAAACGCATTTTAAGAACACACACACACACCATTTTTTATTATTTTAAGTTTCAAGTTCTTTGATTTGGAGGGTCAGAAATACCTGTTAACTCTTACAAACATAAAACAAACAATACTTTAGCTAATGATTAAATCAAACACAAAACACATAATTTTACTTGTTAGAGAACACAAATAAAATGATGACAAATTACTTTATCGCCCAATGTAGTTGATTACACTTAATAAATTATAGTTAGCACCAAAATAAATAATATGAAGAAAACAACAAAAAATTATATCGAAATTTAGAGGGCGGCTGAACACAAAATTATAGTAAAACATAGATTTTAAATGGTGTGAATTTCATATATAATAGAAAAACGGTGCTAAAAAAAGCCAAGAACTATCTATGTGCAATGATATTGTTATATTTATTGCGTATCAGTTGTTTTTTTCTCTTTACAACCAGAGCTTGATCGCAGAAGAAGGCACCATTGTAAAACAACAATTTGAAATGATGCGCATAGAATTTCTTATTCTGTTTCGAAAAATCAACACTCTATCATAGTTTTATTTGGGAAACTAAACTATAAATTAAAAACAATACACAAAAATCAAAAGTAGAAAAATAAAATGAACATTTCAACTGCTAAGCATTGCCTATGTTTATCATTTAATTCGTTTCAAATACATACACGCCCCACTATTTCAATAATTCAATATCAATTTCGAATTTCTTTTATCATTTCGTCTTCTTTTTGGGTGTTGCCATTTGAATAGTTGTAGTATTCTATTTTACAACAACAAAAAATCAGATATTTTTTGCGCACAAAACTACTTATACCACCTTTATTCTATTGAATAGTTATAACATAAAATTCATATTGCAGAAGCAGAAAACGGGACGCTACTAAGGCAATTCCGTAATTATTGATGCATTCAAAAGATAATAAACTTAATTAAACCAACCAAATCATTAGATGCAATTCAAAAAGAAAACCAATATATATACATATAGAAATATAAAAAATATAGACTTACATTTTAGATGAGAGATTATAGAAGAAATGGAAAATCACACGAAAAAATTAGCCTTATTTATTAAGAGAAAAACGTGTAGAAAAATATTAGGGTGCTAGCCGTCATATAAAATTATATTAAACAATAAACAAACATACAAACAAAAAGATGAATATTTTGTAAGAAATCAAATATACAAATTCGTAGAGCATGTTACATATATTTCGATTTTGTTTCTAATTAGAGAGATTTATTATAGCAAAAATATGAATGAGCCGCAAATTGCTCGAAACCGAAAGCCTATGTGTATACATTTTGTTTGTTTTCTAGATAAATTGACATTTTTTGGATGAAATTTTTGACGTTTAACGCGATTTTAAAAAATAGAAAGAATTAAAACGAAGAAGAAAAAAATGATACGTTTATGCACAAGCTTCTCGGCTATATGGTTTGATAACGTCTATTCGAATCGTCCATTAATATATAATGCATTTCAAATAAAAACCTATCCACACATTTAAGCTTGCCAATTACTGCACTCCACACAATTGTATGCAAAACATATTCAATTAGCAAAGCATTTCAACAAGAATGGAATTTGATCAGCGGAATTCGAGCATGAAATTGGTCTTAAATCAGCGTTTTCATATTAGTTAACAGATCACAGTACATTTCATTCCAAGTACTAAAATTCCAACTAAAAGCATTCAATTTTATTTTTGGCCATTCTCCGACAATACAATCTAAACACACATTTGGAAATGAAAACAAACCAGTCATTTTAATTTCAATATGAATGCTTCAACTAATCTCGCATATTTGTGTTTCTTTTCACTAATTTTCCACACCGATCCGAATGATTGGCCATTTAATTTAATTGAGAGAAAGAAAATGATAAGCTTCCAGTTGATTTCCGTTTCGCTTGCTTCTGTGTTCAATAAATTGTTGAGCAACGCATATTTCTTTTTAATTAGAATATTTGTGCTGGAAAATGAGAGTGGCTGATGAAATAACTTGGCCGCAAGATTTTCTCTCACTGAAAAGTTCCATGGAATACCAGTCAGATATTAAGTGCTTTTTTCAACGCAATCGATGAATTTTGATATGCAAAATACTAACGTAGCAATCAAAACCACATGGATTCATCTAAAATAGATACATCTGATGGGTTTTTTCCTTGGCAAAGATAATGAAAGCTCGAAATGTTGATACCAAAAAAAAAAAAAAATCAAAGCGAAAAAAAACAGAAATTCTTTACGAGACGATACATGGTTCTTTTGCATATATTGTTCGTTGAATGCAGAAGCCTTAATTTGTCACTAATATTTGTTATACTAATTGATAATGACTTAATATTTAATTGATGACTCTGAGTTTTTCAATGTTTCGTTTTATGGATGAATTTTTGGTAAAATCGAATTATTAAATTAAAGAGCTAAAAAGGTCAACAATTTCAAAAATTGACATTTAACGACGACTTAATGAGATTCATACACTTCTGGTCGTACTCTTCTATAATGTAGATGATTGGATTGTTTTAAAACAAATCGTACAAAGAATAGAATTTGTCTTAGATCCGCATTTTTAAAATTTTGAAAGTAAATCAATTCAATAACATTTGGCTTTAGAACGTAGCTAATAGTAGCGAGATGAAAAAAAAAATTCAGCAAACCACAATTCATAGCGAAATTAACAAATTAGTAATCTGAATAACATTTACGTAGCTCAAATGTTGACTACTCTTTGAATCGAACCACAGACATTCTTCATTCTATCATTTCTGCAACAACAAAAACAAACTCACAAATGTTGCACACCAAAATACTTAGAAACTGTTATAGCACCGAATAAAAACAAAATAAAAATTTATTTACCGTTATAAGTCCAGTTTGCCCAAATGGATGAATTTTATTGAATAAATGCCAAAAACCAAACACATTTTAGAGAAATTTAATAGACAAAAAAGCAATGAAAAAAAAATAAACTATTTATTAAATCAAGGAACAAACCTCATATTAATAGATAATTTATTGAAAAACCAATGAATGGCGTTTGTTTTTTGTTGCTTCGATTGAAGCACTCATAGTTATGCAAATGCATTTTGTTTGTACAAGTGACGCGAATGCAAAGTGTACTTTATACCGTCGACATTTCCGTACGTATAAAAATGAGTGATGATATCCAATTTATGAATTGAATCAAATTGAATTATATTCAAATCAAAGAGCTCAACGATGAAAACAAAAACGCAAAGTTCAAACGAGGAAGTATATGAGTATATGCATATATAAAACAATTATCGAACTCAATCGATATGCTGTTATTCATTTCTCATACTCCGCATTTCACTGATCAAGAGCGTGTTGCATTCGCTAGAGATCAAATCGAAATCTCTTTATCCGAAGTGATTTATATACGAAAGAAATCAGAGAGCGAGAAAAAAAAGCGCACGAATTGCTCACGAAAATAGCAAAACCGAAAAGTAGTTTTCGCAAGCAAAACCAATATATTGCTCAATTGCATTGCGTGTCGTTCCATTCCTCTCCATTTCAATCATTTATTACTATTCACCGTTCAATCTTGAAACGATACGTGGCACTTGATTTATCTACCTGTTTCTATATCTCCTATACTTCTTTTTTTTTGGTGGTAAATTGTATTCACAAAATTTTACAATTATCTTTGCTTGCGTGCAATTTCCATTTCATTTTGTGCGCTATCAATGCAATTGGTTTTCACATTTTGTTCAACGAATCAAGTGACTCTTGACACCAAACGCGTTGTGTTTGCTAAATTCCAATAAACTGCAATTGCAATTGCCACTGCAACTGTGCTATAAACTCGATTTTACTGATTCAGCTCACATTGCTCACCCTTTTATTTAAAGCCGTTGTTTGCTCATATTCATTCGCAATTTGCGAATGACGGTATGTGCTTGACAACATCGTCAACAACTGACTGAGCACATTTAACACCCCCTCATACTTCCACAACACACATACACATCAACAAAATCTCGAGCACGTCTTTTCGCGCGTAACGCGAACATCGTCCAACCGTAACGGTATAAATTATGATGCGAAAAATTTACGATGTCATATAAAGTGTATTCAATTTTGTAAGATGAACATAATATTATCATGCAACCATCCAGTTTGCCTTTCGGTGTGCCGTCAATTACTTACTACTTCTTTCATCAACTCAGTTCCGGGCAAATGTGCAATGCAATCTCTGTGTGTCTGTCCGATTTGCACCTTTATAATGCCCATTGAAACAATTACTACATTGTAATCCACAACTCAACACTTTCCAGTTTTGTAACTGCTTAAATCGTCCTTTCAGCTCTGACATTGGCATTTAACAGTTCATTTCGATGGATTACGAGGACGTTGGCTATTTTGTACGGAAAATTCACATTAAATGTCAAATGTCATATATAAACTCTGACATGTACAACATATTAGGATTTATATTCTGTTGATTTATGTTTTATTAATCCCAATTTTTATCATTACTATATTTACGAATGCGCTGTATACATTTGACATTGTGAGTTTAATCCACATTTCGATCTCTGTGGCGTGTGCATCATAAATATAAATAAAATGCATTGACACATATTTTTTCCTTCTTTTCTTCCCGTAAATCGTGAAAGATTATGAGTGTTTCAATTATTAACATACGAAAAATGATGAGCTAATTGAATATGAAGCAAAAAAAAAAAAAACATTCCGTTCGTAATCTGGTAACAAAATCACGGTTGAAATTTTCAACTTGAAACACCATTTTAGGCCATTTATTTTTAAAAAAAAGTGCAAATTGGAATTTTAGAGTGAAAATGTTACCTGAACCAAGAACAAAAACACTTTCGTTAGTTTAGTCAAATATTTTATAGTAGACAAACTGCTGTCCATTTACAGATAGTATAGTGAATTTTCTGTGGAAATAAGAGATACTATTTCAATGTTATTAAATACAAATACCGTGCACGCGTATTTCAAATTGCTATCAGTGAATTTCAAGTGAATTTTAAGAAAACGGTTCAAAACGCGTCATTCACAAGAAAATCGAGAGATGATCTTTTTTTTTTATAGATAAATACTTTTAATAAATAATACAAATATTAAACTAAAAAAAGGCCATTTCAATTTCTCATACATTCTCAAAGAATTAAAACAAAAATTGTTGCATATCGTAAAAGAAAACGTTTGTTGCCGTTTATTGGAACTATGCCACTTGTCTTTTAAACACGTAATTGTATTTAGATTTGATTTATGCCATTCAAAATAACAGATTACAATGAAACTCAAAAGAAAATCACACATAAAATTTATTATACTTATGATCGCGTATGGCACAAGGCATTCGATTTTTAAAAAGAATGTATCACCGGTGACAATGATTTAAAACTATTCGTTAATTGAGCAAATTCATTTCTTTGTCAATGAAAAAAAACCACAACACTGAATACTTAACTTACTTATGAGATTTAACTAAAAAAAATGCAACAACAACTTGATGATAATTACAGATACCAAAAAAGAAGTGAAAAAAATTTATAAAACACACTTAAACAAAAAGATATTCAACAAATAAATTTCAAGCCACAACAAACAAAAATTTAGCAAAATAACTTAAGATTTAAAAAAAAAAACTTGGACACGAAAAGTGAAGCCAGTTGATGAAAAAATTTGGGTTGATGTTCACATAACATCAACTTTTATGTATGTATATAAATTTTGTAAATAAAATTCGTAGAACAAAATAAAAATGATTAAACAAATCAAAATAAAAAAAAATAGTAGGAAGATGATGAAGAGGAGTTGAATATAACAACAAATGATCGACTCACTAATTATGATTAACTTTTATGATAAGGATGTAAAAACAAGAACAACAACAACAAAATAATAAAGAAAACATACACCGAACATTTTGATGAGCAATTCTCGTTTATTTCAATTATTATTTTTCTTCTGTCGTTATAGATATCATATGTATTGTGTGTATTATTCATTAGATTGAATGCACAGAAAATTTGGATATGATTATGTGTTAGTTTTTTTTTATTTTGTCTTTCATATGAATATGTGTTTTGTTTTGGAATGCTTTAATTTTTTACAATAGTTTGTCGACGATTTTTTCGCTCGGACCATTCGGCCGGATGCATTTTCTTTTGATGAACATACATATTCGATCTCCATATAAATTCTTCGGGGCAATACGAACATCGAAACATTTTTTCACCCGTATGTATGGCAGTGTGACTCTAAAATTTGAAGAAAAATAATTCACATTAGAATGAAGTGTGTGTCATGTTTGTTGAGTCACTTTAATTTCCTTTAAAGGTACGACAATTTCAAAAGCTGGTGACCTTTTTTTGCTCACTTTCATCCGAGCATTTATTTTTAAAATAATCTTTACCTTAAGTGATGTAATATCCTTGAATGATTTTTCGCATATGGTACATTTGTGAATGGGTTTGGCCAGATGATTCTTTTTGATGTGTTGACTTAGTGCATTTTCATTCGGTGACAATTTATAGCAATGCGGACATTTCTGTGGATCTGATGAATGCTTCAGCATATGCGTTTTAAGTATATACTGATTTGTCAGCGATGTATTACAAATTTCGCATTTGAATACTTGTTGCGGTTTATCATTTGATGTATGCATTCTTCGAATATGAGTTTTAAGATCGGATTTTGCTTTAAATCGTTTGGCACAAAATTCACAAATCTCCTGCCGATCATCATTCCATATTTTCAAGTGTATACGATCTTCGTGTGATTTTTTCAATTCTTCAGTTTTGAATCTAAGAAATAAATAAAAAGTTACAAGAACACTGTCACTGCAAAAAAAAAATATATATATAAATATACATACTTGCGATAACAGAACGAACATGGAATTTTTGGTTCGTCCTTCTTGTCATCGATGATTTTCTCCTCATGTTTTTTAGCATGCACTCTTACATCATGATTTGATGCAAACGATTTTTGGCACACGTTGCAACTGTAAAGTTTTGACTCTTTTGCTTTGTGCTTTGAAATGTGTGGTATGAGCGATTTTCTTGTGGTGAATAATTTATCACAGTAATTGCACCTGTATCGAACGATAAAAATTAACATTTATTTCAAATTACATATCAGATCAAGTGTAGTTTGAGTTTAATTACTTGAAATGATTTGGATTTATGTGCAATCGCATGTGGTCGTCCACTTCGGAGCTGGTTTTACAAACTATGTTGCAGCATTTAATGTATCCATCTGGATTTCCGTGCTCTTGCATATAATGCAATTTTGCATGTTGCAACGATGTAAATAGGACATTTGAGCATTCGCTATGATCACAACGCATATCGAAATATTCCTGTGGATCTGGCCGATTTTCGTGGGTGAATGTGGGTTTTGACCGTTTTACTGAATGAAAAACCAAAAATTGTAATTGAAACACACACACAAATATTAAATCCATGGTATACCTTTCACATGATTTCGATTCATATGGATTATCAAATAAGTTTCACGCACGAATGTTGCGTTGCACTCTTTACATCGATAGCTACCACGTTTCATATGCAATTCCAAATGTGAACGAATTCGGCGAATTGTTTTCTTTTCTTTGCCACACACTTTGCATCTAGGAGAAAATTGAATGAAAAAATACGAAATTCATTTAAAATTGTCTTTTAACATTCGTATGTAAGAAACATATTTTGAAATTGACTCTCCACGGGACGGTTGAAACTGTTTGCGGTACTGGACCTCTGACCAAAAGCTATGCATATTTGTAAAATTACAAAATAAAATCACTCACTTGCAAAGATTTTCATTTAGATGATATGGTACATGTTCAAGTATTTGATCCTGATGTTTAAGTCTTAAATCACAACATTTGATATAACCGTCAGCCACTTGATGCTCATTCATATAGTGGAATTGTGATTGAACCAGTGAAGTTGCAACAAAATCTTCGCCACATAAATCACAATTCATATCAAAATGTTCGGCAACAACACGTTGAATATCAGCCGTACTCAGTGATGAAATGATATCTTTTAAACCTTTAAGCTGCTCTTTGGCCACATTGGCGGCATCTTATATTTTATGAAAGAGCGAACGTTTTAATTTAGTATTTAATTATTTTTCAAACGGAATTTATCGATAGAACTCAGTCTTACCTGGACCACGACATATCGCCTCATGAACTTCCAAAGTTTTTGGAGTTGGAAACCTAAGAAAAATCAGTTTTTTTTTTTCATTTTTTGTTTTTTGAGGATTAAAACAGAAAAAAAATGCTCTTACCGTGTTAAACATGCTGGACATTTGGATTCGTTAATATTTCTTCCCCTGATATGATATCTATACATATGAAGCTTCAATGATTCTTTATAATTAAACGATCGATCGCAAATATCGCATACGAATCGTTGCGGTCCATTATGCCAACTATTGTGCTTATAAAATGATCGTCTTGTGCCCAATTGTACACCGCACGTTTTACATCTGTATAAAGAGAGAGAGAGAGTAAATGCATCTAGATAATATGTTTTTATCTCTGTATGGTTGACTTTACTTGAAGATATCTGGATTTTGATGCCATTTGATATGGTCGTCGACGGTACATTCTTTGAAGAATTTTTTTCCACAACATTTGATATATCCTTCTTGATTATGTTCATGATTGTAATGTAAAAGTGATTGTTCGAATGTGATTTGGTCAATGCCGCACACATCACAGATGTAATCAAAATGTGCCTTATCGCTTGATTCCTCATTTTTTATATCTAATTTGTTATTCAATTCACCATTTTCAATGTCATTTTCATCGGCCGTATCCTCTTCGTTTTCTGTGGGCAAAACGGAACAATTTCGTAAAACATTATTTTTGTTGAAGAAATCGAAAAATTGAACCCAAAATCATCATACCTAACATAGGGCCAATTTTTACTTCGGTCAAAAATTCGCTTGCACTTTGAACGGGTGGATGTGATTCAATTTCTTGAAATACATTTTCAAATTCAGCATCAATTCTCTCGTTATCAAATTCGGTGCCACTTTGTGGCATTTCAATGAAATTCGGTAATTTAACATCATTCGTGGGATTGTTTTGGTTATCATCATGTTCAATTCCATTGATATCGTATTTTGATTCGAATTGCATTAAATAATTTGCCTGAGCAATTTGTACAGCCTGATGAAATGAATGGAATTTACTTGTTTTGTTCCAACATACGCAGCACAAATATTTCGGTAGCCCATCATTTTCCTTTACCTAAATGTTTTGTGTGGGGTTTTGGTTTTGACCATTTTTTACTCTCATTCAATCAGTATTTGTAGTATTTGAAATGCCATTACCTGTGCAATATGCTCGCCCAGCACCGATGTAACAAATGAACTATATTCAGTTCCCTCGAATAAATCAATATAATTCTGACCGTTTGCAAAACACAATCGGCACTGAAGCCACTCGTCCGAATCCATTTGAATTCCACACACAACAACAAAAAAATTGATTCTATTTACATATACATATATAATTTGTTTAACTAAATTGTTTTCTTCATTTGTACTTTATTTAATTAGAAACTTATGAGCTTTTAGTTCATATTGTTTATGTTGTGACTTTTTGTCATATCTGTCAAAGGGTGCACAATTTTAATAGGTTAGGAGGCGCTTGCGCTTTAATGCATTGCAACACATCCAACATGTATACCGGCATCATATTAGAGGTAATTTCATCTTTTTTTTCATATTCATTTCAAGCAGCTGTGGCCAGTACCAAATATTAAAGAAAACAAATTTTAAACATTGGTAATTTCATTGTTGTGTACAGACTTTAACCAAAACTACGGATTGCTGCAACGCACTTGTATGATAAGTTATACAAACGCGTTAGAGTAAGTTCTTGTGTGGTTTGACATATAGAAATGCCATCTGACGGCAAAATTTACCAAGCGAAATTATGTTTCTTTTCAAAGATTTTCAATTTTTCTTATTCAAAAAGAACTTATTTCGTAGATGTAATTGTATTCGGCGTCTCATTGTATCTGTAACTGAAAAAAAAAAAATGTAAATAAGATGTGATGTATTCCAAATGTCGTTCCTGACATTTTATTTATTTATTTAGTGACTTCGTCCTTCAGGACTGTAACATATTATTGTAGCTTAAAAATAGTTTTCTTTTATATCTATATCAAATGAGAAACCTCTCGAGAGCGAGTGAAATACAATTAAAATACGGACTTTCAGGTTATTTTTTGGCTCCAAATGTCATAAATTATGGTTCATAATGGGAACGGCTAATTTTCAGTGGTTCCTAGGGGTTGGATGTGCCGCCCTAAAATATTTTTAGGAACCCTCAACAATTTTGGAAATGAGGACCTTTTTTTGCTCTTCACTTTTTGGACGGAGAAAATTCTTCCGATTTGCTAGGGATTTTCGCCTCAAAAAGTGACTTCCAAAAAAAAAAACGATTTTCTTGTCATTTTTGGATTTGCAAGGCAATTTGAAGTAGGAAAATTCTTTCGATTTGCTAGGGATTTTCGCCAAAAAAATGAAGAGCAAAACGATTTTATCCTCATTTCGTACAAATTGTTGACATCGTCTGAGACCCCCAATGGATTTTTCCAGGGACCCCCTACGAAATTTTGCCATCACCCCCCCTTTAATTTTTTTTTAGCCATTTTTGCACTATCGAAGGCCATATCTTGAAAAGAAGAACTTTCTGGGATATGAGCTATGCGGCATTATAAATTTTCAATACACCCAGTAAGGCTAGTTTTCGAGGTAATAGACGGTATGTGTCCGGCCGAACGGTACATTTTTGGTTTTTGGCCAATTTGGCCACTCCAATTTAAAATTTTTTGACCGCAAATGGCACCATTCGATAGCTCACTTCAAGACCTTTACAACGAGGTGCATATGTCCGGGGTGTGCCTCGGTGTCTGTGGGGACAAAAGTCAAAAAGTGACTTTTGGAGGCCGGCCAGGGCCAACATGGCAGCCATATCGAAAATTGCCGAAACAAAAAAGTCTTAGTTTTTCAAGTACTTTAATCACAGAAAGTTTCAAAAAGATCAGAAACAACTACGCAAAATCGCGGACAGACAGACATTTTAATTTTTCATAGAAATTCATATGAAATTTTTAAATTAATAAATTTTTCGAACGGATTGATCGATTTCGACCGCTGGAAAGGTCTAGGCTCGGCGGTGAGCATAGGCCATTATGGTCAAAAAACCGTATTTTTACCATTATTTTGCACTTATTATTGTCAAAAGGCGAGTATGGACCGTGGTAAACCGTGGTAACCATGATGGCCGACTATGGTGGACCGTGATTAATGGTTTAAAATGAAAATTTTTGACGAATTAAGGGATTTTAACATCATTTAGACGTACATCACGGTCCATCGTGGTCTAACACCATTTAACACGGTTACTGATATCGGAATCGCTGAAAATCGTTCGATTTTGGTGCTGTTGAATTGGACTCGAATATTGAAAACTAAAGTCGAAATAAACGATCATGAAGTTCTTAAACGATCCTGTTATAAGTTTCATGTCATTGCGGTATCATACAGGTACATTTCTGGTGATTTTATCTTTCCGTACAATACACACTTCACATATTTTGAATTACTTATACGTCAATAGTCTATTAATTGGTCAAAAAACTTTACTGCTCTCAGAAATTTTAATTCAGTACTTATTGAATTAATACTGCACTACCAGTGCATGTTCAATATCTTCTAGGGAATAAAAATTCATTCGGTAAAGAAAGAAATTTGGAAACAGCGCGGAAAAGTTAGACCTACGGATGTAACTTCCATTTTAATATTAAAGGGTAAGTCCAATATGTAAAAAATATAGAAGTATCGGAAGAAACAACCCAAGCCCCCAAATTGCACTGTTCGCCCGGGGCATTTGCACCGTGCGTCAGATACGAAAACACGAAACAGAATACGGAGCTAGAGACTAAGAAAGTAGTGAATTTGCACATACGCTTCGTGCCTTGCGTCTTATTCTTTATTCCACTTTTTCATCTTTTTGTTAGGTAGCGTAGCAGCCTTTGCCATGCAAACAGCTGAAAAGGGGGAATAAGATGCAAGGAATGAAGCGCATACGCACATACACTACTTTCTTTGTGTCTCGCTCCGTATTCTGTTTCGTGTGTTCGTAACTGACGCACGGTGCGAATGCCCCGGGTGAACAAGGCAAATTTAGTGCTGGGGTAGTATGCCGAGGCGGGCAGAGTGAGCCGAAGGCATGCTAGTATTATATATAATTATTTTATTTATATTGGATTCAGACTTTATGGAGACCAAAGATATAATACGGCCGTAATGGCAAAATTGAGTTTTGAGTATTTTCGGTGTATGGGAAATCATAGTGATCCAGGAACCACACGTTTCATAGGAATGTTCGTTGACATGGAGCATAAAATGTAATTACTTTTGTCATGCTTCATTAAAATGAATGAAATATATATTGTCTTTGTTTGTTTTTTCTTCTCTTGTGTTGGTGATATTCACACTGCAGCACGCAACCGTCGGCAGACATAAGAAATTATTTGAAGTTAATTTATCGGCAGTAAAACTGAGAATTTAAAAATATTTAAAAAAACAGATGAAAAATAGAATTAATCATGGTAGTGAAACGTCACGTTTGACAGCTACGTAGGCTGCTCCATATATTTCTAGAAAAGCATATACAACGCAATCGTTTTTTATCAAAAATGGCTTTATTGTTTTTCAAAGAATTCGCCATGATGGTCGATACACTTTTGCATACGCTCGAACCACTTGCCATAGCATTCATGCCACTCCGAAACCGATATCTCCAAAACGTGTGTTTTGAACGCATCAACTGCTTCTTCTGGCGTCGAAAATCGTTGACCACGCAGTTTTTTCTTTACGCTCGGAAACAAAAAGAAATCGTTGGGTGCTAAATCAGGACTGTACGGTGGATGACCCATTAATTCGATCTTTTGAGCGGATTCAGTTGTGTGATGAGATGTGTGAGAGCTCGCATTATCATGATGAAGACTTATTCTGCGACGGTGGTTATTTTTTCTTAATTCACCAAACACTTCTGGCAAACAAATGGTGGTGTACCAGTCAGAATTGACTGTTCTACGATCCTCTAGTGGAACTTTTGCCACATGTCCACTAATTGCGAAAAAACAGGCGACCATTTGCTTCGCAACACTTCGAGCTCGAACAACTTTTGTTGGGTTATCTTCACTTTGAAAGACCCATACTGTCGACTGCTGTTTAGTTTCGGGCTCATACGCATATATCCACGATTCGTCGCCTGTGACGATGTTATAGACGGAATATGATGCACCGCGGTTATATTTGTTGAGCATTTCTTTGCACCAATTCACACGAGCTAATTTTTGGTCATCGGTCAATTTATGTGGAATCCAACGAGAGCAAATCTTTTTTACGGCCAAATGGTTATGCAAAATCGTGTGTATTCTTCTCATACTAATGCCCAAGGATGCCTCAATCTCACGGTATGTGACATGACGATTCTGCTTTATCATGTTTCTGACAGCATCGATAGTTTCTGGAACAACAACCGATTTTGGACGACCTTCACGGAATTCGTCGATGAGCGAATGACGACCACGATTGAATTCAGTAAACCAGTGATATACAGTGGCCTTGCATGGAGCTTCATCGCCAAAGACCAAATGAAGTTGATCAAAACACTGTTGTTGAGATACACCCAATCCAAAGTCGTAGTAAATTATCGCACGAAAATTTTCACGAGTAAAATTCATTTTTTTGTTGAGACGCAATTTAGATGTCACTGTGAACAATACAAATAGCGCGCGTATGACAGAACGTTCTGAGATCGTTTATGCTACCAAATGTTAAACTTAACGAATATGACAATGGTTTGTATCGGACAACACTAAATATTGCCAATTCTAGAAATATATGGAGCAGCCCTCGTACTACGCGTACCAGTAGTGTCATCCAGCTGCTGGAGCTCAGCAGCTGTTTTTTCGTAAAGCAACATTCAATCATGATTTTTATTTCTGAAAAACTTAAAAAATCTTCTTTTTAATTATTTTTTTTCTAATGGATAAATTAATTAATTCACGATTTGATTCAAAATTGGTTATGTTCTATAGTTTAAAAAATTAACATTTTTCCATTCGCTGCGAACTGTCCATTTGAATGGACATTTTTGTCCTTATGGTAGCGACTTGAGCAGCTCGATGTGCACATAAATTCAAAATAGACATTTTTTATTTTATAAATTGGTTTTATGTTTCATTTTTTTAATCGCTACTTTTATCCGTGTTAAATGAATAAATTCTTGAAATATCTACACTGAAACAAAAAAAATCTTGATTCAGCTGCTGGAGTCGGACTATACATTTCAATCACATTCAAGAGAATAATTGCTAAAATCAACATTCGGTAACTTTTATTAAACTAAAGAAAATTATATTATTATTATTATGCATGTAAAGTTATTTAAAATTATTTTAGCAACAAAAATTAATAAGAATCCATAAACTATTGTCGTTGTTTGTCATAAACATAGATGCGTACTGAAATAGTTCGGTACGTTCATTTGACATATTACAGGTGGCGCGTCGAACCGAAAAACTACGTATTTCACTACTATGGAATTAATGCTCGATGAAAAACAACTAAATTATATTGTATTTATTTAAATTATTTTAAATAAACCACCAAGGCGAAGGAACGCTTTTCAGTGCAGTTGTTAAGAAAATCGTTTTTCCCTTAGTATGGATTCCATACTTTATGCACATGCTCTTTTTTCATTTCTTTTTCATTCTTTTCCCTCTTTCTTCCCTCACTCTTTTATTGTCTCTTTCACTCTTATTCACTTTCAATCTCCTTTTAAAAAATCGGATTTTCCGAGCGCCATCTCTGAGTCCCAATACAAACCAAAGGGAAACTCTGACGAGGTGAAGAGCGAGTGAAATACAATTAAAATAAAATGTCTTACATCCGTAAGATGAACTTTTCCGCACTTTGATCCACAACATGTATTTATTACATATCTTTTACTTAAATTTAAATTCACGAGAAAACTGAATTTGAGATCAGTTTTGCGATACAAATTATTTTCTACGCAATTTTCACACAAAAATTACTAAAAATGTGAAAGGCCAACATTCTGAAAGTAGGAATCATTTTTCGGAGAAATGTAACCCATCTTTTACTGATTCAATGAGCATTGTAACAATGCCCCATCACAAACATTTCGAAAACGCAATTGATTTAGACGACCCACAAAGTGATTGATTTCGCTGTTTACAGCTCATCAGTGCAGCTTTGTAGGACGTTACCATCTGCAGACCAAATCACTTTTAAGTGTGACTTATCAGATGGTATCGAGGTCTGCCGGATTTTACCGGGCGAGAATAAACTCCAAACAATTGAGAAAATGATTGTTTGTGCCCAAAACATGTCACTTCATGTGATATCAAGTGTTTCGAGAGAGAAATAAGGACTGAAAATCCAAATTAGATTAAAATAAAAACTTTAAAAAAGTTTTGATTATTTATCAGAGACAGTTTAAACTTATAAATAAGTAGGAATCATTTTTCGGAGAAATGTAACCCATCTTTTACTGACTCAATGAGCATTGTTTTGTTAACACGATAACTTTCAAACAAGAAAAGTAATTCAAAATCTGACTTCATAGAATGATTGAGGGTGAAGAGGAAAAGAAACCATTAGGTATTGAGCGACTTTGGTTGATAGAGTGACGTGTCATGTCTGGTGTGATGCCCATGGGCATCCATGGGAAAAATTCAACGTTTCTTTCAAAAGCGTTTTTAATGTATTCTTAAACACTCAAAAATATGTAATGGGGGGTTTTTGGGTACGAGAAAACCGAATATGACGTTAGTTTTGCGATACAAATATATTTCGACACGATTTCCATACAATAATTTCAAAAAAATTGGATTTTTGTATGGAAGCCATGCCTGTATGATATCGTAATGAGCTGAAACTTTGCACAGGTTATTTTTTTCACACAAAAATAAAATTCCGAGGGTTTGAAAAGATTTTCAGGTGTCAATGAACTGAATTTTGACCTTTTTCTTGAAAGGACCATATTTTGAAGACAGCTGGGCCGATTTTCGAACTTTGATATATTTTCTGGATCTATGGCCCAAGGGCTTTCCAACCATACACCAATCGCGACTAAATGCCTTCCAGGTTAGAATTTGGAAATTGCGTGTATATAGCAAGTCGACTTTTCAACACACTAATGTGGTTTCGTCACTCGCGCGTACTGCCGTCCGCTGTGATACATTATATCACGTTTTCAGTTTTCAAAAAGATTGTCGGGTATTTTCTTGTTTTTTGAGATAAAGTAATTTCGTGATGAGCAAATTTTAAATATTATTTTCATTATTTATTCATTATCCTCGCACAAAGGCCAAAATTTGGTGGTAATCGGTCGACGCGTTTCGATTTTATGAAATTTTTTCTAAGTTTTCGGTCTAATAGACCGTTACTACACCTAGGAGGGTTAACTTCGGTATCATGATACTTGATACTTATTGTGATACGCCGTATCATAATCGATCTTGATACTAGCTACTCATGTTGATACTCGTATCATGATTGGTTTTAATATTTAATAGCATCTTAATAGAATATCATTATGATACAAAATGTATTAAGATTCGAGTTTGGCACATCTATATGAAGTTCCCTTGCCCAACTTTGTGATTTGTGTCCTGCCTTTTAAGAACGACCATTGCCATTTAAGCATCGAAACCAGTTTTGTTATCAATTTTGAATGTTGCATTTTATCGAAAGCTTTGGAGAAATCAGCGTAAAATACATCCAATTGTTTGTTGTCTTCAAACGCCTTGTAACCATGTTTACAAACTCGTGTTGGTGAACTGTTATTTTGTTGTCGAGAGTTTTCTTTAATCTGTTCGTCATGAGTTTATCGAGTATCTTTGCCAAACAGGGTGGAATTGAATTTTCAATCGATGGAATTTAAAATAACATTCGCAAAAAAAGATTAGGATCATTTTTTCTTTATTCAATTGAATCTTTGAAATTTATAAGATATTCCGTAAAATCCCAGTTTTCAAGAGAAATTCTTCGACTTACCAATGGAACATGCATTAAAGCGGCAAAATCAAAATTATAAACCACATGTCGCGCTTGTGATAATTTTGTCTTCATTTAAAATAAAAGAAAATAAAAAAAAGTAATAATACGGTCGATATTTTCTGATTCACAATGCTTGTATGGAGAATATATCGAAAAATTGACATATTTTGGATTATCAATTTCTGTTGATTCGTCTTCGTACTTCACTCTTGGTCTTTTTCCATTCTTCTGGATGTGCCTTTTTCTGATGACTATACATATTTGGCCGCCATATGAAAGCCTCGGGACAAAATGAACATTTATACGTCTTTTCACCGGTATGCGTTGAAATGTGATCCTAGAAAAAATTAAAAAACGAAAAGAATTTTACTAAAACGAAAAAATAAAATCTTCTTTTGATAATACCTTCAGAGCAACAGCTGCTTTAAATGTTTTCTCGCACAAATGGCATCGGTATATTCTTTCACAGTGGACTTCTCTCACGTGGCATACTGTAAAATTATAAAAAATGAATAAAATTTCAAGATGTTTGAAGAGAAATCTTTCCACTTACGTAATGCATGTTGGTTGGGTGAAATTTTATCACATTGTGAGCATTTCTGTGGTTCAGAATTGTGCCGCATCATGTGATCTTTGAGTGTGTATCGATTGCTGAGCCATGCGCTACAAATCTGGCATTGTGCACGTTCGCGTCGTATTGAATTTTCCATATGCATACTTCGTATGTGAGACAAAACTTCCTTGCGTGTCGTGAATGTCTTCGCACAGTATTCGCAAATCTCCGTTTTCGCTTCTTTGTTTGACTCATGAATGCGAAACACGTGAGATTTTTTTAGCGTTTCAGTCGAGAATCTGAATAGAAATGAATTGAATTTTAATCAATTTTATGTATTTATCAATTGAAACACTTACTTTCTATTGCAATAATCACATGGGAAATTTCGTGCAGTTTTTTCTTCGTGAGATCTCTTATGAACATCTAATCGGTATTTTGATTTCCATGCTTTGCCACATTCGTTGCATGTAAAACGTTTTGTATCGAACGCTTTATGTTGCGATAGATGCGCACTTAAATCGGCCTTTCGTGGAAACACCTTCATACAAATTTCGCATTTGAAAATGCTTGGATTCATATGGTATTGTAAATGATCGTTAATATTTTTAAGTTCTCTGAATTTCATGTCACAGCATTTTATGTAGCCATCGGGAATGTCATGCTCTTCTAAATAATGGAGTTTGGCATGTTGCAATGAGGACACTTCAATTTTACATAATTCACATTTCATATCGAAGTACAATTTTATGCTATTTGAATCTGGATTAACGGTATTTGTCGATAGTTTCTTTTTTTCGATGCCATGTGACAATTTCATGTGTCTAGTCAAATGATGTTTGCTGAAAAATGTTTTATTACATTCTTTGCAAACATTTTGTTGAGGTGTTGATCGTGCCTCGTGCACACGTAAATGTGCTCGCAATGCAATTATCGTTGTGCTATCCTTCTTACAAATACAACATTTGAAGAGGTCCGGTCTTAAATGCCACAACACATGACCCTGGATGTTCATGGCTCTCTTGAACTTTAGTCCACAACATTGAATGTATCCCTCGGCGATGTGATGCTCCTCCATATAATGGTATTGTGCTTCTTGCAGTGATTTAAATATTACATCACAATAATCACATTTCATATCGAACTGGTTCGCAATCACTCTATCGATTTCAGCTGCGTCTAGTGTCATCTTTTTGGCCTCAAGCATTGTATTCCATTGGCGACGCACCTCGTCGTGCTTATGATAAAACTTCAAATGTGATTCGAGCTTTTCCTTGGACGTACATCTTTAATCAAATAGAAAAAAATCAATCTAAATGAAATTTTGTTGGTATTTTCGTTTTTCTTTCTAGCATACTTACAATTTCGAGCATATGTGACACGTCAAGTTGTTTGAATGGCGCATCATGTGCTCACGAATTTTATTGATTTCTGGAAATATTTTGTCGCATATGTCACACGTATAACTTTTTGCATGTCTATGTTTGGCTATGTGCGTCTGGAAAATTCGAAACAATCTTAATAATTCAATATTTATTCAGCACAGAGAAAAGATCAACTCACCGACAATGACAACTTTGTTTTCATTATTCGATCACAATATTTACACCTTGAAATAAAAATCGAATAAGAATAATGTTAGATGATGTCAGTTGACACACAGAGATAATAATTCGAATTACTTGAACATTTCGGGATATTCGTGCCATTTAATATGGTCGGCGACCAATTTATCACGTTTCAACTTGAGTCCGCAACATTTTATGTAACCGTCATCAATTTGGTGTTCATTTTTATAATGTGTGATTGCACGCCTCAGCGATTTCAGTTCGATGGAACAGATGTCACATGTCGTGTCAAAGTTTTCATCGAAAATTTCCTTACTTCTCATCGAATCAATGTCATATGATGTAGAACTGATGGAATCACATTCTAATTCTGTTTCAATTTGATGAATAATCAATGATTATTTTATATTGGTTCCAGGTTATTAAAACTTTACCCGTTAATTGTCGAAGAGCAGTTTCTTCGGCCGTTGTTGCGCCAGCATTAAAAAGAACATCCGGAAATTCCGATTCCGTAGTTTCGGATTTGGTTGGTTTTTCATCGGTGTCATCGAGCGCATCGGATTTTGTTGAAAGTTCATCGACAAATTCATTTAGTTCATCGTAATTCGAAATAACCTCAACGAAATTCGTTTGCTCAGAAATGTCACGGCAATTACTTTCGATGTCATTCTCTTCCTCGTATTTAACGATTTGCTTCAAATAATCTTCCTGTGCATTACGTACAAACCGGTGAAATCGATGAAACTCTTCGATTTTATCCCAACAATTGCAACAAATCCATTTTGGTAATGCATCTGTTTTGCATACCTGTCAACAAATTCACACGCAATGAAAATCAATCATTCGGATTTTAAAAGAAGGATCAATTTACCTCGCCAATGTGTTCATTTAGAATTTCGATTAAGCTCGTATCGGAATCATCGAAAATGTCCAACAATTGAGTTGATGATGAAATACACAAGCGACATATTTTTGTTTCTGCCATTAAATCGGTTTAATTTTGTTCATCAAAATAAAAAAAAAATCGTGGTGTACAACATAGTAAATACTGCACGTTATTGTTGTCATTGTTTAATCTGTCAAATAATTAAATTTAACGCGACGGTGCTATGCGATTGCATGTCGCATATACCCAGTTATAAGGACACGTTTCTTAGCATATTTGAATCGTTGGCTTTATACAGTTGTAAGACTTTTTTTACACACCTATGCTATTCCAAAAATAAATGTTGTATGCGAATGCAACAAAATGTTCATCCAAATTTGCAATCATCAAAAAGCAAATTAAAGAAAAAGAAAAGAGATTTTTTTCATTTTTATAAAATTTTATTCGCAATAAATATTCGTATTGAATTCGAAGAATGGGGAACTATTTTCACATGAGAATTGGTAAATGTGATGATTTTGTCTAAGCAAGACTAATGGTGGCGATTTTTCTTGCGTCTATGCAACCAGTACGTTTAACGTTGCTCAAATTGTATGGGTCAAAATCGATTAGGTCTTCATTTTCGTACAACTAAACAAATAAAAGAAAAGATCATTAGGAATGCGTAAGCACACGTGGATTTGGCATACCAAGAAAAGTATTATTACCTTATTCAAGAATTCTTCACCAAAATCTCGTGTGCGTGACCAAACAGTTGTATGTTGTGCAAATTGTACATCACCATCATTATTGATTTCTTTATTACAGTTCGAAATTATGGCATATGACTCATAATCCGTATTAAAGATGGTGAAATTTGATTCGAGAATTTGAGCGCCTGGAAAAGATGGAGTTTTATTTATATTTGCTTATTATTATTTTTACTCAGATCTTTAAAATTCTACCGGACAAAAATGGCGGAACGAAACGAAACTGAGCCGAATCCTCTTCATCCAATTGTTTTAGGTAATGTTTTGAGACTGTTTCGTATTTGAGCGGTCTTTCTTCTTCATAATTTGTGTACAATTCAAATACAGTCCTAACGATATACTGATTCGATTTTTTACTCTCTGTTACATTGTAGAATTCGCATGATGGTATTTCTTGTTCATTTTCATCTTGTTCACTTTCATCAACATCGGGTTGAACCTGGTACCAAACACCTAAAAACTATACAAAAACATAAGTTTTCGGTTAATCATTCTACGAAGAGATAACGCATTTCACTAATGTCAGTGCTGAGTTCAAAGCACTAAAAAAAAGATAGAAATTTGAATGAACAACCGAATAATATAATGTCATTGATTAGACAGTAGACAATTTAATGTGAACTTAATTCGGTCATTCTTCAAAGAAAAAAACATTAAATTACTTACTCTTTCCATGTCCAATTCTCCATCCATCGGTGAAACAAGTGCTGGGCATTCGTTCTCGAATATACGATCCGAATTTGCACCATGAATTATAAAAACTGCCAAAAAAATAAATTTGTACATTTTTCGTCGTATTTTCAATCGAATAAAAGGAGAAAATTTAATTTAAATTTGCACCGAACGATTTATTCAAAATTAATTTTTGATGTGAATTGTACGGAGTTCAATGCTCAAATGAACAATTATTCGAAAATGTCGATTGTTTAAAAACAAGTGCATTTTATTCAAAAAGGTTTCAGTTTTTGAATTACGTTATTTACCACCTTCCTTAATTACGACATATTCGGCCATAATGACATCTCATTAGTTCAATTAAAAAAAAGAAAGTGCCTATTTTAAAATAGATTTCGTCATCGGCACCGACTTTTCAATGTCTCACTAAAAATGATTCATACTTTCTTTGTAAAAATTCATTTGAAATCTACTCTTGTCATCTGATTGCACAATGAAATAAATACCATAAAAACTGAAGATTAAGATAAAAACTAGTTTATTGGTGTGTTCATTTTGTTCATTGATGGTTTTTTTTTTTATTATTTTTGTTTTGTCTGTTTCCATTCTTCTGGATGTGCCTTTTTCTGATGACTATACATATTTGGACGCCTGCAAAATTTGATACATGAAATTATATGTACATTTTTATTATTTTCATAATGTGATCCTACCAGATGAAAGCCTCTGGACAAAATGAGCATTTATATGTCTTTTCTCCGGTATGAGTGGCAATGTGATCCTGAATAATTGCAAATTATCATTTTAGATATTAAATTTTTGCCGTGAAAAATTTGAAAATACCTTCAAAGCAACAGCCGCTTTAAATGTTTTTGGACACAAGTGACATTGGTGTTTTTGGGCAACATGAACACTTCGCATATGACACGCCTTCGCATTGGAAATAAGAAAGAAAAAAACATAAATCATTGAATATTTTAAGAACTAAAAATAAAATAGTATTCTTTAGTACCAATGCTGCTTCGTTTGGTGCAATTTTATCGCACATTGAACATTTCACGGGTGTGCCATTGTGAATTGTGTCGACATGCTTTTTCAGACGGTATTTGTTAATAAATATTTTTGGGCACATCCAACATTTAAACTCTTCAGGTGGTTCCTAAATAATTGCATACAAAATTGAAAAAAATAAAAATCACATCTAACTTGATTGCATACTTTTTCAATAGTTGACTATTTAAAATTATCGTACCTTTGAATCTTTTGCATCTGAATTTGTATTATGCGCAACTTGAATGTGATTCTTCAATGTTGAACGAGCTATGAATTTTTTTCCACAAAATTCACACACAACGCCCGACATACCATTATCAACGTGATGAAATTGAATATGATCATCTAACGCCTTTTGCGTTGTGTACCTTTTTAGAGAAAATTCATTCAATAAATTTACAAAACGTCCAGTTCTTTTGAATGATATGCCAAAATAACAAACCGTTTGCTGCAGTGTGAACAGGAAAGTGATTTTTTCAATCGTTTTTTATGTTTCTGTGAATGCCTTTTTAGCGCATGATTCGAATGAAATGCTTTGTCACATTCGCAGCATAAAAATCGTTTTTCATCTACAATTTTATGGTGTGACTTATGGTTTATAAATTTTTGACGATCACTGAATTGCTTGTCACATTGTTCACATCTAAAGAAAGTGGAGAACATTTTTGTATAAAACTTTCTTGAATTCAATTACTTCTCTCCCAAAGATATTTCTACGGGTACTTCTGTCTTCTTGAAAGAACTCAACAGTACAATATAACACTGCCATTTATTGCTACGAATAACTTACGTAAAAACCATGCCACGTGTATGCCATTGAAAATGATCGTCGATTGTTTTCGCTTTCATAAATTTCCTGTTACAGCATATAAGATATCCTGTGATTCCATGGAACATTGAGTAATGTAGCCTTGCATCTTGGTATGATATAAACTTTGCATCGTCACACAAATCGCATCTCATCGTAAAAAAATCAGCCAGCGTGTGATTGGATGCATTTGAATTGCCCTCTGAAAATCAAAAGATATTTCAATCAAAATTTATTCATTTAAAAAAAAGTATTGCCCATTCTTACCCATTCCATGAAAATACGTTGAATGCACGTTCAACAGATTCTTCGACGTAAATATTGCATAACAAGTTTGACACTTATGTATATCAGCCGCGCTCATATTGCCTAAATGTCGTGAGATATGTTTTCGCATCGATCTTGCTTTATCTATAACTTTATTACAAAATCCACATCTAAAAACCTCTGGATACAAGTGGAATAAGGCGTGCTCATTGATCGCTATAGAGCTACTAAATTTGAAATTACAACAGATTATATAGCCATCGGTTTGATGTTCTTCCTGGTAATGCGCATTTGATGCGTCCAATGACAACGGTATTGATTTTGTACATAAATCACAAGATGAATTATAATGCTTCAATAGGACTGGATTTATTTCATCGGAATAAATTGACTTCTTTGAGATTGCTTTTAGTGTTTCCAATTGCTTAAGCAAATCCGCCATTACGTCTATTTTAAAATTGATAAAGCACGATTATTCGTATTCATACATTATCAAAAAAGTGTTGATTTCTTTACCTGCATTAAATCCATGTTCCTTGCGTTTATGTATATTTAACGCATATTTGCTTTCACATCTGAAAAAATGTCATGATTTATCAATTATTATTTAAAAAGAAATTGATTTGAATTGTAGTTGGCCATACCTTAAATTACAAATTTGGCATTTATTTCGCACGTGTCTTAGTAAATGTTCGAGAAGTTTCTGTTTTGTGCATATGACCATTGTGCAAATGTCACAAATGAGCTCCTTTTTATAAGTATGATATCTAGTCTTGGGTCGTTCATACACTATATCCATTGGTTCATCGTCTGAGTTGTCCGTGTTTTCTCTTGGTTCTGATGATTTGACATCGTTAATATCATCTTCGATTGCTTCGGTGTTTTCGACTTCAACGTTTCCAATTGGTGTGGAATCTTCCTCGATGAATACAGGCACCGATTCATTTTTACTTATGTCATATTCTATTTTGACTTTCGTTTTATTTTCTCCTTCATCGATCAAAATTAAATTTCCAAGTGTGTCTGACGTCGATGGAGCAACGGCTTCGAAATGAATTGGCTCTAAGATGTCGTGATTGTATGGTTCAACAATATGATTTTCGGGCTCTTCAACCTTAACAATATTACTCAAATATTTAGCCTGTGTATGTTGAACCTTTGAAATGAATTGATGGAATCGATCAACTATCGTCCAGCAGTCCAGACACACGTGCTTTGGCAATGGATCCGTCTCATCAATCTGTTCTCCAATTGAAATACTCGTATATTAATCAAATAATAAGACTTAATATCAACAGATCACCAGTTGAATAAACTTACCTCACCGAAATATTTGACAAGAATTTCAATCACATTATCCGGAGTCACATTTGCACAGGTATCGATGGTTTGTTTTTGATTCGTCAAACACAATCGACATAAATTCGTTTGGTTATTCTTGATATGATTCCACATCTTGTAAAGAACAAATTCTCAGATTTTCATTGTATACACTTTATTGTTATTCGAATATTTCATGAACACAAAAAAACACAAATTAAATGTCAAAATGCTGAAAAATGCGATAGTATGCGTTGGGCTGCGTTGCATTCAAACAAGGTGAAGTTGGATTTGTATTAACTGTAAGCGGGGCAATTAAATCTTCATTTAGTTTAAAACAGAATGATATTTTGGAGAAAATTTTGTCTTTTTTTCGCGAAAATCGGTTTTACATTGAATTGGTCAATTGACGACAGTGGACATCGTCTATTTATAATTCAATTATTGATAATTAAATTAACTCTTATGATATGGTCTTTTTGGCCATTGCCACACATTTACGCGGACTACATAAGTATATACTTAAGTACAATCGGCAGAGGGCGGAAAAATGAATGGCTTAAAATATCCAATGTTTAAATTAAATTGCGAAACAGCGACAGAATGTTCAAAAATCACATTTGAATGTTTCCATTCAAATAAACGAAACCGACTCACAACGAAACCAGCTGCCAAAATAACGGACTTAACTCACAATTTGAAATTGTTGAGCCTCGGCAAACATCAACAGATGATGATTTCGGAAGCAAATGCGAAGATCTGTCAAGTAATACATCTGATTACATTTTAGAGAAATACAAACTTTTACAATAAAAGAGAGTCTAATCTTAAAGAAGGTGAAATTTTTAACCTCAATTCAAATAAAAAAAAGGAAAAATTAACAAATAAAGTTTTAAAAATTTGGATGTTTGGTATAGTATTTTGACACGGCTATTTGATCATTTAAACCATTAGTTAAGTTTTATTGTTTCTTTATAATACATTGTGTTTTTTTAAGTTCCTTTTTGAGTTTTTTATTTATGTTCATTAACCCTCCTAGGTATAGAGTGAAAAAAAAACTTGAACGGATAGAGTCACCCATACAAAATGTATGAAAAGTCTATGAAATGAACAAAATTATATTTCTTTTTTTGTTGAAATTTTCATTATAATTTTTTTCAAATGGGAAAAAAAGTTGAAAATAAATAATTTATGACAAAATTAATTGGAATCTGATGATGCAGTTCATACGGACGCTTTTTGGTGCAGTTCGTACACATCGCAATTTTTTCGGAATGTTCACCACAAACATTTTTCATACATTTGCTGCACTGTGTTCGCGTCTTTCTATTGATTTTAGTGGGACATAAATGACATACACTTTTTTTATCTTGTTTGGTTTGCTTTGTTGAAGTTGACGGTGCTGTTGAACTGTGCTGAGTACAGCTCGATGCGCTTTATTAAATCCATTAGTAGATCTGCGTGCTATTTGATCATACACCAATGCTTCTGATAATTCGATCAAAAATTTCTTGCGTTGAAATGAATATCGATCTCGTGTAATTCCATGTTTTGCATTATAAACAATGAACGCAGCGAGTCCACAATGTGGAGTCCATATACATTGATCAAGTTCATGAAGAAAGGCCAACGATTTCTGCCTCGTTGACATGAATAGCTATGACACAGTTTATCTGAATGATCAACGCCACCTTTTGTGCTGTTATAAAATGTATTGATTTCATCTTCAGAACCCACACTTTTGATCGACAGCGAACGAATCATGTTTGTGTTTCTTAGCTTATATACACATATACACAAATTCTTTCTTTTTTATTCTTTGCTACATTGCTGAATCTACTCTATATGCACCGTTTTATAACGCAAAATTCAGAATGTGCACTGTTGACAGTTTTGAATTGTTTTATTTTTTACTGTTTATATGAGGTTTTCATGCATTTTGTATGGGCGGTCCAATGGACCGCCACTATACGTTCTAGGTGAGATTTGGTTTTATCAAATGTCCACAACATATACAATTATTTTATGATAGAAACAGTATGCACATGAATTATAATCTTCTGTACGAATAATCTGCCCGAGAAATTTTGAATTTTTTTAATTTACTTCGATTTTTATTCAATTTTTTCAAAAATTTCGGTCCAATGGACCGCCTCTATACCTAGGAGGGTTAAATTGTTTCAGACAAAAAAAATACGCTATTTTGAACAATCACTAATATAAATAATTTACAATTAAATAAAATGATAAAAATCAAGTCGATTGATCTTCAATTTTGCTTTCGGTCGCTTTTTCACCTTCACATTCAAGTGGATGTAATTTTTTCATGTGTGCATCCAGACTCCTTCTCCACACAAATGCTTCCAGGCAATAAACGCATCGATAGAGTTTTTCCGTTGCATGACATGTTGAATGTTCCTGAAATGATTGAATCATTAAAAATGTCCGAAAATCAAACGATTTTTTTTCTTTCATTTACCTGCAACTCGTCGGCATTATTAAATGATTTGTCACATAATCGGCATTTATGTTTGCGCCGAATTTCATGGAATGCTCGGATATGGCCGAGTAGCGCGTCATGATTTGGTGCTTCTAATCCACATTCTTGACATCTATTCAGTTCGATCGGGTGACATTTGCGATGCAATTTCAAACGATATCGACTGCTTAACCATAAACCACAAATTGTACACATTTCACTTTTGTTCTCATCTTTTTTCGCACGCTTTTGTGGATCATCCGAGTGATGTGCCTGAATGTGTTTTTGTAAGTGGCTCGTTTGTGAAAATCCTCTACCGCAAACATCACAAACAATGCGAGCACCCGTTGTATTCCCATAGTGAATCAATTGCTCATGACCATCACGTTTTTCTTCGGTTAAGAACCTGTATGCATGGAATGCAAACAATATGATTTTTGTTTTTAGCAAAACGAATGAATAATCAATCTTTCATTCAAAAATCAAACTTTACCGTAAACCACAAAAGTTGCATTGAAAATCTCTTGGTCCACTTTCATGTACGGCTTTTCGGTGGCCAACAAGTGTTGTATGCCGTTTAAAACTCTTACCTAAGGGGAGAATCACAAAAGAAAAGAATAAAATTCAAAATAATCGAAACTAATCGAAAAATAATCGTAAAACAATCAATAATAATTAATAAGTAATTTTTAAGTGATTTGCCCCTTACTCTTACCGCACACTTCACAGGTAAATACTTTGTTGTGACGGCGAACATGGCATTTGAAATGATCCTTGAGATTGAATAATTTATCACAAATTGGACACCTGAAAATGGATATGATTCATTTAGATTCAAACGTTTTTTTTTTGTTGTCGATTTTTTTCTTCATATTTTACCTTAAACTCTCTGGATGATGGTGCCATTGGATGTGACTGTCTATTGCGGCCAATGTTTTCATTTTTTTATTACAGCATTTAATGTAGCCTTTTGGTTCACTGTGTTCACTTAAATAGTGTCGCTTTGCATGTGAAAACGATTCAAACATCACCTCGCACTGATCACATGACATATCAAAATGATTGATCACATAGTCCAGCTGCTGTTGAGACATTGTTTCTAAAAGTTTGCACACACTTATTTCGTGATTCTTTCTCTTTGTGTGTGTGTGTAAAATTTGAATATCTTACCGTGTATATTTCGCATATGCTTTTCCTTCTGAGCTTCGTTAAATAGTCTGGAAAATTAAAAACAAATTCGTAATTTCATCGATCAATTTTTTAAAAAAGTCACTCACGTTTTCGCACAAATTTCACATTTGATTTTTTCAGTTGTGTGCGTTTCAGCCTTGTGATACATTACATTCGCTTTAGTGGCAAAATGTTTATTACAAATATCACAAACATATTTTGGACTTTCCAACAGATCAACAATATGGTTCTTGAGATGATTTCGCAAATATGATTTCACTTTGATCGATAAATCACACACGAAACAGCTGGAAATGGAATATTATTATCGTTAGATTCAGAAAATGTTCGAATTGAAAAGTGAATCTTTACTAATATATTTCTGGATTCTTATGATAAGCAATGTGCTCCTTCACCATGTGTTCTTCGCGTAATTTCATGTCGCAGCACTTGATATATCCCCTATTATTATTATGCTCGTTTAGGTAATGCACTTGTGCTTCATTGAGTGCGTTAAACTCAGTCGGACATTCATCACATTTTCGATCGAATTGTTGCCATATCTTTTCTTTTTCATCTGATTCCACATCGTTCGTGTCGATCGAACTTATTTCATTAAGTTTTTGACGAAGTTTAGCATCGAAATCTTCAAATCAATAAAAAAAAATCAATAAAATCGATTTGTGTTTATAGAAAAAAATTGGAAATATTTCTACCTGTTTCATGAATTTTTGAATGTTGCTTTAGCTTTTGTTCAGACGGAAGCCTGTGCGTGAAAAAGAAGTGTTTCAATGAATTTATGCCGAATGAAGAAAATTTGATGATTCAATTACTTGAGATTACATGCAGCACATTCGAATCCATGCCGTAGTCTTATATGAACGGATATCCGAGTTCGACGAGTAAATGTTTTCACACAATGTGGACACTTGTAAATTTTGCCTGCTCTCCAATTGAGCGCCTTTCGTCTATTGGCTTCTTTTCGTTCTTCTTGTGTTCGATACTTTCTTGGTCGGCCTCGCTTTCGTTTCGGTTGTTCGGTGTCTAAATCTTTTCTTTTGTATGCTTTCGTCGGTGTATATTCATCGGCCTCATCGGCATCTTCAATGGTTTCGCTATCGTCTTTGAATGATTCATCTAGAATATAAGTTCAATCAAGTTAACTCTGTATATTCAAACCTGATTGAGTATTCAAAATTACCGCTGTCCGAATGATCTTCTTGAAAATCGGCATCACTGTCACCATCTTCTTCATCATCATCTCCGTTATCACTACCAAAACGATCAGTTCTCAATTCTTCGTGAAACACAACACTCTCCGTATTTTGCTCAATTTCATCGTACTTCATTTCGATTTCGTTTGGTGTTTCCGGAATTGCTAATAAATTGAAAAATAAAAAAGAGTTCAAATTTCATGATAATCCAAAAAACCAAATATTTACTTACAGAGATCGTCATAATTGGTTTCATTAAATACCGGTTCTTCATGGTCCGATTCGATCTTAATAGGAACTATGCCATCCGAAAGAAATTGTCTCTGTGCGGCAATCACCTTTTGATAAAATTCATAGAATGTCTTCATCTTCAACCAACAATCCACACATACAAAATTGGGCAGTGCATCAAATTCATCGACCTTCGCAAAAGAAATCATTGATTGTTTTTTATCAATTTGCATGGAAATTCAATAAATGTTTACTACCTCACTACGGAATATTTCACGAATGGACTCAATCACACGTTGCGATGTTGTGAATAAATTTATGTGAAAAAATCCAGTAGAAAAACACAGACGACACTTTTCGCCCAAGTTTGAACCCATTTTTTTCTCTTCTCAATTCATACAAAATAAGAAATTCATTTAAAAACTAGCTAGATTTTCTTCATAACATTTCAGTTCCTATTGTTTGTTTATTAACAACACTTATTATGTCAGCAATAAATGACAGTTAAACGGAGTCCATTCATTGCGTTACAATGCGGTGAAATGCATAACGTTACGAAAAGTTTAAAATGAAATAAGTATAAGTAAAAAAATAATCCGAACTCATTCTTTCCAACATTATATTAATCGAAATAATTTTTAAGAAAAATTTGATTTAAAAACTGTGAGTGACATAGATCAAAAAATCAAAATAATTTTAACATGTGCGTCATAAGTCTTTACACAACCAACGCATGTAGTGCATTTATCGGTACCTCGACACTACTATCAAACCCAATCCGACATAATAGAATCATTCGCAATGTCATACAAACTGGATTTGCGTAAGTCTGTCGCAAATTGTTTTGGGCAGCTAAGTACAAACGAAATTTTGCGTGTGTTTAAAAATAAACCAATCTCTCGCCGAACCATCTATCGTGTTTTAAAGGATTGTCAGGAAGGTAAAGAACCGGAAAATAAGAAAATCCCTGGTCGTCCCTCCAAACTAACTGCCAGAACAACGAAAAGTCTGCTGTCAAGTGCTAAAAACAAGATTGGCCAATCAACACGGCGATTATCACGTAAATTTGGTATTTCAAAATCAACTGTCCATCGCATTTTGAAGAAAAACAACATTTGTTATCATAAATGTAAGCAACCACCAAAATATACACCGAGACAACTCGAAATAATACCAAAATGTTGCCGTGCACTTCGTGACAAACACTTTGCAAACGGAAAATTCATTATTTTGGATGATGAATCTTATTTCACTTTTGCGCACAATGAATTGAATGGAAATTACACTGACAACATTGAAGCAACACCAGACGATGTTAAAGATGCCGGCGATGCAAAATTCGAGCCAAAGGTATTGGTGTGGTTGGCCATCTCATCGAAAGGTGTTTCAGCGCCGTTGATTCGACCAAATGGAGGTCAAGCGATCAATTCTGACACTTATATCAGTCAATGCTTGCCAAAACTGAAGCAATTCATCGAAAACCATCACGCCCGAGACGAAATCATGTTTTGGCCGAACCTTGCAAGCAGTCATTATGCGAAAAAAACATTGAATTGGCTCACTGAGCAAAATATACCATTTGTACCGAAAGAGGACAACCCACCAAACATTCCACAGGCACGTCCAATCGAAGATTTCTGGTCGGTTCTAAAATGTAAAGTGTACGAGAAGGGCTGGGAAGCTCAAAACGAGCAACAGTTGATGGGTCGAATCGAGCGAAAATTGACGGAAATGGATGTATCAGTCTGCCAGAACATGATTTTGAATGTTCGAAGTATACTACGAAAAATCGAAGACAATGGACCTTTAAGTGTAATTTGAATGTGCTATTCGATAGCCCATGAATAAAGATTTATACCAATAAAAATAAATTAATATTGTGTATTTGTTATTCAAATACCCATATAATTCATTTGCGGAGTAATTTTGACGGTGGCGGGACTGTGTGGAGTTTGGCGGAGATGACATACAAACTCTGTGTGTACGAGGGTAACAGCACTTCTATGTGTATCATTCTTACGCAGATTATTAGTAACTTAGCTGTGTGTACGGCTACTAAGATGTACGATTGGACAAAATAAATCTATGAACAGCAAAGAACGCTGTTGCACTCGTACACACAGCATTTGCATGCTATCTCCGCTGAACTCCGCACAGTCCCGTCATCGATAAAATTACTCCGCAAATGAGTTATATGGGTAGTTATTTTGATTTCATTTTTTCATAGTTTTTAGGCGAATATTCATTTCATTGGGTTGAAACTAAATTTGTGTCAAAGGTTTGATATATTCTTGCTTTTGCTCAATTCATATTCGAAACATCGAATAGTTTCCATGCCTCAGACATTTAGAGATACTTGATTAACATTTGCGGTGTTTAGAGTCTGAAATCTCAATTTTTCAAGAATATTTCAAATAAAATTTGTCCATTTTTATTTCTCATTTTTAAAATATGTATTCTTTTAATGACATTTAAAATGCTCTCAAGCTGTTTTTAATAAGAAAAAATTCTGTCCACATTGCAGTCAGATTTTTAAACGGCAGCATATCTGTTTGTGTTGCTTCCGAAAAATCCAATAAATAAACAGACAATAAAACGAAAATAACAATCTATGGATTTGTAAATAGTGCAATCTTCTTTGATTCTCTATCAGCTGTCCATTTGTCGAAATGAACTTGTTTCCGATGTTTGTGCATATTTGAATTAGATTTGAACATTTTCGGACAATAATGACATGTGTACAGATTTTCACCAGTATGAGATGCAATATGTTCCTATACGAATCAAAAGAGAAGAAAAAATGCAATTGAAAAAATTGTTTGAAATAAAAAAAAGAGTTTCAAATAATACAAACCGTTAAAGAAAGTTGTCGTTTGAATGTCTTTTTGCAAATGGTGCAATGGAATGATGCGTCGCCGTGAACGAGTCGCTTGTGATGATTGAGAGCTGTTCGTGTTGGTTTCAGTTTATGGCAAATATCACACACTTGTGGCGAATCCGTGTGAATTTTCATGTGTTTGTTTAATGTTCCGCGATTTTTGAGCCAAGCACCGCAATGGGTACATTGTACTCGCGGCTCTTCGATTCCCATGTGTTGTGTTTTCATATGATCTTGAAATCCTTCTTTTGTTTTAAATACTTTTGCGCATACATCACATATTCGTTGGTCAATCCGTTCGTGTACTTTGAGAATATGCATTTTTAGTATGTGCTCGGATTTGAAGCTGTTTTTATTGAATAAGTAAATTGTTTTAGTTTCTCTTTTATAATTTACTAAATCATTTTTAATCTTACTTCTTTTCACAAATGTTGCATATGAATTTTTGATCACCAATCGGATGCACGTCGCTCAAATGACGATTCAAAATGTGTTGCCGCGAAAATCGTTTATGACACTGGTGACACTCGAAGCTTCGTTTCTCATCTTCCAAATGACGTAAAGCGTGTGCGGTTAATGTTCTCTTTTCATGGAATTTCTTCGGACATTTTGTACAACTGCAAATTCACAAACTTATATAGAATAGATCTACAAAAAAAGAAAAATATTTCGCATACTTGAATGCGCTTGGGTCGGCATGCCATGTTATGTGCTCGATGATTCGACTTCTTAAAAAGAATTTTCGATTGCAACATCTCAAGAACGGCTTCAAAATATTGTGTTTATCCAAGTAATGAGTTCGAGTATCGTTCCACGATTCAAAATGATGCATACATAAATCACAGTTCATCTGAAAATAGTCGGCAATTTTTGATTCCATTTCCAACTCTTGCGGTGAATAGTGTTTTTCTTCGAAAATCGGTGGTCCTTTTTTGGTTTGTATTGTGGCGCTTTTTCGATCTTTTGTTGTTTTGTTTGGTGACTTGACTATTTTTTTTTGTTTGAAAATTGCAAGATATTTTTTATGAGAGCGGGAAGTTATTGTTGTTATACCTTTCACACTTTTATCTTCGATATATTCATCGTCTTGGTCGGATGTACTATCACAGGCTGTTATGTCTTCCATTGATAAAAAATCTTCCGAAGTGTCATGTTCACTTTTCACGGACACCTTTTCGATTTCATCGTCTTTGTATTTTGAGTTCAACAGATATAAATGGGCCATTTGAACTGATTTATAGAATTGATCAAATGTCAGGACTTTGTCCCAACATTCCAAACATATTCCATTCGGTTGATCGTTAAAGTCCTCCACCTAAAAATGAATTATTCACATTTCGTATATGATTGAAATATAAGAAAATAAATGTAAACAAACCCGAAACCAGAAGTGATCAGACAATGTTTCGGCAATTTTCAGCTGTCGTCCACGATTACTAAACACACGAATTATTTCACAATCGGTTTTTGTGCACAAAATACATTGATCAATTACAAAACACATTTTTTTTCTTAAATTTATTCATTCGCATTCAGTTTTTTTTACGATTGACTTCATAAAATATTATTATCGCTGTCCGTTTACAAATAGAACGGACTTCAGCTGTCAAAGTCAAATTCAACGCACAGTTGTGCGTTATACAGTGTGTACTTGCATCTGAATTTGTTTTTGCATTTGTATATCGATAAGTTTTGATACAATTTCTGTCAAACTGTGATTCAAGCAGAAAAGAAACGATACTTCTATCAACAAGTATTATAAATCACTGATCACACCTTGAGAAATATACAATTCAAGTTTGATTGCTTTATTATAGACTTCACACAGTAATAAAAATTTTCTATTTCGAAACATTCCATTTGAATTATTGCTTTGAGAAATGCATTCGTCTTGTATGAGAAATGCACGATAAATAACATTAAAATGTGAATTAAATTGTGTAAATGAGAAGAATATGAGGCTTGTAGTACATGTGTACTTGGCAGAATTGTACGTAACCAGTTTAAAAAATACTCTTCATTAAGTATACAATAAATTATTTGAAAATGATTTGTTTTGACATTCTCATATTTCTTATTTTCATTAATAATTGTTGGAATTTGTATTGAAAATGAAAACCAATTAATTTGCATCCATATTTATTTTAATTTCAAACAAAATAAAATGAATTGGCGGTAATTTTCAAATAAGTCGTCTGACACTTCGCATGCGATTGACATTTGGTTTGCCAAAAAAGGCGACATTGGTTCCCTCTATCGAATTCGTCGGCCATATTGAAAAAGTTCACTTCGCGGTGCTAGTTCCGTTTGTCAATTCTTTTCTATTTCTTTTCCATTAAAATGGCACCGAAGAAACCAACTGAGAAGTCTGGTAAGTGAAAAAAATTGAAAAAATTACGAAATTTTTTCGAAATTCTTGATCAAATGGATGCAAAGCGTTTTGTTTAATTGTGGCCAATTGAAAAACAATCGAATTTTTGTTAATTTTTTAAAAAAATTGTGAAAAATTCACCGAAATGATAATAGCATGTATTGGACGTGTGTATGCCACGCGGTTTTGAGGTTGTGTTCGATCAACAAAAACATGCTTTTTGATTCAGTGATTTCAATTGAATTCGGCCGGGGCAATGAAAATAAAAATGTATCGCATGCAATTTTATTTGTCGTTAAAATGATTTACGAAAATTGATCATTGCATATGAAATTGTGTGTTTTCTGTTGAATCGAATGTGTATACGAAGCAAGAATATATTGTGTACCGCAATCCCAAAGTGTGTAGCAAAGGTGTGTTGTGCAAGTGCAAAACGTGTATATGTCATTTTGGAATGAATTTGCTTGTGTGGTTTTGGAAACTAATTATATGAAATTGAACTTTTCTAATTCAAACATCTTTTTTCTCTCGTTTTTTTTTTCTGTGTGTTTTTTTGCAATGATTAGGCGAGAAAAAGGCAGCACCAGCTGCTTCAAGCTCATCCGAGAAAAAGGATACCAAAAAGGCTGCACCAGCCAAGAAACCAGCCGCTGCTGCTAAACCAGCTGCAGCTAAACCAGCTGAAAAGAAACCAGCCGCCGCTAAACCAGCTGCAGCTAAACCAGCTGCATCAAAGGCATCCGCCTCAAAAGCATCGGCCGTGAGTGTCAATTGTCCACATTTATTTCATATTTTTCCAACCGTAAAAATCACATTGGTATAAGAATCATGTGTTAAATCAAACGGAATGTGATTGTGAAATGTGCTTTTTATGAGTGGATGTTAGAAAATCAATTTGGCACAAGAAATCAAGAAATTGTTGCTTGTTTATTATTTAGGCCAAACCAGCCGCCAAGCGTCCAGCAGGTGAAGCTAAGGCTACAGCTGCCAAAAAGACAGCTACCTCAGCCAAGCCAGCCGACAAAAAGAATGTCGCCAAGAAGCCAGTGGCCAAGAAGACAACCGCTTCGAAAACCGTACGTTGATGATTGATTCTTCATTTATTTTCAGTAGACGCATGCTCTCTATCTCTCTTCAATTAACACTAAAACTCAATATGTTTATTCATTTATAGGCTAAGCCAGCTGCCAAAAAGAAGGTTACCACCGCTAAAAAACAACCAACCAAAGCTGGTGCCAAATTGGCTGCCAAAGTAAAGGCATTGAAGAAACCATCAAAGGTTGCCGTTTCAGCTAAAAACAAGAAGGCTGCTGCTGCCGTCGTTCGTGCCAAGAAGGTACAAAAGAAAGTTGTCAAAGGTCCATTCGGAACACGAACACGCAAAGTGCGCACCAGTGTTACATTCCGTCGTCCAAAGACATTGGCTTTGCCACGGAATCCAAAATACCCACGCAAGTCGGTGCCAACCAGAGACCGGTAAGTTTTATTAATCACATTTTTTATGATAAAACTTTTGCGCACATGTGTGTGTGTGTGTATGCAAGACAAATTACGCTGCAGCGAGTTCAATGATTGTTTGCGTCCAGACATCTTGCTAGAGAAAAGATGTAGATTATTTAATCTGACCCAATATAATTTATTTTGAAATTTCTGAATTTTCATTTCCGAATTTTCTCAAGTGGTCCACATTCACACGCATACAAGAAAAAAAATGTATTTTGATATTAATTTTATGTCCAAATGGCGTTGATGATACAATTTCATTTTTATCCGTTACAGCATGGACCCATTCAATATTGTCAAATACCCATTGACAACTGAAGCCGCCATGAAGAAAATCGAAGACAACAACACCTTGGTATTCTTGACACATTTGCGTGCAAACAAACACCACGTGCGAGCTGCTGTCCGCAAACTTTATGACATTAAAGTAGCTAAAGTGAACTTGTTGATTAGGTGAGTTTCATATCGAATAGTATTTTCTCTCACCACGTACTTTCATCACTTTTTCTTATAAATTTCCGAGAATGTGGCACCAAATTCATGGATTTTGTTCTTTTTTTCGCCTTACAGACCCGATGGACAAAAGAAAGCCTATGTTCGCTTGGCCCGCGACTACGATGCTCTAGATATCGCAAACAAAATCGGCATCATATAAATTGTTCAGCCCCGGCGCATACAGATTTTCTACTTCGTTTTTTCGAATTTGCCTCAAAATGGTTATGATTGTTGCTGAAATGTAGTTTCGCTCAAATCCACTTCAAATAAATTTGAAAACACGGGAAGAAAAACAAATATATTATTTTCTATGTGAAAAGAACATCAATTTAAATTAAGAATTGGTTCTGTTTTCATTTTTGTCTCTTTACACCCGCTCTCTTACGTTCTCTCCCAAAACTCTCTCTCTCCCCCAAAAAAAATGCATGCCAATTTTATTTTCAGGAACATTTTCAGATTTTGTAGCGATAACTGTGCAGCCGCATCAATTTTTGCTTCGAATTGAGGTAAGGATCATTTGTTCATATCAATTTGTATTTGTCAATATGATGATACCAATTTTGTAGGAATCTCTATGAAAGTTTATGATTACAAAAATAACTCTGACATAAGGCAAAACAACGCATGTTTTTTAGCTCTGACCTATGTTGTTTAATACAATAAATTATAATTATTCATTTATTTCATTTCAGAATTGGTTCTAATCGAATCTCAAGGCGAACATGAGAAAGATCAACAGCATAAATTTGGTAAGCATATCATTTTTTTCGAATTCAAATTCATTGTGCAAGTAAAATGGTAAATGTTTTGAATCAATAATGATGAGACCATTTTTGTAGGAATCTCTATGAAATCCAAATACAATGATTTCAACATTTTATCACTGATTTTGTCATTTCAAACATTTATTTGAAACATTCGTCAATAATCATGACATTTGTTTAGCAACTTTACTTATTCAAATGGGGGTTTTTCTTCTCTTTGCAGGCTTTGAAGGTGATTCATCAAACATACAGTAATAGAAACCCAGTTAAATTATGAAGAAAAAAAATACCTAAGATTTAATTTTAAAAATAAATAGAGAAAAAGACAGCAATGAAACTGAATAAAATACACAAAATAAAATGAAACCAATGAAATGATGTATTTTTGTTTCAATTGACTATCCAGTCTAAATGTCGTCCAAATCATGTTTATTTTTCCCTCTCTTTCCATCAAATTCACATGCATAATTAAATCGCATGGTTTTGTGCAAATGACACTGAAAAGCATTTTTTTTTATTTCGTTAGTTTCAAACTTTACGTGCAAAAAACACCTTGACTTGAAGCCACCGTACATTAAACGCTATTTTGATTCGATTGAACGAAGAAGACGACGATGACGACGATAAGAGAAATACAACACATAAAATATACATGGAGAAAAATACAAATTTTGCATCACTAACGCCACATAGTTGCGATCGGCGAAATCACGTGACGCATACACATTCAATCGAAGTATTTGAGTCGACCATTCACATACGGGGCACGTAATCCAATGTAGTGTAGATGTGTGTGTGTGTATGTATAAACTTACACACAAGTATACATACAAAGTGTTTCTCTACCTATACAGCTTGACTTTGAATGTCACAACATTCGATAAAAGAAATCTAGAAACTTTTTTTTTCCATCATCATCATCGTCGTCTTCTCAATGTGTCATTTTATTCAGAGATTTTCTAAGTAGTGTGCGCGCTCGCGAGGAAAACGTAAGCGTAATAAAACGAGACGGAAAAACACACAAATCGCACGTAGAACTGTACTCTCTTAGAAATATACACATCAATATTATACATATACACGACGTTTTCCTTTTAATATTATTTTACGTACTATTTTGGAATACACAAAGTCAGTGCGAGCTGAAAAGAGACAGTAAAGAGAAGTAAGTAGAGCTGAAGAAGGCAAGAGTAAAAAAAAATATAACACAATACAACAGGATCTAGTGAAAAGTATTTGGATTAAATTCTTCAGCATTTGAAATACACAAGAGAAAAATCAACGTGTAAAAAAACGAGCACATCACATGAGATAGATTCTCATTTTTTTATTACTTACCATAATAATTGTGGAAGACGAAGTGAATGAGTGTGATCGGGTGGCAAAGAAACAAAAATTGTGTAAGTAAAAGGGAAAAACATTAACAGCATCATTGTTTTCACCCCGTCATCCAGCACCCGATAGACCAGTTTTTGATTTGATATGCATTCCCCATTACAAAATTTAATCGCCAAGTTATTATAAAGTGCAAAACATCGAACAACAAATAAACGAACGAGCAAATGAATCGAGAGAAGAAAGATACAAGCACAAGCCACTAAGTGGATTATGGAAATGTCGTGTCAAATGCGATGATTTTTTTTGCTTTAATATTATTGTTTTTTTTTTATTATTATTTCGTATATATAATATGATAAAAGGTGTTCTGCAATTTTATCATGAATATTCGGTGTTATAACGTAATGTTTTCATAATTTGACATATGCATTTTAATGATATCGTGTGTCTCGTAAAATATTATGGATTTGAAGATGAAAAAAAAAACATCAAAGCGATTCAGTCAAATGAATAGTATGTTGTTGCCGAGATAAATTTCGTATTTATTTTCGATTAAAGTGTCATTGTTTTTGCGCACCAATTTCCAAGTGCCCCCGACACATACACAGACATAAGCGTACGCGCTCTAGATCCAAGTGTCGAACAATCAAATTTAAAAGAATTATATGTGCGAAAAAAGAATATGAGAAGTGAAAATTAAATCAGCCAACAACAAATAAAACAGCACATACAACAATTCAAGGCACCAAATAATCGTATCTGTCACTTTATATATAATTTTTATACGAGTAGTTTGCTATTTGCAAAATATGTAAATACGCATTTATAATGCTATTTAAGTGTTTGTAATTGGTTCAGTGTTCTTGTTTTCTGGTGTTGTTTCATATAGATTTGTTTTTTTTATTGTTCGATTGTGTGCATTTGTTGATACAGAGAGAGAGAGGGGGAGAGAGAGAGAGAAATAGTAAAAGAAAGAAAGAGATCCAAAGAGAAAGAAAACGAAATATGGGTGCTGAAAACCGAATCAATGTGCCATAATCTATATTATGTAGCGTATGATGAAATGATGAAGTTGTTTTGCTAATTCATTTGCGTGTAAAAGCAATATGGTATTATTTACTTGAACATCCTCATCAAAAATAACACATGTTATCTGCGATGATTAGATGGTGTTCATTATATTTACATTAGAGATTTAGATTCAAAAATCTTTCATGTCGGTGCTGTTTGTCTTCTGTTTCTTCTATTTCAGTACACCGTTGTGCACAAAATGAATATTCTGTTATAACAAGCATAGCAAAAAGAAGAAAAAGAAGAAATCAAAACAAATTGTAAAATGCCAAAATTAATAGAATAAATAACAATGGAGTATGGACTTATGTAAGACCTTGTGAACATTGTGAAAATTAACAATAAATTCAACGTTGTTTTTGTCTCCCGTTTGAATTGTGTGAGAGTGTGTAGTGTTTGTATATTCATCGTTTCGGCGAAGAAATTTTGATGGTGTGACACAGCTGGCATATATCGAACATAGCAAAAATGCCGACAATTTTGTTGGAATGATGATTTGCGATATGGCAGTAAACGCGCACGCGTCTTTGTATATGTTGTCTTTGATATTGAACCTTACGTGTCCTTTGCTCTCCAATTATAATTAAGTTAAGTGCGGTGAACTGTGTTGGGTGGCTCGCGCACTCAACAATCTTTACATAGCCACGCAAAACGCGTTTTCAACTTATAATAATAATTTCCTTAATTGTCATTCATGTACTTGAATGTAGCGCAAAAACAATGTAACATTTTTATACGTGTTTGGCATGAGGTGTGTACTCATGAGTATCATCTGCAGAGATGAATCGTTATATATATAAATTCTATATAAACGTTGTACAAATGAATAAAACATCCATAGACCATTATACAAAGAATCAGACACGTATGGAGAGTATGCACAATTGCATACATGTACACCGCACACATACAAACAAATGCATACCGTGGTCATGTTTCGTTTCCTTTACGCTTCGATTGAGCGTACTTAAGAGACCGAACAGTTGTTTTACATTTTGGCCCGTTTGGTTACACCATATACATATATTTTTTTTTATATATTTTTACTCGGTTTGTGCTTGTTTTCTTCTTCTTCTTATTTATTCAACTTTTCGAATTTCTTTCCTGCCACTTCTTTTCGAGCCTTTTCTTTGTATTGCTTTTTTCTCTCTCTCTCTTCTTTTCCCTCTTTTTCTGTCCTTGTCGATATATTTTCGAATCATGGATCGGTTCGTGTGTATTGCCATTGTTGTTTTCATCGAATGAATATTCGTGACTTCTTGTCTTTGCTGTTGTTTTCCATGCTATTTTTATACCCGATTTCGATATTATTGTTTCGGTTTCACTGACACATCCAATTCACTTTTGTTTTGTTTTCTTCTTCTTTCCATTAAAAATACAAATACCATTTAATGAGTTAGTTGTTGGTCAGCCGTACTGTTGGATTGTTTTACCATGTTTAGATAGCAAACGGGCCACATTTTCGATTTCATTCAAGTGTACATATTTTTTTGATAGTGTGGACATGAGCACCTAACAACGATTTTGTTTTCTTTTTTTGTATTTTCAGGGAGAGAAAAGTCATTTTACATGTGACACAAAAACGAATAAAAAAACCCTTAAGTTGTGAATCCAGCTTTTATGATCAGAAGAGATAGATTGATTGAATCATAAAGAAACAAAGAGATAAAGCGAATTGAAAAGATGTCTTCAATATTAGATACACCAATAGCACCATCATCATCGTCGTCGCCGTCATCTTCAACAATGCCAAATTCACAAAGCAGCCCGACTGATGCTGCCGCCGACTTTAGTACGAATTCAACTGATAATCAAATCGGTTCAGATGCAGCTAGTACATCAAGCCGAACGGAATCAACGAGTACAAAAAGCTTTGATCCAACAACAGATTCAAAATTCGGCAGCAACGACTCGAGCGATAAACAAAATGCAGATACAAATGGCACGAAAAAGGACGATTCAATGTTTGAATGTAATATTTTTGGCATACTTACTTAAAAATTAAAATTCTAAAATGCCATTTTTGTCATTATTTTCTTCTGATCATTCTTAGGTAATATTTGTTTGGATACAGCCAAAGAGGCGGTTGTTAGTATGTGCGGTCATCTATTTTGTTGGCCATGCTTACATCAATGGCTAGAAACACGACCAACACGTCAATTGTGTCCCGTTTGCAAAGCAGCAATTAGCAAAGAAAAAGTGATTCCATTATATGGACGCGGCAGTACTAAAGAGGAAGATCCACGGTAAGTGCATTAAATCAACGAAATAATAGATGAATAAGAGATTCAAATCAATTATTGCATAAATCGATTGCAGTTCAAAAGTTCCACCACGACCAGCTGGTCAACGTACAGAACCCGAACCAAATACAACATTTCAAGGATTTGGCTTTGGCGATGGTGGTTTTCAAATGTCATTAGGAATTGGCGCTTTTCCATTCGGTATTTTTACATCAACATTCAATTTTGGCACCAATATTCGTTCGCAGAGTATGTGTATGTATCTGGATATGTTTATGTAATATTTGTTTTTTGTTATTTTACACTCGATTCGATTAATAAATTATTTTTTGTTTTTCTCTGCAGATCCTAGTACAACTGTACAATTAGAAGAAGAACAATGGTTGTCAAAACTATTCCTCTATGTGACCATATTATTCTTGGCCTGGCTCATTCTTATCTAAAACTGAAATTTATCCAATCAATATCTCCGCGTTTCTCCTTAGATACCCCCTTCCCTTCCCACTCTTATACACTACACTCATTCTATCAACAACAACAACAACAACAAAACACGTGTTTGATTTTAAGATTCGTAGTCGAAAGATGCAAAGGAAACAATATGAATTTAGAATGCAGTAACAACGAATTGTCGTTTGTGTATGACGATTGAAACTGAAAGATGTTTTCAATTCAGATAACGATCCTTGTACACAAAATACAAACAAAAAAAATTATACACACATTTACGCAATTTATTATTTTCCATAAAATTAATTATTATCCTAATTATAATTATTATTATTATTGAAAAGAAAAACAATTGATGATGATGGCATTTTATTTTCTACTACTAAAGCAAAAGAAGAAAGAAAAAAACTTTATATGTGTAGACTTTTTGGAGTTTTGGTAGTGTTAGCATTAATGGATGATGATGAAATACAAATAAATGTTAAGAATGATATTTTACCCATTTGAAAAAAATTATATATATATATATGAGAAATCAATACAAAATTCACGGATAGCAAAAATTCAACAACAAAAAAATCTGAAAAAAATAATTAAATTACGCAAAATGCCCACACAAAATTATGCGAAGCGAACATGTGTATTATGTGTTCGTCATATTTTGCCGTGAAATGTGTTAATTGGTTTGCGTGTTATCGTGATGATGTTGGGCAACAAAATGAAAAATTTAAAGTTCAACAGAAAAAAAGAGAACTTAATCTAATTGAGAAAAAAAATGAAATATATAAATACCTACTATAAATTGTACATGTTTAATTATAATTGAAAAGTGAAATACAGAGAAAAAAAGCAACAACAGTAAAAAACAAATGGTGTTTTAAGCGATTATTTTATATATTTTGAAAATACCGTGATAAGTTGTAGAAACATCATCAGCAGGTACAATTCTCATAAATCAGTAATGTTGATAACGCATTCTTTTACCATATTCAGCGGATACTGCACTTATCAGCCGATCACGTATTAATTTCGCGATAAAAACCACATAAAAAGAAACTAGTTATTTCATATCTTGAATGACCGGCTGATGCTGTTACTACTCTTTTTTTTAATTTAGCTTTTTTTGTCTGTCATTGTCATTGCCACGGCGCGATGATTTCAGGAATATTTTCATATCAAGTGTGTTTTTCTCTTCTCTTCTTTCTCTTCATTTATCGGCGCCCGCTTGCATACATACGTGTTTGACGAGGAAAAGGATTTTCAATCTTTACGCTAATTTATTCAATTATATTGAATTATGCACTGTTATAATAGGAGTGCAGCCGATCTATATTAAGTGGATATTAATGAATTTGTCTGTGTGTACTGCTGAAATGGAGCCGCATGTGGGGCTGATGCATGGCCATCTGATGATGATACAATATTCTTGCCACTGTCCTTCAAACTCTTTTCCACATTTATTTCATACAATTTTGCTTGTTCAATGCGAGAATTTTACCATTCAATAAGCAATATATGTAACAGAGTTATACCCATACATTGATTTTTGGATAGGATAGATCTGTAAGATCTCCGAAAGAGCTGGATCTAAGCGTACGTACGCCGCAAGGGATTTTTGTTTCGTCTTTTCGACTCTTTTCTTTTGCTGTTACATGGCATGTTTATAAGAAACTCTCGGACACTCGGTACAATGCAAAAAAAAATATTGAAAATACCAGTAGTATAGATATACCAGTTTCATCCAAACTGGTTTTGCTTGCAAAGGGATAGATTTTTTTGTAGATTTTAATTCTCATTCTCTAGTAAAGTTTAGGTAAATTTCTGTAGAGTATGAAGCAAAAAAAAAAAACAAACAAAAGATTGCAGATAGTACAAATGCATTTTAAGTTCTATTTAAATGAAGTTAGTCCATCCCCAAAATTTTGAAAACCAAATCAACAATAAAATCCACACATATAGTATATGTCATATACGTATATCAAAATAAACACTGATTTTTTGCCAGACAAAAAAGGATCAACAAATATTCCGTATCATTCTATTCCATTGTACTCAAAGTCGTGGCATTTTTCTTTTCCTCATTCAACATTATACGCACACATACATAGCAAATATGATTGCTATTATGAGTGCATGTTCCAATACAACAAGATCGTTGCTAATATGTACTGTATTTATGTATGTATGAAATACGTTGAATACATTAACAATAAGGAGCGCAAATTCAAACAGTTAAGGTAGGTTGGAATATTTTTTATTCGCAAAATGATTTTTTCGTCTCATTTCTGGGACATTGTCGTCTTTTTTATTATTTTTTTTGGATAAATACATTTTCCATTAAAATGTTGTGTTCTGGCGAGAATTAGCGAAAATTAATGAGCGAGTGGAAATTCAATTGGAATTCAAGAAGAAGAAAAAAAGAGATTGATTTTGATATTAAGCAACCAAATTTATATAGGGTCAAGATGAATACCAACAAGTGTGTATACCATATGTTAAGAAAATATTGAGACTAAATTCAGGCGTTTATTGCGTTACATAAACAAAAATAAAAATGTCAACCAATGCACATAGGATACTTAACGGGACTCCTTCTCTATTGTCAAACTCAAACCATTCAATTATATTCATACGCAATGACGTACAAATTGGATTTACGAAAAAGTGTTCCAAATGGATTTGGACAGCTAAGTTCAAAACAAATTCTGCATGTGTCTAAAGATGAACTAATCTATATTCGAACCATGTATCGTGTTTTATGGACTTAATATGAATATAAAGATTCTTGAGAATGCAAAAAGTACGGTCGTATTCTCAATTTAAATGCTCAAACCCTTCAAAATTGTCATCAAGTACCGAAAACCGGGTTGGTCAAGCAAAAATTCATTTTTGGTGATTTTTATGGTTAGAGCACATCAAAATTTGAACCAAAACAATAGATTTAGACCCGGTCATTAGGAATCAGCAAAATAAGTAATGAAAAAATTCAATAGGGTGTCAAAAATTGGGTATTTACTTCACCTCATAGCATTTTGCACTGAAAAATTCATCATTTTGGACAGTGAAACATTCATCGCTATGTCGAACCACGAATCAAGTGCAAGTGGTTTCTTTTGCATTGATTATGTTAGGGCACTACTATATAAGTCTAGAGACGTCGACAAACCGAACTTTGATAAAGGCGTGTTTGTATGGTAGGATCTTCTTTGGAAGGTGTTTTAGAGCCAATATTCGAGAATTTGGTGCTGAAACGTAAGGTAAAACCTCCATTACATGCTCCATTATCAACCAATTGTTGTTGAAATCGATAGAATTCATTGAGAACTATCTGATTTAACACAAAATTTTGGTTTGCAAGCAGAAAAAACCACAATAATGGCTCACTTCTTAAAATATGACATTTCCGTGAAAAAAGGACCATCTGTTTAACTTCACAAAAAGACACCAAATTAAATATTTCTAGTCTGTTTTTGGATGTATGTTATAGACGAAGGTCCAAAATACTTGAAATGAGTAACAATTGGTTGGATGGATTGAGAGAAAATTGAAAGAAATCGACAAATTGGTTGTCCAGAGCATGATTTTGAAGGTTAGATACCTACTGCGTAAAATCGAAGACAATGGTCCATTCAGTGTAATGCAACGTGCTATTCGATAGCCCATGAATAAAGGTTTATAGCAATAAAAAAGAATTTTATACTGTTTGTTTTTTGTTCAAACGGCGGACTTTTAGAACAATGAAGCAAACAAATCACTAGAAGGATGGAAAAAATACTTTCGAAGTTTTGATCAAAATTAAAGAACTATTTTTATTATTTCATACTGGTAACGATTATATTCTTAGTTTGCTCAAAGCACATCGATATCACTTAAAATATAAGAAAAGATATTAAATTTTATCAATAACAATAACAATTCAACATGAACAACATATGATGTCATTAACAAATGAGTACATTTGATTCCTTATTATTTATATACACTCAAAAAAAAATCATTATTCACTTTCTACATTTTTGTTAAAATTTCATATGATAAATTCAATTAATATTTAGAGAAAAAAAAATAGTTTAAACAAACGAAATTGAATAAATCATAGTCAATTTAAAAAGAAAAGATTCATTGTTTTTAGATGGTCTACAACACACAAGAGGACTAATATAAATACATTTTATACAAGTTTGAGTATCTATCGTTGATTATGTTCTATTTGCTGTTGAAATATATTTGCTTTGGCTTCCATCATCGATAATACATATGGGTCAATGGCTGCTGTAAGATTTTCATTTGTATGATTTGGTTCAATCAAAACTCTGGCCGTTTCTAAATCATGATCACCGTATGTAATGTGAACGTTTGAAATCTTTGGTGCTGTTTTGAATAGTTCGTTTAATGTGAGATGCAAAATAGTGCCGTTGATGTGCTCTGGATTCTTCGAATCATATTTATATTCGCCAAGAGCCAATAAAGTATTATACACTGCATCCCATTCTTTGTCATTTAGTTTCATGATTAATCGAATAGCATCACCATTGACCACGACACGATTGCTGCCATTGCATTGATATTGTAGTGTTGTATTAATATCCAGTTCTTGTACACGTTCTCCCGATGATAATATCTTCGATTTAAAATTCGATTCAACACTTTGTATATCAATATGATACAGATATTCGATGCGTTCTTGACATGTGGCTAGTCTAGACGGTCCTGAATTGACGTTCTCGGACTGCTGAATGGAATTTATGCTGATTGGTGTTGTTGTTGAATGAGGTTGATTATTTATTTGATTTAACGTAGTAGCTTCACTGTTTGCGATTTGTTGTGTGTTTATGTCAAGAAACAAAGTATTATCTTGGTTTAGTAAATTTATTCGTTCGACGCAAGAATCAGAAACCATACTTATGTTTGTTGCTGAATTTTGCTCATCACTAGAACTGCTATCTTCAATGCTATAATTTCTCGAGCTGTCCGGTGATAGTTGTGATGGTTCTTTATTGTTTGTGGCAGGCACTTGATTATTTACAGGTTTGTTTTGATATACTTGGTCACTTGGTTGGCCTATGAATGTCAATGGGGGATATGAATATTTTGGTACTGGAATATTTGTCAAGTCATCATCGTTTGGGAGACGACGCTTTTTTGAGTTTGCTGGTGCTGATGCTGGTAGTATTGGCCGTTTGAATGGAGCTGGTTTTGACAGTTCAATGTTTGCCGTTCGGGCTGGTTGAATGTTTGCGACATTTTTGAATGGCGATTTATTTGTTGATGAACCTAAGAATGGTGCAGTAAAACAATCAGTTAAAAATACGAAAAAATATCTCAAAAACTATTGTTATTCTTACCACTGCTTTCAGTCGATGTTGATGTTTGTATCAAAATTGAGCCTTGTGATTGACGTTCATCAATCGGCATCTGGAATTGAAAAGAACATGATTTTGATTTTGCGCTGAAAGTTGATTAAAATCTGTATTTACCGCTTGGCTTTGTAGATTTTCGTCGAGATTTTGCGATTGACTCCCCATAGGTAATCCCAGACACATTTCTTGCGATGGTACTGAATCATTAATTACTTCAGGTGTTTCATGGGGTGTTCCCAAACATTCCACATCACTGTCGTCACCCAAATGATATTCCAATGAAGAACGCGGCTCTTCTTTTTGCACCATTATTGGTTGATCAATTTCATCATCAGAAATTGAAATCTCATCATCATTTTGATTCGAATCAATTGCAGGTATTTGAACATTATTAATCGCTTGAGATCTAGCAACCACCATCTTTTGATCGTTAGTTAGTTGTGAAATGGCTTGATGTTCTGTGTTTTGATCTGAAATAAAAATCAACGTATCATTGCAGTAATAACGATTATTTAAAATGATAAATATCAATGTGAGTCCTACCGCTGGCCGCTTCTGACATTGTCAATGGATTCACGTTGAGTTCATGTAAATCTAGTAAATTCGGCATATCACCCTCAATGAATTCAGACCATCGAACTTGATCAATTGATAAAATTTGTTGAGAGAGTTGTGGCGCCCCGATTTCTTGTCCTGAGGCAATTACGCTACCCGATGATGTGTCTTGTGTTTCTTCATCAGGTCCGTTAGAGTTTTGCGACGGCATCACATTGGCAACGTGAGATGGATCCACATATGGATTTTGTTGAAGTGAGATCGGTCGTGACGGTGTCGGCATTGTTTTTTCTTGGCCTGAGGCCGTTACATTTCCCGATGACGTGTACTGAGTTTCATCAGCTTCGTTAGAGTTTTGCGATAGCATCACATTGGTAGCTTGAGATGACACCACAAATGTATTTTGTTGAAGTGAGACCGGTTGTGAGGGTGGCAGCATCGATTTTTCTTGGCCTGAGGCCGTCACACTATCCGATGACGTACATTGAGATTCATCAGCTTCGTTAGAGTTTTCCGATGTCATCATGTCAGTTTGTGATGCAACAGCATGCATATTTGGTCGTACATCGCCCATTTCTATATCCGAACAAAAAACCATGTACATGAAATACAATTTTTGAAAATGAAAATACCTCTAGAGAGATAAAATTGTGGTACACGCTTACCATAATCTTGGGAACTCGAAACTTCTTCATCACATTGTGACTCATATTTAAAATGAATTATTTCTGCATCAGCAATATTGTGAATCGATAGCGCGGCTAATCGATTGGATTGACTGTCATTCAATGACATTTCATTCTGTGAACTTGTTTTAATGTCATTTGCATCATATTGAGTAGACATCTCACAAGTGAGTGATGTTTCGATTTGTGTCCATTTGTCAACACATAATTTATTTCGTCGACACTCACAGCTTAATTTTAAATTTTTGAAAGGTGGCCTCTTCCATATCTTCCCTTTTCTGTCGTCATTTTTCTGTTCAAAGAGAAACTTCAATCCAAATTCCAGCCGTTCCATCGTAAATACTTGGTTCGATTTCGTCCTCAAAAAGGTTTCTCGAATCAAATCACAAACATTTGTTTGTTGCGCAAACTGATCATAATCCATTGCAATAACTTGTTTCTGGAAATCACTTGGTTGCCATGTTTCTTGTTGTTTGCTTCCAGCGCGTTCGGTAGAACGATTTTTTCCCACTGGCTGTAGGGAAAATACCGTTGAAATGAGCTGATTATTGATTGACAAATAAATGCAAAATTAAACTCACCAATTGAGGTTCGACTTCCACTTTAACTCCTTCGATGTCATCGTTCATATCGTTGTTTCGCTACAAAAAAAAAAAAAAAAAAACCATATGAAATGAATTGAGAAAAGAACAAAATGAGTACTTTTAATAATTACAGTTGACGCCAAATTTCCCTTTGAATTTACATTGCCATTCGATTGTTTCGATGTGGATTGAATATCATGCGATTTTGTTTTTTCGTTCACTTCCTTGTTTTCGATTTGTGGTTGTCTTTTTTCATTTGCAACAACATCTGCCGAGTTGTTTTGCGTGGAAAGATTTAATTGGCCAACACTTATACTAGAATTGTGCAAAGATTTAGCGGACTGCATCATTTCTGGAAGTGTGCTTTGAACTAATTTTCGGTTACTAGTCATAGCTGGACCATTTTCTTCTGCATATTTTGCTTTGCGCTGAAATTTTTTTAAATTAAAAATCACATAGAATCACTACGAAAAAATGCTTGTGTCATTTGTTACCTGATGTAATTTTTCTTGATTTGATTTTCGTATGATTTGTTGTTGTTGAATCGTTTTCTGACTTGATACATGTGGACGTTTTGGTATAACAGCATCGGTTGGCTTTCGCTTGAGATCGGCTTGTTTTTCTTTAGAAATTGCTTGCTTTGATGTGCTTCCAATGGGATTTGGTTGGTTTTTCCGTTTGCTTTGCATCAATGTAGATGCATTAGATTCGATTTTGTTGGTTGCTTCAGTTTGTTTTGGTCTATTGACAACGGCTTTGGTAACGGCTTCTTCCGGTCTGTTTGTATTCGACAGTTTAGTTTGTTTGCTCTGTTTCGATGGTGTACTAGATAAGATTTTTTCGTTGCGCTCGGCTTGTTTTTGTTTGTCCACATTTTTATTTGCCTTTGATTTATCCTCTTTCTGCTTGGCATTGGTTTGCTTTTGTGTGGCTATGGCTTTTCTAGAAGCTTGTTGCTTTGGTGTACTGCGTTTCGACTGGTCGTCTGGTTTTTTCGTGTCATCACTCTTCTTTCGCTTAGTTTCTATCACTTTTTCTTCTATCAGCTTGGTACCAGTTCGTTTTCGTCTAGCTTCAGCTTCCCTTTTATCAGCTTGTTTTGACGTGCTTGCAATCGGTTCGATCTGTTCTTCTTGGTTATCGCTCTTCGACGTCTTTGAAGTGCTTGACGATGTTTTACTCTCTTTTTCGTCATTGAATTTCAATCCATATATGAAGGTATGTCCCCAGACAGCTTTTTGGTAAAATTTTTCAAACATCCAGTTGAAAAAGGGTTCTGGCTTATGTTTTGGTGATTTTGCCGCTATTTGCAGAATGTTAGTTGATTCCCTTAACACATGACGTGGCAAGTACATAAACTTTCTTTGCAAGTCCTGTGCTTCCTGATGCACTTTTTCCCGTTGCTTTTTATCCAATCTCCAAATAGTGGCATGCCTATCAATCAAAATATTTGAATCAATTAGATTTCTCTCTCAAAACCGAACAGTTTAAATAAGAAATTTTAAATTGCTCTTATTATCACAAATGACCTAGAGCTCATGACAAATTCATACTTTTTTTCTCCAGCTGGCCACTTGAAATCGAGTTTTTTCAGAAACTTATTTTCCCACGGATTTGCAGCTGTGAGCAAATGTTGATAAGACAAGTTGATTTTCTGTTTGATATGAAAATTGGGTGGCTCTTTATCTTCTTTCTTACTCTGCTTGAAAATGCGGATGACCAATTCTTCAATGTTTGTCTGGTCGCGAAATATGTGGAATGGTAAGCATCCAAACATTAGCTGACGATCACCGTCTTCAAACGTCAGCTCGTCCTCATTCGGTGGCCTTTTTGTCATTATGGCGATATCTATCGAAGCAAAACAAATAAACAAACACACATATAATTCAGAGAATGAACACGATTTTTTGCACAACGGTCACTACGATAAATTGATATTTCTATTTGAAAAATGAAAGAAAGTACAATTGTCGATGTTTCGCATAAAGTAAAGTGTTCTGTGCCGTGAATCCGACACATTTTCAAAAACTAAACAAAAACTGAGTAAATCGCAGATTTTCCACTTTAATGAAATCAAATTAAGTGTCACTAACAAATATTTGAATTATAAAACTACAGTTCCAAAAAAGTAACATCTCTCTTCTCTTTATCCCAACACCATGAATGCACAATTTATGAATTTTATAAAAATATACTAACTGCAATGTTTTGTTTCCGAAATAGTAATAGAAAATGTAAGAATTCATCGATAAACAAATCGGATTGCTCATCAACTGTGTATTCTGTGTTGTTTGTACGATATGTCACAATAAAATGAAAAGAGCGCAAAAATGTTTGACAGTTCACTGGAATGTATAAATACAACGCATATGTACTCGTAGAGATAGTGATGCTATCTATTGACAATATTTTCAAATTCAGCACTTTAATCGTTTTGATTTGTATGTACATTTTATGTGAGAACGAATGCAATAGTATTTCTTCAATTTTTTGGATTAATTTGTTTTTCTGGTTTTTGTTTTGCATTACTACTATTTGATTTTTGATCAAAGTTGTATTTTTCACCAACGATATTTTTATTTACACATTTACTAGTTTTTCATTGAAAATCGAACACCGAACCGAAAATATTCATAAGTCGTCTATTACCATCATACATGAATTGTATATTTTTTTGCCAAAACCAACACTTTTTTCGAATTGATGAAACGATCTTAAGTAACTTTGTCATATGATTTAGCTTTTGTCTTGGAATTTACAATAAGCATAGGCTTTTGCTCTCTCATTCATCATTAGTTGCACTGGAATGTTATTAACATTATCCGAAACGTCACTTGTACTTTCGAAACTCTTGATAAAAAACGACCGTTAATTGTGCCGATGATGAGCTATCGCGGCATTGAAATTGGTTGTTATTTGTGGTTATTTTATTGAATGAAAACACCACAATTGCACATTTTCAAATGATTGAACATATATTTTTAAATCACATATTGACAAATATACGTTTATTTACGTGAAACAGAAGCTTAAGTACTAACATTATGTACTCAACCAAGTAAATCGGTTTGATTGTCACACACCAATACATGTATGTAGAATGGTTTAGTTGATGCTGATTTGGTTCGTTTACGGCTGCCACCAAAGTCTGTTATGAATGTTAAGTTTACGTTTCAGTGTGTCGTTTCGTGTGCGTTTGAAACAACGTATTAAATTCCGCCGCGCGTTCGAATACATTTTTATGTTATTTTTTTTACCCTGAAGTCTTTCTGTTATTCCTGTGTACTTATTTTTAACCTTATTTGTGAAGTGCAAAACAATGTACAAAGTTTGAACGGCAGTTAAGAGTGTGAAAGCAACGGGAAAAAAGCAAAACAAAAAAATAGAAAACATATATATCGAAATTATTTATAATCAAGACAAATTGGTGCGAAAATCCGTTCGTCGTCGAGTCACAGTATCTGGTACGCATTTCGTTGGCTTTATTTTTGTTATTGGTGGTATGTGTGTTTTTTTTTTAAGTTCGATGATCGTTCTGCACACATTTTTTTGTTTCGATTCCACCACCAAGTGCAAATAAGTGTTGTGTATCCATCAATTAAATATAGATTGTACGATTTGAATTCAAGTGATTTGGTGTGACTGTTTACTCTGTGTGCACGTAATTCTTAGTGGCGAGGTTGTTGTTAATTTTTTTCTCTCTTTTCTTATTCGTTTCGATTCAATCAATCTCGTTCTCGTCGTTTGCGGAAATTTATATGTTCTGACAACGGTTTTGCCGTTTGTATTGGTAAATATTTCACTCTTTTTTTTCTTAATCGAGCAGTTGTTCTTTCGCGAAATTCACTTTATGTATGTGATTGCCATCTTATTATATTTTTTTTTGTGTATTTCGTAAATGTGCTGCTATTATTATTACTCATATGTTTAAATTCGTTTCGTACAAACATTGTGTATATGGTTGAATTTGTCCAGTTCGTGTATGAGTATCGCGCGCTATGTTTGTACGGATAAATTTGTATATAAATAATATGCGATTGTGCCAGAAATGTGCCATTTTTTATGTGCAGTTGGTATAGTTGGATTTGAATAAAAATTCCATGAAATTTTGATATTTATCACGCCGGCAAAAGAAAAATGAAAACGTTGTGTTAGTCACACGGTTTTTCTATCTCCATTGGATGTATACTTTTGTGCATGGCTAATTTCATTTCGGATTCTTTTTTTTTCTTGCTCAAGCACCGATCGTCATGATCTTGCTTCCAAAATGTGAATGGTATGTTGAGTATATTATTTGTTGCAAATGCAAATCACTACAACTACTAGACAATTCATAATAAAAAGTCGTGTATGTTGTGAGAGCGCACCTCAAGAAATATGAATATGTGAAACGGAAAAAAAATAAGAAGAAAAAAAACCACCGACATTTAATCGGGCAGCTTAAGGAGCACAACAATCGTTCATTCGCTTGTTCGCGCGCATACACTCGGCAATCGCCGTGGATGTAGAAAAAAAAACGTAAATATGTTGGAATTTAAGAGAGTGAGAGATACAGTAACAAAGCAACAGCACAATGGCTTTATATGCAATAGTGGTCATGATCTATGCGCGCTTAATTGCCGCGCATTTCAATTATCTCAGAGTCTGTGTACGACTTTCAGCAAAACCACGAACACACACGGTTTGGAGTGTGTGACGAACACACGACTGCGCAATATTCATGGTAAGAATGTACAGAAAAATTAAGATAGAGAAGAAAAAAACAACGGCCGCGCGAGATGGAAAATTCAAGAGTTGATGGAAGTGAATGAATAAATGAATGTAGGTAAAAAATGCATTGAAATACCGTGAAATCTAGACACTAAATCCCAGCAACAACAGCGGCCGCATATCGATCGGGGTTGGTTAGACTGGATGGTGTGCGCTCATTCCATTGAGACACAAAATGCCACCAAATCGAAATGGTTCATTTTCATATCTCTGCTTTCATTTCCTCTGCATTGTTCGAAACGAAATTAGAAACGATAGAACGTTTTTATTTTCTCTCTATTGAAGAACGTAAAGTGCACACTTTTATTGACACATGGGTGCATTTTGATGCGCTTCTCGTGTTTTTTTATTCATAGAAAATAAATAGAGAGATAAAATGAAAAAGAAAAAGATCACATTTAGCCCCGTAAACTAAGAATAAAAAAATACGTCCACATAAGGATAAAAATCGTTGGAAAAACGCACTATTCATTATGTTGATAATGTGTAAAGAGAGCGAATAAGAGAGAATGAATCTAAAAGGAACAAAATATATAATATAACGAATAATAAAAGATGTGTGTTGCACCATGACGACGATGTATGTATATATATATAGAATAGTATAAAAGATAGAGAGAGAGGGAGAGAGAAAAAGTGTAGTCAATTCAACATTCAATGCAATCCAATCCAATCCAATCCAATTCTCTTCAAGTCAACATCAAGTCGACTCACATACAAGTTCATAATCGTAGTTTTATATTTATTTTTTCCTTCTTCTTCTGTTCGCTGTTCTTTTAATCATAAGAATGAATTTTCAACGATTTCATCCACTTCGTGTACATCAACATTATTAAAATAACGTTCATTGTTTACCATGCATGTATGTGTTCCTTCGTACGCATTGATGTGGACGCTATATTATGCACCATTTCGAGTGGAAGTAAAAAAAATTCGTTGAAAATAAACATAATCAAATCAAATTAGGCACATTGTTGATGCAAGCGCCTAATGTTCTAAATAACCAACAATATTTAAGGATCATTACCAAATTTTCAATGACAACCATCGTCGCGTCATTCTCAACAAGTCTTTAGAGACTCTATTAAGTGACATCAAAAGTTACAGTTAATACATGTCATACAGAAAAAAACAACAAAACTCAAATATTTACAGCAAACAAAATATCAATAGCACTTGACTTACATATAGCGTGTGATTCATATGTGTATATTTCAAATGGTACGGTGTGTTTGGGTAACATGGTTGGTGCAATGTGCATATGTGCGCGCATTTGTTAAAAAATAACAACTGCGTCTCCTGGTCGTACATGTGCATTTGTTGATCGTCCGTTACGGCAACGTTTCTCTCTCGCTCTCTCTCTCTGTTACTACGTGTTTTTTCTGCTTACGTTATGTTTCGGTGAGAAATGGTTGATTTTGTATGAGAGGAGGAGAGAAAGAGAGATGAAGAGAGAAAAAGATATCCACGGAAAAAGGAAGCATTAGAATCGTATAGATTGCATTGAGAAGAGACAGTATTACTACTCACACAAAATCGATCAATTGTTTCTGCTTTCAACTAATTCATAATATAGTATTTTTCGTCTTGGAATATTCTTGCATTTTCACTTTGCAAGCAACAAATGCTCTCTTGATCGACATGTGTGCTGTTGTCCACATATATGTATGCACTGTGCATATAACCTGATGCGCCTCTCTGTTGCACACATCATTTTAGCTATGCAACGAACAAGGCAAAATGAAACACCCGACACACCATCAGAAAACGAAATGAGAAGCGAGAGAGAGAGAGAGAGAGAGAGCGAAGTAGCAAAAGAAAAAAGTTATTAGTGAAAGAAAATATTCATTTCGTTGTATGCATAATGTAAAAGTTTTGCCTGTAGAATATTCTTTCTCTTTGACTGTTTTTCTGGGATCTTCAGTTGTAAACAAGTGTTGGTATGGTGGCTGTCTCATAAAATACGGGCCTATGTGACAATTTCTTTTTCATATAGAATATTAAACATTCTCTTTCTATCTCATTTTACTTGTCACTTCAAGCGCTACACCACGCAAAATATTCTGCCACACGAACACATGCGCTCAACTCTGCTTACGCTGTTGTTTTCGTTGTAGTTGGTATTATATTACCGTTTTTAGCTGACCGAAATACGAAAAAAAAAATAATAACACCAATCTCTGTATGTTGGTGCATTTTTATCATATCACATCGAGAGAAAAAAAAAACTGAAACCAACACATATAAAATCTCTCTCCAGCACAGTATCGCATATACTCTATTTGCATGCTTTGCACATACATACTCCCATATCCTCAAACTATCTCGATCGGCTTCGCGAAAATGTTCCTTTTGACACTGCTATTATTGTTTGCGCGGCAATAATTTTTTTTTGTTCAATTCATTCTTCTCTTTTTCAATTCCACTTGAACAATTCAACCGATGATATTCTTTTTTATGTTCATTTATCTCTTTCCATTCGTGCATGATTCAGAATGAATATTTGCACTGGCGAGACGAATGAGAGGAGAGAACAAGAAGAAAAAAACTATATGCATTGCATGTCATTTGTGTTTATGTGGACAGTTCGTTTTGTTGTTGTTGTTGTTGTTGTGTATAGCAAAATGAGAAAAAAACGCAGTACAAATTCCAAATCACGAATCGTCATTCAATAAATGGCACATTCAAAATAGCAACAAAAACAACCGAGATCGACATGTTTTGCACTACCAAACACCGATTACTAGTCACTAAACTTCTCATTTCTTTTATTACTATTATTGTAATATATAAATGTTATAAAATTATAGCACGATTCCGACACAAACACGCACATTGTTTCTGTTTAATGCCACTGTTTGATGTTTGGATTAGCGCTAAAATGATCAAATGATTTTTTTCTCACTTTAAAACGCACCTTCTTCCTTTCATTTTTTTTTCACTCTTTCGGCAACTTCGAAAAGAGATTCATTCATAGTTTATTTTTCGACGGCAGAGCGATTTCATTGCGGTAAGAGCTTATTGAACTAACAATAAAATATGAAATGATGAATTCCAACTGTCATCAATGAATAAAAATGCTCAAAGCAATTATATTTTTTTTACATGTCTTGCGGTAAATGATGGTTGATTGGCCACTAGAGTGAGAAAAAAAAGTAGAATGTGTAAACTTTAAATCTTATTTGCATACTAAAATCAAAGCGAAAAACAGTATCGAACGCTTTATTTCATTCGCTTACGGAACGTATTGTCGTGAACGTGATATACTGCATAAGATCAATTTCATTTCAATGTAAAGCATTTTGCGTGCTTGTTCAATTTTTCTGTGTTTATATTACAAACATGCCGTAACATCTTTCCTCTCGCTCTCTCTCTCTCTCTCTCTCTCTCTCTCTCTCTCTCTCTATCTCATTAAATTGTAAATTGATATGTATAAAAATAGATTACAACGCGTGCGATATACACGTCGTTTTCAATCTCATTATGCATATGTCCGCACACGATATTTTTTTTATATCCATTAAATACAGTTTTTTGTTGCGTTTGTTCGTTCATTTTCTCTCTGGACTTGTACATGGTAAAGCATTTTATAGCCGCGAAAAATGAATCCCACATTTATCAGAACATATCAAGAACGATGTAAAGTTTCGACATCAACACTGATTGTTTAGAGTTTGAAAGAAAAAAAAACTCTATAGAAGAGAGAATCTCGGCTCAAACTATTGTTTCTATTTAAATTTGATTCAAATTTCCGTTCGTTTTGATCTGGATTTCGGCCTTTAAACAAACTTGCGCAAATATTTACACACCCACACAAATGAACCATTGTTTAGTCATCGTTATCTAAATCACAAAACTTGAGTGCGTCTTAATTGCGTTCATCCAATTTAATTTAATTAATTTGCATGGATTTTACCACACACATACACAGATAATCTACAACGCCCCTTTTTTTATGTCCAAAGGTTACATAAATACATGCATTGTATTTTGTTTATCACACTCATTTTACCATAAAATCATTGAGAGATGGAAATCTTTGGTCGTCCAACGCAAAGAATTCACAAACGAATTCATCATGAATGGACTTATTCAACAAGGCATTGCTAAATGTCATCGGAAACATTATCTATGGTTTGTCATGAACAAAATCTGAATAAATGGGTCTGTTAAAAATTATAGCTGAGGATTAGAATGGTCGATTGCAAATATATGCCTTCAATTTTATAATTTTCAATTGCAATTTGAAATTACTAGTAGTGGTAAAAAGTGCATGAAATTCGATTAAAATCTATAAAGTAAACGGTTTAACTCATAGGTTCTGACATAGAGCGGAGAGGTCTGATTGACCACAGTAGCGTTTGAGAAACCTTCAGCAATTTAGCGCCCAGGAATTTTTCAATTTTTTTATCGATACGTAATCGATTATGACGTGAGTGGAATCAAAATCATCGTATCCCTCCAGGTTTGCCAGTGTCAGAACCTATGGTTAAATTAAGTCATTCTCACTCATCTGTATCTCCAATGCCATTGTTCATTCAAGTGGTCATCAATTTAAAATTTATAAATGCACCCACCTAATTAACGCATATTCAGTTGAATTCTTTATGGAATGATTCTATTAACAGTTGAGTGCTATTTATCTATGAATGCATACGCGCGCATACCACCATGTGTCTCATGCAATTGCTCAATATTCATTTGCAATGAAACACTGACCATTGACAATACGCCATTGTGTGAAACACCCAGTTTTTATTTTTTCTTCTTCAACTTTTCACTGTAAACACAGACATACATTCACGCACACACCGTACATGCTTGCATAATATAACGATAAAAAGAGCAAACAACTACTTATAATAGAGTTTTGTTATTGTTGTAGAGAAATAGTGGGACGTTTCATGGTATCTTTCTTTCGCTATTTCAAAATGGGTATTCCATCGGTGACTCGATTGTAATTGTGTTTGGCATGTCTGTGTCTTTGAGTCTCTGTTTTGTATCTGTCGACGGTTAATAATTCGTTTGTTGTATTCCCATTCAATGTTATAGTTGAAAACAAAGAGACAACGAGACAGCAATACCAACAACAACAACAACAGCAACAAAAAATGAAAAAAATGAATGATTTACTTCAATAATAATAATAAAGATGTTTTCGGTCTGGTCACCTGACACACACATCACGCGCAACATCACCCAATAAATGAATATATCCATAAATGGGGCGATTTAATTTGGACAAAGTGTTGGTGATTCATTTCATTCACATAGAAATTGAATGTTATTTGTCCAAAATAAAGAAAAAATAAAATCATAATAACAAAGAGACAGACAAAGCGGGAATGAGACAGAGAGAATGCATTGAGTCAAACGCGAATGGAATAAGAGCAAGAGAATGAAGACACAGAAAAAAGTGAATTTCGTTGTTGTTGGTTTTTCGATGAAGTCTTGAAGTTTTAATGATCACTCTGCTTGTCCTTTGACGACGCGTAATTCGATCGGTATTCGTTTGTGTGTGCAAGTGACCAATCGCGCGACTCAAAGAACGTGAACAATAACAGCAACGAAAATGACAATATCATTGTTTGACTGCAAGATAATATCAAGAGTTTGTCATCCGCATTGAATGCTTTTAGAATGAATACACAAACAAAATAAAACGGCCACAACGGAAAATGGAATGAAAAAGGAAAACGACAGAAAATCTTTTACATTGAATAGAACACACTCATTCAATGCATATACGCACAAGCACACATATTTACGCTGAATTCCATTGTGGTAAACGAGTTTTTCGTGGTATTTGATGGTAAGCGGTTGTGTGCCGCTAGCTTCTTTTGAAATTGTTCTTGAGCTACTCTCGTGTCCATGCTACGATGACTCGTTCGTTCGTTCGTTCGTACGTTATTTTTTGTTGATCTTTTCTCTCTTTCTCGCTCTCTCGTATTTCGTGTGATTCGTGACCGCTTTACATAGTAAACATAGTATCAAAGTGACGTCAGCAAATGAAATATCAACCAAACAAACAAATAAGCATCATACACTGGTTTAAGTCAGGCCCAACTGAAGAGAGCAAGAGACATAGTCAAATGGCCGATATCAAATTATTTGTAGAAAAATGTTTGTGTGTGCGAGAACTCATATTCTTTCATCTCATTTACTTCTCTTGCGCTCGGTTTGCGTATGTGTGTGAGATTGGTTGTTGGCCTATGCACATTCGCGTTCGAATCACATTACTTCGTGAATTGAGAGAATGAGACAAGAAATTTTAAGATAAAATCAATTTGTACAGGTGAATCAAATTTATATGTAGATTTTGTGGTAATGTCGTCCATCAGTACGATGTGTGTAACCGTTTTTAGCTGAATCTTCTATCGTTACGACAAAAACGGGTTGTTGCTGTTGTGTTATCGTCATCATCGTCATACACTATGATGATGGCCATATAAAGCGCAAAACTAAAAAAAAAACTAATGATGATTAAGCCGTTTAGGAAAGACATTTGGGACCGAAAAATACCCATCATTTTGTGAATAAATTGTGGCAAAACAACGGGTTAATAAAAAATGAAAATAACAACGAACAAAAATCAACAGCCGCCTGTCATCCAAAACACCTTTTCAAGACATAAATTGAATGTGAACGCACACGTCCAAACAATAGACCATTTCACACAATCAGACAATCTATTAACAATGTTATGTGATACGGGACGAATCACTATTCGTTGTCGCATCGATCTATCTAATATCTTTCTCTTGTATATTTTTTTGTAACTTGAAACGGTGAAACACACACACACACACGAACGCAATGTTTCACCTTTTAATTTGAATATTTAAATTAACCACATACATATTTTGCACACAACCATTCGCTACGATCTAAATTAAAACGGGACTTTGTCACTTCATGCTTGAATTGGAATTGAATGTTAACGATTCAAATCTATTATTATTTTTTTGTTTGTGGGAGATTGTGTCTCGAAAGACTTAAATTACTGTTTTAGACTGATGCTATTTTTTGTCTCTTAATTTGATGACAATATTCTTGGTGAAGCATGGCTATTTTTTTATATGAATAAATCTTTCTCTCTTACATGGGATTAAATGTATTTTTTTTAAACAATTCGAGCATATTGAATGAGGAACCCATTTCCCGTTATGTAATTTGTATCGGTTGTGATGCTTCTCGTAATATGATATCCGATCATTTTATCGAATTTTCTACTATTGATTCATGGCGCCGCCACCGTGATGGGATTTTTTTCTTATTCAGCATCAATTTAAATTGAAATTATAAAATGGAATGGAATATAAGATTTCAATGGGTGCGCGAATTAACACTGCAGTGAATGGAAACCACACCGGCTACAAACGATGATTTACTGTGCCATTATTTAAATCATTTTTTTTTATTATTGTTTGTGGGTTCAATTTCTCGCTTTTCTGGTTAACTTGGTTAACCGCATTGCGTGGATTCATTAAAAACGAGTCATTCGATATCATAACCAGCGTACACACATGCACACAAAAGTCGTCCACTAAATGAAATTACGCACATTTATCGAACATTAATATGTGCCGCTTAAAACTTGACACTGGACCACAGTAAATTTTACAATCGAAATCATTGTAATGTATTCGTACGCATCAATCGTGTTGTCTCTTAATTTGTTCAAAAGCATCTCGTCCAACATTTTATTTATGAATAATAATTTCCATGTAAATGAAAACGAGGTAATCGGTTCCGTTTAATCGATCCGGAATCAATGAGTATACGTTTTTTTCTTCATTTATTTTGGTTTATGGCTTGGCAACTGACGGTGGAAACCACGCAACACAATTCACTGACGAATATAATTCAAGGATAAAAATCGTTCATGAAATACGTTGCTTCATTTCTGTCAACATTGTCATTTTGGTCGATTGTGGTACAGACAAATTCATAAAGCCAATATATAAGTGTAAATGAAATTAATTGGTTGTATACAATGAAGAAAAAAAGTGAAATGAATGATGTGCGAAACGAATGTACAAGAGAAACATGTGGACACAAGTGAAACATTGAAACATTGATGTTTGTCCAGCGAGAGAGATTGATTTTTTTTTGTTCATTTGTTGTGAGTGGACATAGTAAGTGCAGCAAGTAAAACTTAGAGTAATTCAGATAAAATGGAAGCAGTTAATCAAAGTAAATTGCATCAATTTCCATTTAATTGGCGAATAATAACGAGATAGCGGGATTTTGCTTGTGTGCACGTAATATGCAAAAATGTATTTAGAATTGCAACATTATGGTTAAAATTGCATATAATGGTTATATGTATACCATAATATACAATGGCTATGAGCAATAAGAGTACGTGCGCACATGACTACGATGTTCGAAATTACATTGGAAATCTTTGGGTGAAATTGGTGAAACGTCGCTGAAACCATTTATGCTCGTTATCCAAGTGAAAATCGCAATCACAGCCAACAACAATATGATAACAGAAATGAAAATCCCTTTAATCTTGGATCTACACAAAAGCATTCCATTTAGCCTTTTTCTACTCGACTCTATGATCATTTTGTTTTTATTTCATTCTTCTTCTGTTGAAACTCTTTTTTTATGTATATAATTGATTGTGAGTAAATTTTTGTTTCTTTTTTCTCTCCCAAAACAGGTACATAGAGAATTGCATACGGTGGGGGCATGTCATAATCGCGAGTCGCGCAACTACGATGGAGAAAATACAATTTAAATGAAAAAAAAGAAAAAAGGGTCACAATCTCAGCTCTTCGATCGTATAAATTTCACTGCATCTGATTCACAATGAAAGGTAAGTAGTGGTAGCAGCAGCATCAACAAGAAAAAAAAAAGAATTCAAGTATACATAAATGAAAGATAAGAAAGTTACGTTTTTCACGTTTTTGCGCACAATCACTCATTCACTCTCTCGTCTGTCTGTCTGATTGGCCATGTTTACGCCTGCAAATGAATGAGTCGCATTTTGATTTTAACTCGAGGTGTTCATTTCTATCTCTCAACCTGCTATCTGTGTGTCGGTTTTCGGTTCGCCTTGCAACAACTGTTGTTGGTTGCGACAAGTGAAATGAACATAAATATACAGACACCTTAAAATCTTGTGTGCGTTAAATGAAAGTCACTTCTTCTTCTTCACTCAACGATTGATTTCGACGAAAGAAGAAGAAGAAGACGAAGAAAAAAATCACAATCGCATTTTCATTTTGATCACGAGTTTTGTTGAACAAATTGAGAGAGAAAAAGAGAACTACCATTATAGCTCGGATTCATATCTTTCGTTTTGTTTTCTTCAATTTTCATAAGTTTTTGATTGCATCTTATAAGTGAATTTCATTGCGGCATTTAAAAAGCGAAAGTTGAAATTTTTCACCATCATAAATGCAGAGACACATCACACGCATATCAATTGTCGAATCGAATTGCATATCGTAAATTATAATTATTTTATATGATTCACAAACAAAATCAAAGTATGCGTGAATCATCGACGTCTCTCATGGAATATAAGCATGCACCATACACAGAAAGAGTTCACAGTCCGGCGGCAACACCATGTCAATAATACGAAAAAAAAGAAGAAATTTTTTATGACCATATTTTGCATATTTCAAAGTTTAACCGAATGCATTCCAACGAAATACGCCCATTGTTATGCGAAAAGAATGGAACAAACGATTTTTGGTCATTCGTTTTTTTTTCTTTGGTAGAATATTCCAATCGCAAGGTTCCAGAAATGATCATAATAAAAATCCGCCTATTTAACAGCAGTTGGAATTGCGTCGAATTTATATATATTTAGCAGCCATGTTCAATTGAAAAAAAGTATATGTGAATTTACAATTGCATTTCCAATTGTTCATTGAGCTCGTTAACAAGATGATACATTTTATTTGTTTTGTTGAAAGATGAAATAGACGCATAGACACACATGGTGTGCACATCGAAGTTCAATGTACACATTCGATGCAAAAACACATGTGCTTGATCTCGTCCGAATCGCACACGGCTGTGAGTCTGAATTTAGATTTGCCATGATTTTTTTTCATCATCATCGTCGTCGTTGGTTTTTTCGTTGTGTCTCAGCCGAGCATAAAAGCAATTTCATTTGAATCAGAAGTGAATGGGGGCAACGAACAAATTGTGTGCACATGCACATTTTTTTTTCAACAAGCGACAATTCGGGAAGTAAATTGTGAGAAGAAAAAAAAAAATAATGTGCGTGAATGTGCTTACAACAAGAAAAAAAAACCAAATTACCAGACAAAGAAATAATCTGTGGGACAAACGAACGAAAAAAAAATCGCACACACTCACATCACAGAGTTAAGTTTGGAGTTTTTCTGTCTTCAAGTTTAAAATCTGCGCATTTTGATGCAATTTTATATGCCATATTTGAGACTGGCAATTGCGATGGCATCGCTCTTTTCTCAATGCACTTGCGGAACCTTTGAATTCGCTCACATTACAATTTGGAAAGCGAAAAAGCAGCTACCACATTGTACCAGAAATGCATTGTAAACGCAATTAAAGTATTGTTTTTTTCTTCTTCTTCTCTTTTTTAATTTGTCGACGTCTTCCTTTTCTTCCATATATGTAAAATGAGTAATTGGAACCCTATCTCAATTTCCGCCCACTTTTTACACCGACTATGATGTGATCATGCTTTGCTAATCACAAAAGAATGCATAATTTTATGATGATGATATGCATTTTAACGTCCTTAAGCACATACATGCCACGCTGACAATATAAACACTATGTTCTAAGCTGCATTTAGAATATTGTTAAAATGCAGAGGGAAACACCAACGGGCCCGCTTCAGAGATGAATGATGAGCGCAAAACAAAAACACCAAAGATAACAGCAAAAGAAAGAGAGAGCGCGTGTTCAAATAGAAAACATTGAGAGATAATTATAAATGTAAACAATGGACATTATGCAATGTGGTGAATGTATTTCGAGTAAATTAGCAAAAAAAAAGCAAAAATTAATGCATACGATTGACGCAACCTGAATGTCAGAGTTACATTTATAATGTGTTGATGTGAGTATGGTCGGGAATTAGTTTGCGTGTATACGTGCAAACGCCTTGCCATGAGTAAGACATGAAAAATGAATAAGAATAAAGAAAAAGCAGATACAATTATCCACCGCGTATATAACATTATTCACATGAACTTCGTTGAGTTCATTGATAGAGAGGTAACCGTTTATTTTCCGCAATGTACGTAGCTGTTATCGAAGCACGCTCGCGCCGATAACGAACCAAATGAACACTACAAAATGGAAATAGTTTATTGTCTATTCGATTTTTCAAATGGAAATTTCTCAGATATGATTGAATTCCATTGAATTTTGTTTACAGCCCATGCACTTACTCACCATAAGCGATGATGAAAGCAAGAGATTGTCTGCTAAATCAATTGATGTTTTAATCCCCGTTGTTATTCAAAGTTTTTATTTCTTTTTTTAAGTGCAAATTAACAGACACACTACATCATTCTTTATCAAATGAACGGTTCGACTATTCTATTTTTCTCAATTCACAAGTGATTCAACGAATGTTTTATTTTATTCAAGTTTTTGTTTAATTCAATTTCAAATGAATCGTACATATACAGAGAAAGAGATTAAGAAATGCATCTTCCCATAATGCGCAAAGAAGTATTTTGGATTTGCACATGAACTGTTTTATGTTATTCAATGCATTTTATCATCGGCTTAAGAATAGAGCTCATTTATAAATTCATTGAATGAGTGTGAGGCTTAAAAAAATCTAAAACATTTTATTGCGGAACACAAAACATAATATAGTTGAGAATAACTCGTGTTGTCCCACTATTTTTTTACAGCTGGATTAGATTGATTTAGCCCGGCCTCATAAACATAAACACTCATTCATAAAAAAACAATAAAAAAAATCAACATTAAATATGCTTAAAAAAGAGCGAGTGCTTGTTATTTATTGAGAGAATATTGTTTGACGGTGTTTTATCGATAATTGTTGACGTCAAGTCCGTTATGCGTTATCAGTCCGAAAAAGTAAACCGAAGATGAACACTTCATAATCTAGTAATTACAAATAAGACATTATGAAATCAATCCGTTTTTTTTCAAATTCTTTAATTATCAGCCAACAATTTACAACGGAATGTTATTGGAAACTTGGTAGCAAGCTATGAATCATGTAGATTTCTCTTGAAATTAAATTAGTATTTCTCATATTTTTCACAATATCGTATAGTTATTTATTTATTTATTTTTCGTCTTTTTTTGGAAATAAAATTTGAGGTCATTTCAATTGGTTATAAAATGACACTATTTTAATCTCAATGGCAGTGAAAAAAATTCAATCTTCATTGTGATTCATCTTTTCAAGTGAAATAAAAAAAAGAACAAATACAAAACCATATCTGAAATTGTTTGAGAGGGCGAGAAAAACAGCTAAGAACATAACAGAAATTCATAGTGTTTGTTTATTGGCTGGTTGAGCATGAGCACACTCAAACTTTAAAATTTAATTCAGATCAAAAGTGAAACGTATTTTATAATTAGGGACAAATGTGAGATAAAAAAATTATTTCAGGTCAAACTAACAAACAAACAAACAAATACATTCAATATGCCATTTCAAAAAAGAATGAAGAAGAAGAAAAAAAACTGTAAACGATACGGTTCATTCATCTGAATGAATTTTCAGTGTTTGTAATTTGCGTTTCATTGCTGCATCGTGTGATTCATCTTTGTTCAACTGCTTTATAGCTGATTCATACAGAAACAGAAACGGTAGAAAGAGAGAGAGGACGTAAACGAGACAAGAGCGCAAGATAGAAAGAAAAAAGAGAAAGAAAATTGAATTCATTTAACACTTTAGATTCGGGTACATAAAAATCAAACGGACACAAAAATTTTACGTGAACGATAACGAAACGAGTTCGAACAATCTAAATTGACAGCCAATAATAGTATATCTACATTAACTGTTTGGCCAAAGCTGACTACTTGACGCCCGTTAGATGCGGTAGTTTTAACGTGCCATTTTATACAACCACAATTGAATTATTTATTGAGTGTTTTGAATAGCATTTTTGTTGTTGATAAATCATCATTTTGTATGCGACCATAATTTTCCTTTATTGATTTTTATTATTATTTGAGAGAGTTGATTTGATTTTTATTTGATTTTTTTTTCTCTTCAGATCCATCATCGAAAAACTTCTACCATGCACCACCCGTTGATCGTCTGACGATGCCGTCGATGAATTTCTTGCAACAACAACCGGACGATGACGATGGCCTAGGCCCATTGCCACCAAAATGGGAAAAAGCATACACTGAAAATGGTGAAACCTACTTTATCGAGTAAGAAATCATTGATATTTTATGTGATTCATATGAAACGGTATAATTGGTATAAAACCCATTTTGATGTTATTTATTTATATTTTTTTCATAGTCACAACACCGGCACATCACACTGGTTGGATCCACGTTTATCAAAATTTCAAAAGAAATCGCTCGAAGATTGTATGGACGATGAACTACCGTACGGTTGGGAAAAAATTCATGATCCACAGTATGGTACATATTTTATAGACCATGTCAATCGGCGAACACAATATGAAAATCCTGTGCTCGAGGCAAAACGACGCAATTCTGAACGCAAAACAAATGGAGCCAATCAATCGGCTTCGTCAAAGGTGAATTAACTGTTTTTTTTGCATAATAAAAAAAAAGTTTGCACGATCAAAATGCGCACCAATATTCTGGTTTCAATAGGAAAATTTGCCGTTTTATTTGATGAAATCGACTTCATTTTTAATAAATGTTTTGTTTTTCTTTAATTTAGTCACTAAATGATGAGCTGATGATGCGCCAAAATGAGTCTCAGTCACAGCAACAACAGCAACAGCAACAGCATCATCAGCATCAACAACAACAAATCCAATCGGAACAATCCCAATTGAAACCAAATCTATTTACCAAAAATCCGTCGGAATTACGAGGTGAACGAATAAATACCACATTATTGAAATCGTCACGTGGTCTCGGCTTTACGATTGTCGGCGGTGACGATAATATTGAAGAATTTCTACAAATAAAATCGATTGTCGCAAACGGACCGGCATGGTTGGATGGTAAATTGCAAACCGGTGACATTTTAGTGTATGTAAATGATACATGTGTATTGGGTTTTACACATCATGAAATGGTAAATGTGTTTTTTAATTTATTGTTTTACGATTATTTTCCGATTACTTATCGATTATTTTAAATTTTATTCTTTCCTTTTGTGATTCTCCCCTTAGGTAAATGTGTTTCAATCAATATTGCCGGGTGAAACGGTGACATTAGAAGTGTGTCGAGGCTATCCATTGCCATTCGATCCGAATGATCCAAACAATGAAGTGGTAACAACAATTGCCGTTGATGGCATCAATTCAGATCCGGAAAAGTCACGCATGCTAATGGATTTAAATATGGATGGAAATTATAATTTTCTTGATATGTCTGATACACAGTCGGCAAGTACATCGGCCAAGCATAATTCAACGTTAAGCCGACTCGAATCGAGTTCGGTGCGCAGCGATATAAGTGAAAATTTTGCAAACGAGTCAAAACGTGATTTGATTTCATCAAGCGATAAACCGGAAATTTTAAATATTTCAATAGTAAAAGGACCGCTTGGATTCGGTTTCACTATTGCCGACAGTGCTTATGGTCAAAAGGTGAAAAAAATTCTCGATCGAAATTGTTGCAAAGAATTGAACGAAGGTGATTATTTGCTTGCAATCAACAATACAAATGTTATGTATATGTCACACAGTGCGGTTGTTCAAGTGCTAAAAAATTGCCCAAAAAGTGAGTATTACACTCGATACACTCCAATTTATTATTTAGTTATTTTCTTTCGGTTCATTCGTAAACCGATATTTACTTATATATTTCGATATTTTTCGAACAGGTGAGGAGGCAATTTTGAAAATTCAACGTGGCAGCTATTTTAATGGTGGCAACATTAGCGATAAGCCAACAAGTCGAGTGCGGCGTGTTATTGATTCAATCGATCGAGCCGCTATAATGAATGGTAATGCATCCAAAGAAGCGTTAAATTTGTATCGCAGTAAAACACCAACGGCAGATCTGTACAGTACACAAACGAAAGAAATTTTACCGATTCGATCGAAAACACCGTTGGTCGATACACGAAGTCGTGCAAAAACACCAATGAGCGAACTTAACGGTGGCGAAGAGGAAGTCGACGGTACAATGCAATCACACAATGATGGGACAATTCATGATTTAAAAAATATTGCAGCAGCCGATACAAAATCAAATAATAGCTTTCCCGATCAAGATTCCATCAATAATGAGGCACCTTTTATTGATCCATTTCCAAAATTGGTTCTAAATTTATCGGATCGCTTGGCTGAAGCATCGCTGGGTGCTGGAAATCATTATCAAACCAAGGATCTTTCAAACATTCGCCATAATCATTTCGATAGTCAACCCAATCTCAATAATTTTGAACAAAATAGTGTTAGCAGCGGACATGACTTTTATGTGAATTATAATTCGAATTTGGCTAGCGGATATACAAATTCACCGAGCAATAGCATATATGCGGCCAGCGCAAATACAATGCCAACACATATGAAAATGCCACTGATGGCACCCATGCCCACGTATCATCATGAGCATTGCTATTGTTTTGAATGCCAGAGACAATATCGATATCATAACATTTTAATTGATCGCCGCAAAGTTGGATTTAGCCCATTGGATACACATGCACCAATGGCATCGCCGCATCCAATTCATATGAATCAACCACAATCGCCACAGCATTTACATCAAGCACATCATGAGAACAACTATTGGACGAAAAACGATATGAAAATACAACAGGTAAATTAAAAACACAAGTAGTTATCCATATTCGCATCAAAATCACATTCCATTCTGTCATTTACAGCAGGAAAACTTTGGCTATATGTTATCAGAAGTTACACTCGAACGACAAACAATGGGCTTTGGTTTTCGTATAGTTGGCGGCACCGAAGAAGGATCACAAGTTACTGTTGGTCACATTGTTGAGGGCGGAGCCGCTTATAATAATCCACGAATTGAAACGGGCGACGAAATTTTGAGCATTGACGGTCATAATGTCGTAAGTGAATTAAATTTGCAGAAATGTGATAGAATTTGAATTTAAAAAAAAATAAAATTTACTTTCTCTCAGGTGCAATCATCACATCATCGTGTCGTCGAATTGATGAGTGATGCTGCGCAGCGAGGCCGTGTAACAATGATATTACGACGACGTGTTCATGATCCAAATATTGCAAATCTTCAACATTTACAGCATCATTCACACCATCAACACGTACAGCATCCGCATTTACAACGTGATTTTGTCTATCCATACGATGTGATTGTTGTTCGAAATGAAAATGAAAGTTTTGGCTTCGTTATCATTTCGGCATCAAATCAATACTATAGTTCGACCATAGGTAAGCTAACTAAAAAATTCATAAATACCAACAAAATCTGTCTGTTCTTTTCATTAATCGAAAAATAAATAAAATGTCAACAAATTCGTCATTAATATAAATAATTTTGGTTTGTGTTTTTGGTTTCGTTTTAGGAAAATTGATTCCAGGTATGTTCAGTTGACAATTAAATCAAATGTATTTTATTTTTTAAATCAAAATTTAATATTAATTTCAGGAAGTCCAGCCGATCGTTGTGATGAATTGAAGGTCGGTGATCGTATAATTGCTGTGAATGGAATCAATATAGCTGGTATGAGTCATGGCGATGTTGTAAACTTAATCAAAGAGTCTGGATTGCATGTTCGTCTTACCATTGGCAATCCAAAAGAAACACTACAATCGAATTCAGTTCACACGCAACCAATCAATCCAAATAATAACCTAAATGACCCATACTTCGAGCACCGAAACAATGGCCTCGTCTCGATTACAAATGACAATTTAAACGTAGACGTTTATCAACCGAATAATCATTGAAATCATAATCAAATCTTATTCTTCTCATTTGAATTTCTTCCTCTCGAAACAATTTCAATCAGTTTATATAAATATATGAAAGAATTCTGTTTTTTTTTTAAATCGATTAGACAAAAACAATAAGAAAAAAGACTGAACAAAAACTACAAAAGCAATTAACCACAAATTGAACACACAAAAAATAACCATAACAACAAATCAAGAAAGAACAATTCTAAATTTGATTAGAAAATAAATGAAACAAGATGCCTTTTAATCCATAGTCTCAATGAACAAAGATGAACAAAACAAAAACTGAATTTGTAGGAAAATAGAAATGTAATAGATTCGCTCGCTTTTCAATTCAATGTGTGGCCTCTTTATTATGAATCGCACGCCGTGAAATGCCTATTCATTTCGATGTACGATTCTCATTTATACACTCTATTTGACCAAACAACTTCGCCTTATCGCAAATGAACACACAACAAATATTAGCTCGAGCATAATTTTACATATATAGACAATTTACTAAAGTAAAATAAAATACATTTTTATTTGTAAGTGTTTTTTTAACTCCTGGATTGTAACCATTTGATGATATACTAGATGGACATTTGTTTTATATATTTGTTTTATAACATTTAGACATTTTTGTAGGGAATAATATTTTATTGATACATTTATATACTTATAAATATATATATTTATATTTTAAACGCATTTATCCACATTGCTCACATAGTACATAGATTTATTCTCGATCTTTGATATTTAAATATACATATATGCTGCGTAGAAGTACAGACAGAGAAAGAGGGCAATTTAAAAAAAAAAAGTTTTAAAATGTACTTAATACGAAAAAGGAGAACAGCTTCTAGTTTGACTCGATATATTCAAAGTAAACATGAAAGTTGTACAATAACATTTTAATTACTTTATACATATAGTTTGAATAGAAGATAAATGTAAGAATTTCGCAATAGCGTCAATATTATCAAAAATAAGAAAAAGAAATTAGATTTTAAAAAAAATGTTGTTCGGCCGCTCAATCGTACTCAATCAGTCATCTTAAGCGAAATCATTTTGTGTAACATATAATTTAGATGTTTAGATCCAGCATTTGTTCGAAATAATTTTGAATTGCAAGCAGAATTCATGCAACATCAATCAAACGAATGGACAACAAATTTGTTTTATTTTTTTTATTATAGTTATTCGTTATTTTTTCATAAAAAATGCGCATTTTTTCGTTTGTTTCAATCAAACATATTTCAACAATAAATGATTTATAGATGCAATAAATTTTAGAATCGAGAAATAGAGAAAATAAATTTATATCAGTGCTTAAATAACTACTATTAATTAAACTGAACCAAACTGTATCCATGTATATTTAAAAAAAAAAATGTTTGAATAAAATCATATAACGGATTATTAAGAATTTAATGGTTTCATTCATTTCTGAATCGTTAATATTTCTACTACCATTTCCAAATCCATTCAAATCATTGCCTCCAAAACAAATCACGCACCTCTGATTAAAAAGTTGTTGGACGACGACGTCGTCGGCAAATGAATTTAGCCAAAAAAACAACGTGCATCGTACGAAAGAAAAAACAATCGCGGTGTCGATGGCATTCATTGTAGGTGATTGTGTGTAGCGGTGTTGATTGTGCAAAATGTGAATGACACACTAATACATCGACAAACTTTAGACTGTTTATCCATTGTCAAAGTTCTTCCAATTTGCTAGAACCATAGTTTAAGTATCGAAACATCACGATACTTAACCGTTAAATGCAAATTTTTACTATTTTGAAAGGCATAACGATGTATGTATGTTAAAATGTCTCACTTAAAAATGTATTATTTCGTGAGAAAAAGTACTGAACTTGCATTAACCTCATAAATAATTAATAAACGAATTGAATTTTATGTGAACGCTGTGAAAAGTGATGGTGTGAAGCGTCAAACAAACAAATAAAAAATCAAACGTCCAAATACGTCACCTGGCTGATGTTGTTTTGTACTCAACCGTATCATGCGACGGCACTCCAGGCATATGTTTGTCATAAATGTGTACTTTTCTTGCAAGCGAACGCCGCTTGTATGCATGTATGTATATGGTAGTGTGTGTGCGTGTGTATGTTCTGTTCTTTCGTTATTTGTGTGTTGTTGTTGGTGCTTTTCATTTTTACCGAACCAGAATTAACCTAGTGTACATTGGTAGCAAATTGGTTCTGCCATAACAGATCGAGCGAGTGTCAACTAAACAACAAACCCATACACATATACGTAAAAAGAACAGAGTGAGAGCGCGGAGCAAACACGAAACATTCTGCATATACGAAAATACACTATATATATTCTACCTTTTTCTGTGATTATTTTCATATAAAACGCGTTGTTTGTTTCCTCGCAACAAACATTTTCGTTCTTTTTAGTTTGTTGTTTTTTCGATTTGTAAATCTCGTTCGTTCGTTTGTTTTTCTATTTTTCCCGCAGTTATTCGGTGTGATCTATTTTGTGAGTATAGAATACGGTGAAAATTTTGTGCGTTTACCCAGTTTTATATTTGAAAAACAACAGAAAATAAACTATTGTTTTTGTTTGTTCAATCGGTTTCGGTCGTACAATCAAAGATAGAAAAGTTTTCTCATTAAAAACTGTAATCCAAAATAGAATTTCGGTTTTTTCCTATACCAAGACCGGAACACAAGAAATTTATTCAAAAGAATGCAAAGCGAATAATGGTGCTGTAACAAATAAATTGCAAAATAAAAAGAGAATCGAAAAAATTGCGGCTAGTAAGTGTTTTACGCTCGTGAATTAAATCAAATGAATAGTAGTACAAAAAAATAGCGACGGATGGAAATATTGACACTCAATTGCTCAAAATAAAATTGTCGTGCAGCGAATAAATCTTTCACTCATCGCTCCTTGCTCAATCCATCGATCAATTAAAAAACCGTCGAAAAACATTTTTGTCCGTGGAATTTATGCGGTAAATGCACACAGGCGAATGTTTATCAAAAGAAAAAAATTGAGCTAAACATTTTTTTAAAATAATAAATCAAGGATATTTCTTGTCGCTTTCGAAGTGTTTATTTTTTCGCTTTTCATTGCACACAAAAATCACACCAAAATTGAAATGATTTTGTAATGAAAAACAAAGGATATACAATCAAATGTTTCATAGTTTCAGGAATTGAATAACAATAATTTAGTGCTTTATGAAAATAAAAAAACAAACAAACCAAAAATTAATCGACAACAACACAATCAAAATAACATATAAGTTTAATTGTAAAACGAAAAAAGAAACATCGTTTCGGTTATAATAAAATCCAAAACAAATGTCGCGCATTTTAAAGTGAGTGAACACTGAAAAAAAATATTGTGGTTTATTGTGAGAGATAAGAATAAAATTCTGTTAATGACAAAAGAACGAAATTAAGCTGATTGTTTGCTCAATAGAAGAAGTTTTGACTTACAAAAACCATAGCAGAAGCCACGGAAAAACCATAACCATTTTCTTGTAATCACAAGATTCCAGTCATTTAATTAGCGAAAACCGTACAATGGCCACAACAAATAATAGACACCAAAAGTTGGAGCAGCAGGTTTGTATTTCTCGAATTTTTTGTACATACTTTTTTGCTTATACCGAATAAAAAAAAGAAACAATGAATTTGCAGAGCAAAAGAAACTATTCATGTAATCTCTGGCGCCCGAAACTAAGAACAACCGCAATAGGAAGTTTCGAATAGCGTTTCCAAAAGTTACTAACTTGGCACTTGATTCGGTTCGAATTTTGGTTAATGTTCAGAAAATTCTTTCAACTAAATGTGCCGAAGACGAGAGAGAGAGAGAGTCGAAGGAATCGTAAAATGGTACTCATTTCAATAAGCACGTACAATTTCAATTTGGCTTTTATATGGCCAATAAACATGGTTCAACACAATTTTTCTTTTTTTTCAAACTGACCGTATTTTTCGTGGACATTCTTTTACGATGATGGATCGAAGCACACGGCACACAGTTCATGTTTGTCTATTAATATAAAAACCATAGAGAAAAAAAAACCATATATAAAGACATGGTTCAAATAGCTTAATCCGAAAAAATGAACAATAATATTTGTTCGGCAAAAATGTAGAATGATCGAATCATTTTTATCGATGGAGAAGGAGACACGAATAGAGAAACAGTGTACGGTTCGAATGAAATATCAAAAAATCAGAACATTGTGAATGGAATTGATTTTATATATAAAAGAAATGGACAAGAAAAAAAAATTCTGTATCTCAATATTAAAATTATCGTCAGTGGCTGAATGTATGAGGAATATACTTGATCCACTTATCTTAAGTAAGCTACGACAAAAAAAAATACGTACACAACTCTATCAATCTCACACATAAAAAAAGACACGAATAAAAGACAGTGTCAATAACGCAACGAACACTACGAGGACGATGGCGATTTTGACGATTCACATTTTTATTATCGCATTTTCTGCCTCGATGGACGAACGTTATACATAGGGCTATATGTGCATGTTAAGCACTTAGCAGTTGATGTACCTGCACATTAAATTGGTTAACATTTTAATTTACATTATACGCTGCTTATATATGCTGCCATTTTATCAATCGATTGCATTCTCACTTCGAGTGTGTAATAGGGTCTAGATGTTGGATGTCGGTGGCGGGAACGATAACTGTTGATGCGATATTACAACACATATTATTAGCATGCAAATTTAATTATTACTACAAAAGAATTTTGTAATCTGGATGTGATGCGATGCACACGAGAATTTCATTATATGTCTATCCAGCCTTGGGCAATCCACACACATTGGCCGTTTTCTCTGTCTATCTACATGTCTGTTATTTCAATCGATTTGACACTCACAAAATGACACACACGAAAAATAATAATGTTATAATAATAGAGACATATAGAGAGTGAGACAAATATTCTCTATAAAATGCATGTTGAACAACAGAGTTGTATCAATATTTACTTAACTAATGACTGCATTATTTGGTATGACGCGCGTGAGCACAGGCGAATTACAACTGCGAACAATCTTTGAACCACGTTGAACAAAAAAAAATCATAAAGTACGACATGCACACCATACATCTATGCATAAATTAAAGACATGATTGCCTATAATAATAATGAAAAATACCACGATTGGCTGTCTAGCGAATTTAATGGGTGATACCATTTCCTTTTTGAAATGATAAAGACAGACTTCTCACTGCATTTTGATTAGTTTCGTTGACTTTAAAACTTCAAAAAGTAAGAAGGAGAAATGTGACAAAATTTCGAGGATGATAAATTTACGATTTAAACATTAAAGAGACATAAAAATGAAATGAATTTAGTTCACCACTACAAAAACGGTGACCGGAATACGAAGAGGAACGCAATGAGGTAAAGAGCCATTTCATTTTTCGATTCGATTGAAATCGAAATTCATTTAAACCGCCCACCCAAAATGAAGAAATATTTATTAGATATATTCAATATTCACTTGAAACGACCCAAAAAGTGCTCGTTTGTCCTCTTTCTTTCTGTCCATCTCACTCTCTCTCTCTCTCTCTCTCTCTCTCTCTCTTTTGAAGTACGCGCACCATGTACCGATGAATATCTTAGCAAAATGGAAAATACGAAAAGCAATTACAAATAATTTTCGTATTGTGTCGCGTGTATCCGCCACCATGCTGAATGTCAATTGAAATGATGTGTGTGGACTGTGTATATGTGTGTAGAGTGACGAGTACGTACTTGTTTAGTGTGGAAATTCAAGTTTCATGTATTTTCCACAGTGATTATACTATATAGATTTGATAGAGAGTATATGTCGATTTGTGGAATGTGAAATAGGCGCGTGTTGACCGTGTCATTCAGCTTTTTATTGCTTGTTCGATTCTAACTGTTCATGGAAGTTGCCGCTTGTTTTTTTTTACATTTTTTCCGTCGATTTGAAATTCGTCGAAAAATGAAATAATGAATACACGACTACAAATCATCAATTACCAATGGATGAACGAATGCGAATAAAAGACACAACGGTTCCAATTCATCGAAACCTTATTTATGTCTTATTCGTATGAATTGAAAACACGTTGATTTATAATAGTTTTCAAAGAAAATATTCAAAACAAATTGAAAACAAATACACATCAAAATTAAATGGTGGAAGAAACAGCCAGTTTAGAACGTCTGGAAAATTGATGATCAAAAAATAAGTTGAAAGTCGAATAAAGCAGAACCAAACTTGAGCGGCATCGATTACACATCACGTATGCTACTCATAATGTCATCTATCATTTATTTATTATTATGCGATGACATACATTTTCTATTTGGACAGAGTGACAATGATGATAATGGGAGGAAGAGAGAGAAAAAAGACACACACACACGACATTCAAATCACACACTCACACACAAATCATCATCATAATTTTTTATTCATCGTCTGCTCTATTCTCCGTTCTGGTTTAGCCTAGATTTTACCCCACTTTTCCCTTGAAAAATCCTTACTTTACACACAAAATACGACACACATCCAGTGTGTAACCATTTCGTTCCATTCATGTCAAATAAATTTTGTGATAGTTTTCTGGGTTTTTTTTGGTGTTAAACCAACATGTCAGTTACCTAAATTACAAAGTAAGAGCAACAAAAAAGAAGTTAAAAAAAACTTCAAAAAAACACACAACACAAAAACCGTGGAGAACAAAGCGTAATGCACAACTCAAATTACATGGGCATTAAATCCAGAACGGTAATGCACCCACTGGAAACATGCAAACGATGCTTAGATATAAAAAAACGAAAAACTACAAACCGAGACGGCTTTTGATGCATTTCAACTGCCAGGAAAAAGGCACAATCACACACACACACTCACAAAAGGAAGCGTGAAAAATGAAATGAAAACATTTAATGTGACCGTCTTTTATCAAGATCGACAAATAAAAAGAATATTATCAACGTCTTCGATGGTTTGAATGTTATGTGTACAGATCAATCAACAGATTTTCACTTCGTCGTCACCTCTGAACACTGTGTTTTCTTCTCCATATTCCTCATGCCATTTCTCTCGCAAACATAATCCATCTCCGATTTTCTCGTTCTTAATTCATTTCCGACAAGCTTTCAACATACGTATTGTAGAGGAAAATCATTTCGATTAAATGCGATGCAATTAATGTCAAACAGCTGTGCAGCAATGAATTTTCAACATCTTAAATCTATCTATGTATTTATGTGGTGTGGTGCATAATCACCCCAGTTGAGAGCATTGGAAAAAATGTAAAATAATTATATGTGTGTGCGAGGAGTGGCATTTTATCGTTTTATTTAAATTGTCCATTTGATGCAAAAGCAACAAATGTTCGACGAAAACTCATTTGCACGAGATTAAATCGAAAAGAGATGGAACTCTCGTGTGCGCTCAGCACACATATAAGCCATTTTCCAAAGGCATAAAATGCCGAGGCAATAACATTTGCTGGCAACCATTTACTCGTTTCCGTCGTACGTTTTTCCGCTCTCTTTCCACTTAAGCCGCCCATCCAAGTGACTTGAACATCGTGTTTCGAGATTTTGTTGATTTCGATTTTTCTTTTCTGTCGTTGTCATCGTCTTCGTTTTTCTTTCTTGTCTCGTTTCTTTCTTTCTTTCATTCATTTTTTTTCTTGTTGCTACTTTGAAGCAACGAGATGCTCTCAATCTGTTTCCGTTTATGCTATCCGTGCAAGATATTTCAGTATCGTGTATTATATTTCTTCATGTCCTCCCACTCCGTCGCATTTCCATAGATGTTCAAGATTTAACTTTTCATTCGACACATATTGCATTTTATTCCTGTCGTCTTATGGCGAAAAAGGGAGATACAGACGCCACCAAAAGCAATTGCATTTATTTCATAGTTCAAAAGCAGCAACAGTAAATGAAAGTGAAAAACGTTGAAAAAAGAAATGAAATGAAAAACAAAAATGAGACAGCCAAAGAATGACTTCGATGCGAATGACTCGTATGTGGTGCGGTACTACACATACATTTGTTTATTGAGCTAGACAGGAAAATCTTTCTATTTAATAAACACATTCATTCACGGCACACATGAAAATGCTCATGAAAATGTTGCTTGTTCATCGTTGGCGCGTGTATTTTAAATCCTTCGCCATAAAATCGTAGATAGAACGCACAAATCGTACGCAGTGAAAAGAAGACGAAACAAATTTAAATTCTGCTTTGAAAAGGAAACCAAATCTCATTTCAAGAACATGCACTAATTTATTTCAAATAGCTGCATTTTGAATGTGTAACATGTTTGGTGTTTATGCACACGTTCCATTTTTATCATTATATGTTCCGCCTTTGTTCAAATGTATCAATGTTTTTCTCTTTTTCCCTTCTGTTTTGAAGAGAATGAAAAACACAACAAAAGTTTACATTTATACCATGCATATGTTTTAACATACAATGCATCTTTTTGATTGCATTCCAATTGTCTTCAAGCAACACAACATTTGTATGAGATACACAAATGATCGTTGTGCTCTACCATTGATTTCTATGAATCTCAGAGAAGCGCGGCGCTTCTGTTTGTGTGTGCACAACAATTTTATGTATTTAAAAATCTAGCATAGTTTCTTGTTTCCAAAGTAAATCAACATTTAATGCTTGTTTGACACTGAATTTCAAACAAAATAAGTATATTTTTGGAATGGCAGTTGAATGTTGCACATTCGGTTGTGCGATTTGCATGCTACAATATCATGGATTGTGCCCGATTTCATTTCAAATTCAATTTTTAAATCAAAAGTTGAAATCCCGAGGGCAATCACTTTATTACTAAACAAACTCAATCAAATACGAATGAGAGAGAAAAAAATAAACTGAAGGGAAAAAATCACCACGAATCTCCCATTGCATCGGCATTGATAGCAATAACTAATTTTTACTGCAGTACTCCTTTTTTTGCTGCTCTGTTATGCTTGACGACAAAATAATAATAAAAAAATTCCCCACGCAACGAGAAAATTTGAATAGAATAAATAAATGGACGAAAAAAAATGGATTGATTTTGAATGGTGCCTATGGTAACGTTGAAAAACAGTAGCGTCGACATCATCATCGTCTAACCTAACTATTCCCGCATGACTGATCGACACACAAAGTAATAAAATTATTTCAGTGTTACATGCAGCACACAAATTAGTCAGTGCAATGAAATGCCACCCAAAAAAAGAATGAAATAACAACAACAAGGAGCCCCGAACAACCGTAATGCCAGCCGAAAGCCATAATTCAAAATGAATACGACAAGCGATTCAGAAAACTCGCTAAACGACAGGATGAGTCAAAATGAATAGAAAAAAAAACAACAACTAGCGATCGACCGAGCAAGAAAGCGAACAAATGCAAGCACACGAGGAAAAAAGCGTGCACGACATATACATTTACACGGTCGGTAATGCACTTGTACTGAAGTGTGTGATGTGTTCGTTTTGTACATTTGGCGGCTGTTGACGATAAATATTGGTTTGGGTCGTGAATAATTGAAGCGATTCGCACTGCTAACATAATACGAAATAACATGGAAGAGAAAGGTAGATAGAAAAGCGAAGCAAATAAATATGAGCGAAATGCAGCGAAGGCATACTCTGAAGCAATGTTTGCACATTTTTTACACGTGTTTCGCTCATAGTAATATACCAACATATTTGGTTGGGTGTCGTTGTCGTTTTTTTTTCTGTTTGTTTCACTTTCTGAAGTCTGAAACTTTTACACTCTTCTATTTCCATAAACAAAGTTTTTCCTTTCGTTAACAATGTTCAACTGCATCCAAATGATGCAACGAACATCATTTTCTTCTATGTGCATGCAATTCAATGCGCGCTATTCGACATAAAGCATATTATATTGAAATGATGTGCTTAATTCAGTCATATATTGCTGGCGTCGAACATGCATTTTCAATCTTTGACCAGAATTTGACGAAACAAAATACTCTGCCAATTTTTTTTTTTTTTTTTGCTTATTTCCATTCAATTTCCTTATACTAAGCACTATTCAAATGGAAAAAAGGTTGAATTGCTGACTATTCCTTTTTTGTCTGTTCGACGTTGCGGTTTTTTCTGCTGTATCTGTCGATTTATTTTGGTTATCCATGCAATTAACATTGCGAAAAATCATACAACAACAATAGTTATTATTAACGATATTAATCGATTTTAGCGCCAGTTAATGGAAAATTATATAAAACAAAAGCGTGCAACGCCTGGGATGGTGCAAGCCAGTGATTTACAAATTCGACCGATGTCAGGCACAACGCAAATTCCCACATCAGCCAAATCGAATAGCAGCGGAATGCGAGTGAGCAGCCGCGAACTGCATGCATATGATGGACCAATGCAATTCATGATGTCGCCAAATAATCCCGATCAAATTTTGCCAACGTCTACACTAGCATCGCCCAGCAGTGAAGGTAGGTGTTCTGTTTTTTTTTAAATATATTATTGTAAATCGCCATAATATTCCTCTTCTCATATCTTTTGTTGTAAAATTGTATGGCTTTTGATTTTTGTGTTCTGTCTCAACAAACAAAACTGATATTTATAGATTTAATAGAAACATTGCCATACGATATGGAAGATGAAGAGAGCACACCCATTGAGATAATTTCAACAAAAGGAATGATTTCACCGTCAAGTACATCAAATAATCAGGCAATCGGAGATTATCCATTGTCGGGTGGCAGCAGTGCTGGCATTGTAAGCAGCAACAGTGGCGGTCCCATCGATCCGGATGCCATAAATTCTCGAAATAATTCAGCGCCCGTCACACCAGCCGCTAACAAAGATAAACAAAATTCACAAGGATCAAACGAATTGGAAGGCGATGTTAGTGGACAAATTGAACAATGGGTTTTACAACCAGCTGCTCAAGGATGCTTATACAAGTGCCGAATAACACGAGATCGAAAAGGCATGGATCGTGGCCTGTTTCCGTTGTATTATCTGCACTTGGAACGTGAATATGGCAAAAAAGTCTTTCTTTTGGCTGGTAAGTTGAGTTAGAAAAATTGTAGAGAGTTTTTCAGTGTTTTTTTTTTGCAAACAAAATGTTGCAAGCACTTTCAAGTACACATTGAAATACAATAGAGAAAAAAAACGAACTGAACAAACATGAATTGTGCACTTTAGGTCGCAAACGAAAGAAGAGCAAAACATCAAACTACATTATAAGTTGTGACCCGACCGATTTATCGCGACAAGCTGATGGTTTTGTCGGTAAACTGCGCTCTAATGTATTTGGTACGACGTTTTTCGTGTATGACAACGGCAGTAAAACGAACCAGGATGAACTACGCCAGGACATGGCCGTGATAGTTTACGTAAGCTAAATGTTTTTTTTTCTTTCTCTCTCGATTTTTTATCACTTTGAAAAGTGTCATTAGAGTGGGATTTTTGATTCACTTTTTTTTTATTCAT